CGGGTTGAAATCCATGTATCGTCTTCGGAGAAAACCACGGAATATTAACCTTCCACTTGACGGTATTGTAAAAGCATTTGATGTTATGATTTTACCTCTTGTGTTGTTTGGCTCTGAAGTATGGGGAACTGAAACCATTAATCTGATTGAAAAGGTACAACTCAAATGTTTTAAAATAACTGCCGGTTTGACAATGTCTACATGCACGTACTTTCATGGTATACGGCTAACTAGGAAGAGTACCCCTCAGTATACGAATAGCCAAGAGAGTTACAGGTTTCTCTAATGTGTGGGGGTGCTGTGGGTTGTGATGGGTGGCTGGCCCGTGGGGTTGTGTGCTGTGTGCTTGTTTCATGTTGTCGGGTTTGTGTGTGTGTGTGTGTGTGTGTGTGTGTGTGTGTGTGTGTGTGTGTGTGTGTGTGTGTGTGTGTGTGTGTGTGTGTGTGCGTGCGTGCGTGTGTGTTGTTTGGTTGGGAGTGTGTGTATGCGGCGGTGGATTGTTGCTATGTTGGTGTCTTGGGCATGTTTAAGAAATAGGGTGTGCGTGAGGATAATGTGTGACGGTGTGGGTGAGGGTTCGGGCGAGGGTTCGGATGTGATTGAACGGATGTCAGTGAGGGTTTGGATGTGTCTGAATGAGCGGGTGTGTTTGCGTGGTTTGCGTAAGCTGCCGTGAGTGAAGGCCTGGATGTGGGAATGGATGTGGTTGTGTGTATATAGGATGTTTGTATGGGGGATACTATTATGAATGTTAATTTCATAATTACTATTAAATGTGGTGTGTACACATATAAAATATTGTTTCTATGAGCCTTTTAGTGTCTCGTAGGCCATTTGGGCCGGCCGCTGAATTTATACATTCTTGCCTTGTCATTTTATATGTACAGCGGGTGACACTATAATAAAATATTCTTCTCCTCTCTTCTTTTTCTTCTTCTTCTCTCTAACGAATACTGATACCACACGCTATGGTATCACACAATGTGTAGTACAGCTGTGTGTTTATTAAACAGGTGATATCTTCACGGGAGAGTAATAAATGTTGGTTTGTTATTTGTCTGTGCTTGTAGTTACCTGTATATCTCAAAAGGGGTGAGTTAGCTTAGTGGTTAAACCGTTGGCTCGTCACGACGAGGATCTGGGGTCAAATACCACATTGTTTGAAGCCCTTTTTGGCGCCCCCTTCTTGATATGGTTTGGGCGTCGCTAAAAAAACGGTGTAAATCAAACACAATAAAACCCACACTCGCTAAAATACACACTTCCTTACCGAGAGTTAGTTGCGGCCAAACTACGAAGTACCTCTGCCACAGGCCAGAGTGATGTGAGGATTCGTCACATCTTACTCAGTCCATTTAAAAAATATATTATGATATGCCTTTCTTCTGTTTTCAATTTTTTTAAAGTCTACCCATTTAGATACAAATATGTCATGAAATGGTCAACTTTCATTGAGAAAATATCATAACACGTGAAACATTATTATTTGCATCAGCGTATTTATCCTTTGTTTAAAGTCGCTGTACGGTTATTCCACGGTCACACACTAACGGGATCGGGTGGTCACGGTCGCTCACTTGGTTGATGCATGTCATCGTATCCCAATTGGGGTCACGGGTGGCCCAGTCGTCTAAGGCGCCGCGATTCGCACGCCAGAAATCACGATTGTGGGTTCGAATCCCGGTTCGCCCCGATTATGTTTCTAGGTTTGTCAGCACCATACCCGTGATCGTGGGTTTCACCGAAGTGGTAAACGTCTGAGACCTGCATCACTTCGAGCTTTCCTCCCACATTAAGCTGACACGCCGCGATGTAACTGGAATACTGTTAAAAGCGGCGTTTAACCCAACTCACTCACTCACTCGTATCCCAATTGCGTGGATCGATGCTCATAATGGCAATCACTAGAGGGTCTGATCCAGATTCGATTATTTACTTCGGACTGTTCAGACTTTAGAATAAGCGTGTTTGTTTACAAACAAGAGAAAAGTCAGGTCACGTGATATGCAAACTAGTTTGTGGCAGTGGCGTAATGCTAAGTTATCAGTGCGCCGGAATGTTCGAATGGAATATTGATGATGGCAGTACTAAACAGCATTCACACATCCAAAGAACAATTTATACCAATCACTAACGGGTATTATTCCATGGCCTGTGGTCTATCTGCGGTCCACGTTTTGTCCTTATGAACTTGCAACACATGTATAAAGAACAGCAGGAGCCTTCATATTCATAACAGCAATCACCTTCGAGAAAAGGTGAAGGCTGACGTTGTACCAACGTTTAGATTAATATTTATCCAAACGAAGAAATAAATACAGACGTTCCCCAACCCCAGTCACATACGTCTGATGCGCACGTAAAATCATCCAGCTGCCTATAATGTGTTTGTTTGTCTGTTGTTTAACGCCGCACTCACCAATATTCCAGCTATATGACGACGGCGAGTCTGGACCAGACAATCCAGTGATTGACATCATGAGCATCGATCCACGCAGTTGTGATACAATGACATGCATCAACCCAGTCAGCGAGCCTGACCACCCGACCCCGTTAGTCGCTTCTTACGACAAGCATAGTCGCCTTTTACGGCAAGCATGGGTTGCTCAAGTCCTATTCTACCCCGGATCTTCACGGGTCAGCTGCCTTTAAAGTCAAATACTTCGACTGACTTGTTGACTGTGACATGACACTGCTGACACTGTGCGTCCATTAAGTGGCTTCTTCGACCAGTACAGGTTACCATGGTTACAGGCGATCTATTCAAACCCGGAATCCTTGCGGGTTTGCTTTAAAAGACAATAAAAAATGCATATATTATTTTTCAATCTCCAAATATTCTTTTTACTTTTGGTTCTAACACAATACAAAGATTCACAAGAATTTCCGAATATTCTTTCAGTGATCTGTATTGGGAGTTTCTGGCATATATATTAACTTTATGCAATTTAGTTAATGCAACTTATGCAATTTATGCATAAAATTAACTTGAACAAAACGTGTGCGTGTGTGTGTGTGGTTTTTTTTTTTTGGGGGGGGGGGTACATGTGTTGGTGTTAAAGTGAGATTTCACTTTCGTACGTTTTGGGGCACTCCATAACGTTTAAAATCTGCAGAGATCGATGCTCTTGATGTCAGTCATCGGATTACCTGGTCCAGCTGCGATTATTTACAGACCCCCGTCATATAACTGGAATATTGCTGACTGTGGAGTTAAACATCAAATAAACAAACACACAATTAATTGTTTATTTGCAAGGGCTTGAAACTGATATACTATAGACACTTTTTTCTATTTCTCTTCTACGCTGGTCATGTATGAATTACTATAACATCAAGTCATCGCACGTGAGGTTTTCACTTGTTCATATTTAACTCACTCGATTTTCTCCTACGCCCAGTTCAAAGCGGTCACCTTAGAGTGTACCTATTTGTCACATCTTACACAGTCCATTTACCTTTTTTGATAATCTACTCATTTAGAAAAAAATATTTTAAGTACATGAAAAAAATATTTCCATTTGCGATTTTATCCTTCGTATACATAGGTCGTATGGCTCCACGTGCAATATGTAAAGCGCACTGTAAGGCTTACATTGGGGCAGCCTGTCGTGATTTCAGAATAAGCATGTCCGGTCAAGTAATATGCAAATTCGCTTAATGTGGCAGTGGTGCATGTCATCAGTGTGTCAGAGTTTGCATAACTATAAGCCTAGTCAAATTAGCCTGGTCTCATACCTTTTATATTTTGTTTCAAGCGATATATGAAGACATCTAGACATGCATAGGCATGAAAGTATGTTAAAAATGTGAGAGTAATTCGACTCGTCCCGGACATTCGTGACCAACTCGTGTCATTTCGGGACACATTGGTGGTTACCATTCGTCACCACTCGCCCCTTTCCGTAACCTGCAAGAAGACTCGTCCCCCTATCGATGAATGTTATGTGCGAAAATACGACAAACCTATCAGAATGCGCGTATGATTTCAAGTTCTTCGTCAAAGAATCCCTCAGAAATAATTTTTGATTTTACATATGTCTTGCATCTAAAAATATACCCAAGACACAGTTAAATGTGTTCAGTCATACTGTATAATTCTGCATGTCCTGATGTGCTTTAAATTGCATCTGAAATATATATAATATATTGGGAAATAAACCTGAACCATTACACAACGAGTTGACAATTGTTTTAGGTATGCCCGTTTGCGCTAAGACGGAACCCGGTCACAAAAATGGCCACGAGAAGGGCACGAGTCGCTATTCGGCTTGTCCCGGAATAACACGAGTTGGTCACGAATGTGGTGGTTACGAAAAGGGACGAGTGGTGACGAATGCGTCCCGGAATGACGTTTACCTCTTTATATCTATAGTGTTCTCCAAAGTTCGTTGAGCTTTTTATAATATTGTGATGTTACCGGGAGAGTAACGAAGGTGTCACGCATTTGGTTCGGCTTTTCCCGTCAAGACTGGAAAAATTACTGGTTCTGTGGTTATGCCAGCGTCCTCTGGTGGTAGATTGCGCGGGTTCTCCGGCATTCGTGACCAACTCGTGTTATTCCGGGAAAAACCGAATAGCATTCGTCACCACTCGCCATTTTCCGTAACATGCAAGAAGATTCTGCATGTCCCGATGTGCTTTAAATTGCGTCTGAAATATATTTAATATATGGGGAAATATATGTGAACCATTACGTAACGAGATGACAATTTATGTATGCCCGTTTGCGCTAAGACGGAACCCGGTCAAAAGAATGGCCATGAGAGTCGCTATTCAGCTTGTCCCGGAATAACACGGGTTGGTCACGAATGACCGAATAGCGAGTGTGGGTTACGGAAAGGGGCGAGTGGTGACGAATGACAAATGTTGACGTTTCGCATTGAGGGCCAAGAACCAGCTTAAACGCGCCCTCTGTAGTAAACTGGTTCCACTATGGGTACGCGACGCATACTTAGCGGTAGACAGGAACCCAGTATGCGCCCGCACACTCACATTCGGATTTCATCGGCTCTCAACGACATTGCGAATGTGTTACTGTGAGCAAGAGTTGAGTTACAGGAAGTTCATTAAGGTTCTTTCGATTGTACCACACGCTTGCAGCGCCATTTTGGAAATCGGCTTGGCTTCAGTAAAAGAAATTACAAACTCAACAAATACAAAGAAACCTTCAAATTTTCATCATGCAGAGAGACGAACCTGGGTAAGATACAATTCATGCATCGTTTCGCCAGTGTTACGCTGTGTTGTTTGCTGTGTTGTCGACAAATTAGTCTCTTTATTGTAATTAGTTCATAGCCTACATTTTCACCATGCTACAGTATCGGTTGTTGCCGGTAACGATGTATTGACCGTGGTTTGGATAGTCTGCATGTCCTTGTAATGGTGTAGATTGTACGATCACTTCTCTAATGCGTTTTACTAGTGTTTTGAACAAGACCTCTCGTTCCTATAAAGTAGATATGGGGCCTATTTAGCAAAATCAAGGAAACCAATATAGGCTAAACAAGTGCCTTTTTTCGTGTTCTTAACATAGACTTCAGGAATTAGGTGATTTCATCAACACGTGACCACCATGAAAATAACATTTCTTTCAATAAGAAAGAAGTCCTCGCCGTTTTTCGTCAAGCATTTACTGTGACCTCTGAACTAGGTCAGTTTCTATGCTATCACCATGATCAATAGCACCATGGCTATGCATGTCTAGATAATAAAACAGTATGTCAGTTATTTTATTGATTAAGATAATCCTCTTTTCCAGTATATAATGTCCTGTTGAGTTGAATACAAGGAGAATGACGTCTTTTTCAGCAGCATCATGTACAAATATTAAGCCTAATGGTAATACTATTAAAAAAAAGAAGATTTTCCACTCCCCAAAGGTGACTTTACATTGTTCAGAGTACAGCCATGGATTGCATTTCATTGTACTCTGGTTGCATCATGGGGTGTTGCTCATAAATATCAACAGGTTGACTCTTTTCAGACTAGCCTAGTGGTCTATGTAAATAAACTAGATGTTTAGTATCAGCTAGTTCCCCTATATATTTTCTCTAGGGCTGGGGTGATACACCGACTGTGCAATCAAACTGTGCTTGTGCTCTTATTTGTGGTGTTAGGCCATCTTTTTTGTAGACAGAATGGCCAAATACCTGGCACACTGACAATTTACTGTTGGCATCATCAAGTATAGCGCAATAGATGAAAATATTTGTTTTGATTTAATAATTTTAACTACAAATTAGTGTTTGATGTAACAAGGCAAACATTTAAGGCAAGGATTGATGTTTTTAACTTGTACGGCTGTGATCGATACAAGTATGAAAGTAATAAATTGAAGCGTATCGTCCCACTACTAAGTTTCACTTGTCTAAGACAGTGGTCTATTCTTGTCTACTATTGTTTTTGTCTGTTATTTCTCTACAAGTACCAACTGCCTCCGTGGTCTAGTGGTAGAGGGTCCGCCCGGAGAGCAGAAGGTCCTGGGTTCGATCCCCGGCCACATCACACCAAAAGATGGTACTTGTTGTTACCCTGTCTGGCGCTCGGCATTAAGGGGCTAAAACAAGGATTGGTCGGCATCAGTCCATGTCAACAGTCATTAATCCTAAAGGCATCAAATTCTTTGTAGTAAAACATGTTTTTGTTCTTTGCAGTAAAATTTTCATTGGCGGCTTGAGCTGGAACACCGATGCAGGTACAGAATATTTGATCAATGGCCATATAGTTTCACTTCAAGAGAATGTTTAAAACCATAAATGTGTACGAATACTCTTTTTGGGGTACATGTCATAGAGTTAATTCGGTATATAGTCTGGAAGGTAATTTAAGGTACCAACGTTTACTACAATATCTGAAAAACTATCGGACCTACACCAGTCAAAGTTGGTATGAGATTGTAAACAGTCATACATAACTGGATATTACATTTAAAGACAATCGGTGCATGAATAAAAAATCTGTCTATTTAGCTATCACTATGTTTCATCAACAACCAGACCTGTTCGTCAGAATCGTCACGGGTTGAACAAGCATTCATTGAAACAGCCATCTGCATAATGCTACCCCTGCGTCACAGGGCCATATGACACAGTTGAACCAATCAACTCAACTCGAAAGGGTGCACAGGAATCACACACATTTGACGCCCAACGCTAACACCATATTCGTGCGTGCGTGATTCCGGTGCACCCTGTTGAGTTGATTGATTGATTTTTCTAAGAGTTGTAATATGCACATCCATTATATTTCAATAGCATTTTGATACTTTTTGTTGCATATTTGATATGCTAGGGATTCAATTTGTCTGCATCATGCAGATTTCAGTTTATTTGGTACATATTTCAGGCAAATATGCAGCTTATCTATAGCTCTGCAATAACGAGAAAGTGAATTGATCAGCTTCTCTTCATTATTCCAAACGTTGTATACATTTATTGTGTTAAGTTTAGTGTGTTTTCCTTGTCTTTCTAGATGCCTTGAAAACATACTTCTGCTCTTATGGAGAAGTGGTTGATTGTGTAGTAATGAAGAACCCACAGACTGGCAAGTCTCGTGGGTTTGGTTTTGTCACATTCAAAGACCCAAGTGTTCTTGAGGTTGTATTGCCAGAAAAACACAAGATTGATAACAGAATGGTAAGAGCTTGTAGACTTACTGTTTTTTTGTTAGTAAATGATATTACAATTTGATAAATTATGCTTGTTTTTTTTTGTTTACAATGATCAGTTTTTTTTCCATTTGTCCATGATTATTGAAAAGTGGATCATTTCATCTCACGAATAACCATCTGTTGTTTGAAGAAATGGTTTGGTGAAATGGCTGCTGAATCTTTTAATCCTTAATCATGTTACTTATATAAATGACTTTTTACTCGGGAAATTAATTTCCTTTCACAAATGAGTTTAACTTTAAGGAAGTAGGTCTCTTCTGACAGTACTCAAATGAGAATGCTCTTTTTCAGGTTGATGCCAAACCATGTAATGCCAAGCAGGGCGGAGGGGGTGGAGGTGGAGGAGGAGGAGGACGTGTATGTAAATTTATTTATTTATTTTGAAGTTACCTTTTGTCATATTTGTTAGTCCGTGAAACAGTAACAAAGCTTCTCTGTAGATAATTTGGACTATAAAAGTACCTTTTTAGTCTACAATTGTTCACAGAATTCAGAGTTTTATTCTTATCTCTGAAATGGTAATTAGTTCACTGATAAAGAGTCCTTAAAATGTCTTTACCCTAAATAACTCCAAATTTAAGAAAATAAGAACTTCCCAATAAGCATGATAGGAAAAACTGCAAATTTGGACAAAATAACATTTGTTATCCAAATTGCCTGCCTTTGACACTTGCCTTAGTTTGGAATCGAAGATAGTACCTGTTTTGTCATATAAGGCGACTCAGTGGATTGGGAAGTCCAGCCTTGTGGCTTGGTTAATTGTTTATCATCACAAACCAACCGCTTTTCACACAAAATCTAACCACTGGTTAGTCTGAATCGATAGTTTTCAGACCAGCATCATACATCTGGAATATTGCTGATTATGACTGATTACAGACTCCATGTTAACTTTATCACCAACATGAACTGAACCCAAGTTTTAGATTTATGATGCATCTGAGTAGTTGTGTCTTTGATTTGAGTGTTGATGTTGATGTTGATGTCAGGGAGGAGGACCAGGAGGATCATACGGTGGTCGCGGTGGTGGCGGTGGCGGCCGTGGAGGGTATGGGGGTCATGGACATGGTGGAGGTGATAGTCGCGGTGGAATGCAAGGAAAAACAAACAAGATCTTTCTTGGTGGCATTCCAAATGAAGCTAATGAAGACAGTCTCAGAAACTACTTCAGTCAGTTTGGAAGTGTAAGTATTAAATAATTGAGCAGGTGTCAAAGTTTAATTTTTCAACTAGTAACCATATGGCTACAAGTACTTTTTTCCAGGTAGCCACTGGTAAAATCCACAAGACCAGCAAAAATTTTAGGTAGCCAAAAACATTTCAAATTATCTTTTATGAAACAACTATTATTATATGTACATGTCATAGCACTAGGCTTGAAATTGTATATTAGTGGAAACTGTACTTGATTTTTGTTATTTGTGGCTCGAATAATGATGCAATTTATTTTACTAAATGACATAGGTATCATGGGTATATCCTTGCTTATCCAATGAGCATTGTCAACTAAAATAAAATAGTAATTACATTATAATTATGTATTTCTGTTCAGTGTTGACTTAAGGAAGAATTATTCGCGAGTACAATTATTACTAGCAGATGTGTTTTTGTTGATTTATCATGCATTTGAGTAGCTGTTTCATCAGCATGATCAGCTTATACTGGTTTGTGAAGATGAGAATATACTGAAAATAATACATGGTCAGACTAGTAGTCTCAAAAGTTTTTGCCAGAAACTGCAGTAACATTCTAATTTTGTCCCGTTTTTACACATATCTTAGACAATATGCAAGTTATCACTTTAATTTTTGTTGTTACGCTCATCCAAAGGCAGGTTATTTTATTTTTGCTCAACCACTATCACTGATGTAGATTTGTGAAATGCATCAAATGATAGGGATTGCTCAACAATTACTCTTTTCTCTGTTATAGGTGACAGATGTGACGATAATGTATGATCAAGAAAAAGGCCGTTCTCGAGGTAAGATGACTGCACTATTAGAGAAGACTTAACTCTACCCTATTACTTTGTTTTTATATGCACAAATTAAATAAGGCATCTCTGAAAATATTATGTGAAACTTGAGGATGTCCCAGTATTCAAATAAATATTATGGAATAAGTAATATTAGTTAGTATATGAAGGTTGAGTTCACAAAGATGTGGTTTTGTATGTACCAAGACCTGGTGTACACCATGGTATGTTTGGTTTCTGAAACATGCAACCTAATATTAAATACTCCTCCAATAAGGGGAGACACGTGAAATGTGACTTAGGTAACATAAAGGTGTGGAATACGTTCTGAAACATGAAATAACTTTGGTCATGAAATGTATGGTACTTGAAATTATATGTCAAGTTTACATATTGAACAGCTGGAAGCATTAGTCCTTGCTGTTACAGTGGTAACTTGAACTCTTAATGTTGTATTTGACCATTGATATCTACAATAATTAGTTTTACATAGTATTTAGCCTTGAAAAATCTTGTCATATTACCTAACTGAAGTCTTATTTGTTTGTGCGGTACACTTTCGTTAAAGTAGTATGGGCATATATACTGATCTGATGGTGAAGTTAGCAGTTTTGTTCTGTTGATGTGTACGTGTCATGTCCTGTTTGACATACTGACCATAAGTGCCATGAAAACATCATGCAGAGTGCAGTAACCATTATGACTGAACTGATGCATTTGCTAAGTCAGTACCTGATTTCGTGTATTGGGCATTATTGATGCAATATAATCTTGTGAAGAATTTTATCTATTAGTTATGGAATTAGTCCACAGTGCAGTTGATTTAATTTAAGTCTATATTAATCTTGCACTATAGAAGTTCAGTATGGGTGCTGTTTATTTAACTTTAGTATGGCGTTGATCATGTTCATGATAATAATTTATTAGATAAAAATAAATGATAATCTTTTCTTAGAATGTTTATCCATAATGTTATATTAAAACTGAATTTATCATGTACTTCAATCCTGTATTTAGACATTTCAGCTGTCTTGTGGTATTTGACCTGAAGAACGAAGATTTGTCAGGCTTACATAATGTCATACAAAGTATCAGGAAGTTTGCTCCAAATTCCATAATGTGTCATGATGAAATCGAGGAATTGTTAGAATTAATTATTCATAGAATTTAGTAAAACTCATATGGATATTTAACTGTGTGACAATTGTTTTTGTACATTTTTAAGAAAAGTGACTGATTATTTGTCTCATTATGTGAGCCTGAAAGTGACGTTTAAATGAGTCAACTAAGGTTGGTTCTTGGATCTTGTTCCTGGCAGCCCCAAAAAACATTCTTGGGGGGGATTGAGAGGAGAGAGAGCCTTACATTATTTCCATTAGGGTCACCATCTTCATAATTTCAAAGGACACTTTTCGTACATAGTATATGATTAGTACAATGCAGAAAAAAGTATTGTCTGTCCTTATATTTCTGCCACGGCACTTGATCCAAGATTGACCATGGCTTGAGTTTCATGATACCTGGTTCTCAATCCTGTCACTGCATGTTGCAATGACACAGACAACGTATCAGTTAGTTGTGCACTAGAAAACCCTTTCACAGTGAAGCAATTGGGGTTTACATAGGTAAAACAATTGTAAGTCATAAGTCTCTTACTCATGAAAACACAGCTCTGACTTGTAAAAAGATCTACATCACTCAATGACTTGTAAGGTCTAAATTGTGCTTTTGACCATTTGGACAGTTTCTTTATGATTATTGATTCACATAATACCAAATAAAGTGCATGCAGTTGGTTCCATAAGCACAAAGACCACTTTTCAAATATCTCTGTGTTAAAAATCGCTGTTCAATGTGTTCATGTCACACACATACAATTAAACACCTTTATTAGTAAAGATTATTATGCTACAAAATCTCATTTGCAAACAAATTGTGACAGACATTTTGAATTGCTACAAGTTCTTGAGTCACTGACTTTCAGCATGTTCATTGGTTAAAACAAATTTTTTAACTCCCAGTGACTGAAGTGTGCCTTACATACGTCATGCAATGATAGTACTAATGTTAAAGTTCTTTACAGTTTAATCAAGGGGAATATCACCAGTTCATTTGTGAAATATTGCCGACATTTTCACAGCTGATAGGGCTACTATGTCTTTAAGAATAAGATGGGAGAAAAATATTCATTGTTATATTCTCTAACATAGCATGGTTATTTCTATTTACTGAAAGTGGCTTTATTTCTTATTGTACAAGTCGATGGTGAGCATTTTGCTAGAATTATCTCGGCCACAGTGACCAAGTTAGCACAGTGGGGCAGTTCCAAGCCACTAAGAAAGTTAACTTGCAGTCCACGGTGGTCATGACACACTTTTATTCCGTGTAAATCATTTGTTTTGACCATTTTGCATGAAAAATGTAACAAACATGCACACAAATTAGTTATATTTTGTACTTTATATGATCAGGAGAAACCTGGGTTCACATTTAGGTAATATAAACTAATATAAGAATACCAAACCTGCTGCTATGGATCCAGGAGCAATGCCCTGTCAAAGATTTCAATAAAATGGATTGTTTCGCAAGTGTGTTTGTTTTTTATATGAAAGATTTATTATGTGAATGTGTACAAGTGTTTATTCTGAAAGTTCTAGTAAGTGTTACAATTAATTGTTAATAATAGTCTCTTTGAGTATAAAACACATAATTGGTTGCAACTGCAATCTGATGTGAAATATTTTGGCAGACAACAGAAACATGTTGTTTTACAAACATTGTACACATGCACAAGACAAACTTTTGTTGGCACTATTCCATCAGAAAACCCCATCACCAATCCGTTCATTTTTGTGTCTCTTAGACTTTAATTTGTTTGTCCTTAAGTAGAATAGTTGCTTGAACCTATTGAAATATTTTCTAAAAAAAGAAAAATCTGAAGTGAAAATGTTTCCAATGTAAAGGTGGAAACTATGATTCTGATCTGAAACCTCATATTGGCATGCTATATTTATGGTTTGATTCCATGTGATGGGTTGTTTCTTGAACTGATGTACTGCACATATTTTCGCTGTCATTGATATTGCCGAGTCACTTCAAGAGTTTGTCACATGAAAGTCATTTTTGATAATATTGTTAATTTGTTATAACCATTACTTCCCCCTTCCTTTTAGGTGAAGATGCTCTTCAAGTTTGTGAATGTTTATATGCATATGATGAACCTGCTTATTATTGTCTTGCTGTTACTATTAACTAGGCTTTGGGTTTTTGACATTCGAGAGAGAAGACAGCGTTGAATTGGTGTGTGGAGATCAATTTCATATTGTGGACGGGAAGAAGGTTATTTCTTATTTACACAACACTATAAAATTGAATTATTGATTATTAATTTAATGAACACATTTAAGGATATTATCCATGTTTGATATTGTTTTAATAGTTCCTTGTGAATATTTTCCTGTTTCTTTAGTGAATGTGCATTATAAATATTAGATGTTTAAACACCGGAAACAAGATTATTGTTATATCCCCTTAAATATTTGACATTTTAACCAAATGGGGATTCGAGACAATTCAGCTTTGGAAGAGATGTACTGCTTAGTTTAGTTTAGACTTTAGTTTATTTACCTGACCTAAAATATGGTATACATGTGTGTCATGATAGACAGGTGCATGTTGATTCAATCAAGATGAGCGATTTTGATTGTTCACTAAATTACTTAGCATGATTACTATAGTGTATTTATTGCGACTGAGATGTGAATAGATTATCAACATTTTAGATAAGGTTTAGATAGTAAATTGGGTTAACGTTTAACAGTGGTTATTAAGTACAGACAATTTATGTTAAATGTTGTGATATTGTAGAAGGCATTTATATTTATTTACATATATAACAAACTGCACTCCTACTAAGCTATAAATGGGTCATACTTTCACCAAGAACTTAGCGTTGGTGTATGGTGATTACAACTGCATGTTAACACATATCTCTAAAGTATCACCAACCTATGATATCCAGCTGATCAAGTCCTTGCTTCTGATACTTAAGTCTTTGCTGGTAGTTAGGTTTGGAGTGCAGGTTGCCCAGTGGTCAAATGTGGCACAATTTGTTGTGCAGAGTTACGTCCCTCAGCTGGTCGTGGGTTCAAATTCACACATTCACCCTGATTAGGATCTTTAGTTTCTTACCACCATTCCAATGTTCAGTGGTACACGTCTGTGAACTGAGTCTACAATTGAAATATTAAACTGTGGGGCCTAGCTAAGTGGCTCTATCTTTCAGATTCAAATAAGGAAACACAGTGAACAGATTGTTGTGAGTTTGTGTAGCAGTGATTCGTTCTCACAAACTGAGTATTTCAAGCCATTAATAAGTATGGTTGAGTGTGAATTTAGTTGTGCATGACAAAGGGGACAGTGTGAAACTATAAGAGGGACTGAGGAAAAGCACTCCGCATTCTTTAAGTATACCAAGTCAACGACGTACATATTTGATATTTATGATTAAATGTCAAGTTTTGTACAGTGGACCATTGCTTATGAATTTGTGTGTCGATATTTGAGAAACGCTTAAGTTGGTACTTATCTCATGAAGGTTATCAAGATTTCTTCTCAGTAGTATGACATTGTGAAATAAGTAAAATATGCATTTTCATAAAGTTTGCTTAGATATGAAAATATTAAATAGAAGTATGGTCAGGATCCAGGTTACAGCAAGTGCATCTCTTCCGTATGAATAAATAAACATTAGATATGTGTTCTCTACAGTTAACAAAAGTTGTTTGTTATGCTAACATGTTTTGCTTATGAAGTTATTTGATCCATTTTTGATAGTGCCTGTTTGCTGTGCTATGTTATATGTTGTGCAAATATCTGACATTGGGGCTATTTGACAAATACAATTAGAAAATGCAGCATTTTAATTACATCTTTAGGGTATTATTTTTAGCTTGAAAAGCTACCAACCCTTTCACATTGCATTGAGAACTACTTGATTACAAATCTGACTTAGTATAGTGAGTGTTTGTACCTGTACCTTTCCATTCTGATGGTGGCTAGAGAGACTGATTTAGTGTTGGAATGTCCACTCATGGGTGTAGGATGCCAGACATGCTATTCTTCACTGCATGTGAAGAAACAGATGGAAGGCACTGTGGTGCTTTGTGCAGATAGCAAATTTAAGGGGTGTTTAGCATTTCAGTACTTAACTTTTCCAACTGGCATGTACATCTCTGAATGTTTTCTGATCTGTATTCACAGATTGTAAAAGTAGTAATAATGGATACTGTAGGAAGTTCTCACTTGATTAGTTTACTTATTCCTGCTATCATGGTTTCTATACCTTTCTAACACCAGAAATTCTATGTTATACACACAATATTAAGATGTTATTTTGCAAAGACTAGTAGTATTGTGTCCATGATACACATGTATGTTTCCTATAATTCAGTATCTGTCCCTTGACTCCCTTATAATGTTTAATGGTGGAAGCTTCCCCACTGAATGTGTGTGTTGTGTCCCAGGTGCAGTAATGTTGTTGGTTATGGTGGGCAGGGATGAGAATTCTCTATTGATGGTACTTTCTGAAATAATGCATTTATTTATTTCATTTAAGATCTTCTCTTACCACATCTTTAGTTTGTATCAATTATTTCCCATGAGGATACTATTATTAAAAGGCCAAAATTGACCCATTCTCATCCCTGGGTGTTTGTGTTGATGTTTTAGTGTTGGCAGAGATGCATTTTGATAGTTGTCAGAAGTCATGGAGTCTTGGGGAGTTGAACAAACATGATTAAGTGAGCATAGTAAAAGTAGGCTTTTATATACCGAAGGGGTTGGGAGTTTTTTGTAGCCCTTTTGTCAAGATATTTAGTTCACAGTTAGCAATTAGTTCATAAAAAGTGCATATATTAGGTAGTTTAAGGAACAGATTTTGATACACTTAAAGATTATCACCATGCCATTCACAGTCATTTGGTAATTTCAACTGGTACTCTGTACCTCATCTTAAATAAGTCTTTGTTGTTCTATTAGTTAGATTAAAGATTGATATTACATTACATTTATGTTAGTTGTAGCTGTATTAACACTGTTCCTTTTTTTCCCCCATAGATTGAATGTAAACGTGCAGAGCCCCGCCAGGGTCGTGATGGTGGTGGCGGTGGTGGAGGAAGGGGGCGTGGACGTGGTCCACCTGGACATATGATGGGGGGAGGTCCTCCTCAGTTTGCCCCTCCCCAGGGACCTGATAGTTGGGGTCAGGGAGGAAACAACTTCCCACCTCAAGGAGGTCCTCCCGGGGGCCCACCTGGCTACGGATCCAATGGGCAAGGTTATGGAGGTGGCTATCAAGGCTACCAGCAGCAAGGTGGAGGATATCAAGGACAGCAAGGTATGTTTCATTACACACAGACAGAGCTTTTTCAGGTGACGCTTGGCAAACACTCTTTTTGACAGTGTTTCATCAATGCTTACAAAACATTAATTAGATTGTTCTTTGATCAGTTAAGTTCAGATAAGATATGTTCACAGAGCTCAAGATATGTATGTTTGTACACATTTGAAGGTACAGGTAATATTTTTATGAAACAGTTTAGAGCCTTCATAACAATTTGCAAAGTTGTCAATTTCAAACAGATTGAAATTTTTCATTTGTCCTTTTGAAGTTACTTGGTTGTTTAAGTGTAAGTTAAAGCATTAATTCAAAATGAGAAAAGAAATTGAGGGGACAAAGAAGTTCAAACAAAAAAAGCTTATCTTGAACCCTGAGATTCCTTAAGTGGCGATGATATTTTTAGTAGTTTCTCACATGCTGTATTGCTGTGCTTACCACATTCCGTTACAACTTGAGTTGATTTTTGTCAAGTTTTGCTTTGTATTAGTTAATGTGAACCTGGTTCTTGATGATTTCAGTGGCATGGCCTATGACTGGTATGTTTTGTAGTAACCATTAGTTATTGCACAAGGAAATCCCAATGTTGCCTCTTGTGACACATTTCCAGAAATAATTATACATCTATAAAGATTTCTGAAAAGATATCCAAAATCTATTTCCAAATGCCACCATCTGATGTGGATGTTGTCACTGTAGTTAATAGAAGCATCATTGAGAACCAGATATTGCTTAGTTACTCTTAGGTATTCAAGTGTAGGGTTGTCATGGCTCACGCCTCAGGGTAAGATATATGCCTGTACTCGCTGTCCTAAAATTAATATTGAAAGAAAGGCTTGTCCGAATCATTAATTGAATTACCATTTTGCTCTCATTTGTGCTGTCAGACCTATATATTGTGTATGCTGTCCGTGAAGTTTCATCACAGAGCTTATTCACAATTCATGAGACACAGTTGTTTCCTGGGCACAAGTACTACTTTGTATCAATAGCGCATGACAACCCTACCAGGGTTAGAAATTAACACTAGCCCGCTAGCCTGGGGCTAGTACAAATTTCCAAATACCTCCCATTGTTTCAGCATAACAGGGGCATATTATCCCTCTCAGGCTAGTGAAGCTTTTAAGTTTAGTTCAAACCCTGCCAACTGTGTTAGATTGAACATTCACTAACCATGGTAGCAACTTCATTCACAGGACGGTTTTAGCGAAGTTCATGTATAGGGGACAAACCACCCTTCGAGACCTTCGGCGAAAAAGTCCCTATCTTTCATTCATATATTTATTCAGTGATTTCATCTCATCTCGCTAATGGCAAAGGGACTTGGGTTATGCAATAACAGTGTTTTAAATTCGTGGGGTTCAATCCAAAATCCTAAAGTTAAGAATGAACATGATCAGGGGGCTTTAGATTTAAAGCATTTATTATGATATTGTAACCATAATACTGATGGCCCCCATTGAATTTTGAACACTGCTTTTAAAATAATCACCTATTTATTTATAGTTACATTTGTTGAATGAATTATTTGTGCATTTTGTTGAAGCCACTCATGTCGAGATGTGTACAATTATCATAAATACACACCTTTAGATAAACCTTTTGCTTTATTCAGTCACTTACATCAATAATTCACACTTACTGTGAACAATTTCTTTACAGTTTTCAAGCACCTTGCTTTGAGAGTAAATTCAATATAATGCTTTACCAAATCTTCAAGAAGTCCCGGAAATGATGTACCATGTATTGAAGAGGATTGTTTTTCTCTTGATGGCATGTGTGATTTTTCCATCCTTCTCTGCTGTTTGGTGGTACAAGAAAATGGGCCTTTGAGACCTCATCTTCTCAACACCCTATTAACTGTTGTATACAAACTGTGGATTATCACTGATATGAACATTGGTGCACAATTGTCTGGGGGAAAAAGAATTTTTCAAAAAATTTAACATGGCAGGGATGGATGATGATGATGGAAGAACACATTAAATAAAATGCACAACTTCAACAAAGCTGCTTAAAATGTACCTGTTTAAACAGCTTTGTAGCTAAAAGTATTTTAGTGGTTGTTCTACTTTGTTTTTGAGCATGAAGTTGCTTGTAGATCGTGTTTAGGGGTTTAACAATACAAGAGTTTCAGTACAATGCATTTATCAATTCATTTGTTCCGTATATTGTCCTTAAATGGTATGCTGTGAATTTCAAGAAATATTTTGCCAAATGGGGAACACAGTTCCACTTCATTATGATGAAAATATGTTGTCATGGCAATACCCTTTGATTGTTCTGGCATCACTTGTGCCACACCATGTTATGTGTTTGGGTTTTGACCATTGTTACTCCCCTAATCATGCTACATTGTTTTGTGTATAGTAAGTAACAGTGTTAGAAATCAAGTGTTTTACATTAGATGGAACAGTTCAATATGTTTTATGTTTAAGTTGGTTGTTCATTAATACTGACTTAGTAAGAAATTATGCTTTAGCAAGCATCCACCAGAAGTAGACCAATATCTATATTTAACCACATTTACTTGAGTTTATCATAAAAGTCCAATATTATGCTCTGAAGGTAATGAGTCATTTGATAGATACACAGCAAGTTTGCAGTGCATTTGTTTCCCTTCTATCTGTAAATATGTTGAGCTGGTTTCATTTTAGTGCATGAAATATGAATCACATGTTTCTTGGATATTTGTATAAGAGGATTTAAAGATCATCATGGAAAAAAATTGTTGATTGGGTGTCCTAAAAGTTGACTTGCTTTACCTTGGGCTTGGATGAAACAAAGTTTTTGGATTGAATAGAAACCATATAGTCATGCATGTATTAATATCAAGGACAGGAGTGGTTGTGGTTGTCACATGTGTAGATTACAGGGCTAAGTTTGATTTCTATTGTTATTTTTTTCAAGTTACCCAAAACTATTGGCTTTATTAGTTTTTGTTATTATAGGGGACCCATATTGTTTCTGGGGTTAGTGATTTGGGCCACCATACTATCACTCATTTGTCATGTAATACAGTTTACAGTTATGCAACATAACTGTTTGATCTTCTCTGAATACATCTGGGTCAAAATTGAGCTAATATGTTGAAGTGCCCAATTTCATGTTTACAGTACCTGTTAATTGTTTCCAATTAAGATATTGCAAGTTTTTGGGGTTTTTTTCAAATTTATATGTTAGCTGGTATTGGAATTATGACAATACTTCAAAACTGGTTCAAAGGTCATACCTAAAATTCTTGGATTTGTTTTTATTGATTTTGATGTGTCAATAGTTAACTAAATTACACTTTTCATCATAAACTGCATTGGAGTGATTTCCCCTAGAGGGTTTACAGGCAACCTTTTCTTTAATCAAGGTCCGTGTTTTTTTCACTTCCTAAAGTACTATTTATATTTGTTTCAAATGAGTTAAGGCCAGTTGAGCACATTTATTGTCTTGACTCTTACCGAGTCTCATCTTTTTCACATGTTTTGGATGAAGTCAGTGCATGCTTGACAAGTTAATAAGATATTCACCACTTTTCACAAGCTATTACCATGATCGTTATGAAGAACTAGTACTATTTTTTTATTTGTTGTACATTCTTTGCTGTTTAGATGAGTGTTCATTGTCAGTTGTGTGAATTTATTTTTAGTCTGGTGAGAGAATTAGCATGGAAAGTGTCGTCTACATCAGTCCTATGTGTATGCAAAGGTCTGTATTTGTAGCCTAATCTGTTTTCCAGGTGGTTATGGAGCCACACCGCCAGCTCCAGGCCAGGGTGCTCCTGGGGCCACCCAGTCCCCTACCCCTGGGGCGGCACCAGCTGCACCTCCACCTTACAATCAGTGGGCTTCCCCTCCCCCGGGGCAGCAGCCCCCTCCACAACAGCCACCACCGCAGGCACCACCACCACAGCAGCAGCAACAGCAACCCCAGCCCCCTACCCCGGCCCCAGGCTATGCAGGTTACCCACCTCAGGCTCCTGGGGGGCCAAGTTATGGGGGTGTACCCACCAGTCCCTCTCAAGCCCCACCCCCCAGACAGCCTGGGGCACCACCAGCTCAGCAGACATATGCCGACTTCAGTGAGTGGTAGTTAACATATGGTAAATTAAGGAGAAATAAACTCAATGTTTTGGATTGCAAGATAAACCTGGCATAGCATGATGTCAGTATTTTCCATTCAGATATAAGAATTGAGTGTCTTTCAATTTTTAGCCCTACCACTTACTCAAATTTGTTCACTCAACTGATCAGTTGACCAGTTGAGTTTATCGGTGATCATGCATATCGTCTTCAAGTTATACATCGACTCAAATACTAAAGATGCTCACAATTTGCTGAACCATCTTGGTGCTAAGATGATGGTAACTCCAATACTTTAACAGAGACTTATGAAAGATGTTGCTTTAAGAACATTTTGTGGAACGTGGTCCAGGACTCCATTCCCAAAACAGGCCTACCTCTGAAAACCAGCAGTGAGCAACCAAAGTATTTGTAACAGTATACACTTAAATAAGTTTAAATAGAAGTACTGCTCTTCTTACAATATGCCTATGTTTTCTATGGCAAATACTACCTGTTTCATTATTTTTTTTATTAAGTTTGAATTGATAATGCACCTTGTTTTATGAAACTCTGAATGAAAAACCCCCAAACCCCCAAACCCCCAAACCCCATGGCTCCCCAAGCAAAAAAATGCTTTGTCTCATACAGCAATGTAGTTCTGTTATTCTGTGTTGCTGCTTGTGTTTGGGTAAGAAAAATGACAAGACCCCATTACTAGCCAACTGGTAAATTGTTAGATTTTGGTAATCAAGGGTTTGCTGTAGAGGAGGTGAGGTTCCTCTGGAAGACACGGTTTTGAAAGCAAGTGTATTTTACCAATATGCTGCTGGTCACACAGACATATACTTATTGTTAAACTTATCAGGATTCACAAACAAATCCATTATTACTGAAATGTAGTAACACTTCATGCACTTAGTCTCAATTTCTTGCACTTACTAATTTAGCCTTATTAGTATTTCAAAGTATAAAAATGCCACTTGAGCACAGTCTCATTGCATTGGTATTTCTATTGTTTAGTTTCTTGATTGATTAGTTTAGTGGTTGATTTAGTTACATGATAGTGAGGTGCCAGACTGTCATAGTAGGTATGTCAGGTGCTTTCAAGGGTTTTAGATAGTTAAAACAGTACTGAATATTTAGTTCATCATTTGATTACATTTCTCAAGGTCTGCATTGATATGACAGATTAAAATTCACGGACATGTCATTGTAAAAACAGTTTGGTGCTTTGTTCAGTGTAATAAATTAAATTGAGAAGGAAAATTTGAATGCAAAATAATGTATGTCAGACTTTTCCATGTATCTTAATAGTCAGACCTTGAGAATTATGATCAATTTCTGTGATTCAGGGTACTTCTACATATCATGTTAATAGTACCTATATTTAACAATGTTGAAACATTTAGTCGCTTTAGTGTTTGTATCATTAATAATGGTAAATACTCATAATTGATCATACAAATACTTAAAAAATTAAATATATATGGATTACTAACCTTGGTTATGTGATGTCTATTGTTAGTGGCTTTAGCATGGCCAATGTTTAGTAATTAGTTATCAGTACATTTAGATTACGACTATCATTATTAGTTCAAATGATAGGAGTCTGTTAGCTTAACCTGTGACACATAGCCCAATATGTTATCTTTTTTTTTGTATTTCTTAAATATGTTACTTTTGAAATAAGTGATCAGGTAGAGCTATTGTTTCACACAGCAGAATTCAGTAAAATTGTTGATCTGAGTATGCCTTAGTGTAGAACAACACTGCTGCCCCACAGCTAAATCTTGTTTGAACATATTGCTATTGAAGTTCATAACAGATTTATGTTCAGATCCCACCAGGGTTTTTTAATTATCATTTTTGTAATTCCCAATTGTATTCATACATGTATACAAATACCACTACATATTTAGATTTTTCTCTGATGCCAATATGTTGATTTGGTTCTTCAGTCATCAAGTCTTCTGGCTTCTGAAAATGACAAACTAACCAAATCTTTCAATAAATACTGTCAGTCAGTGGCAGATGTGTTCTGCCCTTCTGGCCATCACGCTTTATCTCAACAGAATTAAGAAACTGTTTGAAACATGTTTAGAGGTTAAATTTACTTGTACGCTATAGTGAGTTATGTTCACCTGACCCTTTGAAAACTCTCAAGTAATCACTATATTTTTCTTATATGCATAAACCAAGGTCTGAAGTAGTGTCCCTTGTGTTTTAGAAGTTTCAGTATAAGTTACATCTTTTCTTTTTGTTTCCATGGTAACAATGTGAAGTGATGGGTCTTATGTCTGCCCACACATTCTTTTGATACTAATGGAATGTTTTTATGTTAAGGTTAGATTATTTAATTCAGTTATTAGAATATATAAGATTTCTTATGAAGCCATTAGTTATTAGTTAAGAGCTTTGACCAAATTGAAGTGATCACATCAATTTTTCATTTCATTGCCTTTGCTTTCTTCAAGTAGAAGCATTTCTTGCCTGCAAGCTTTTAAAATTTTCTGTTCACATGAAATGTTTTGAAAAATTGATCTGATCCAAACCTAACTGTAATTTCCCAACATTTTGTTTTTGCTAATGAATTTTCTTTTCCCAACTAATCTTATCTTGAGAAAATTGTCTGATGAATTTAATTTTCCTGCTTACAGACCAAGCTGCTCCAGTGCCAGCTGTAGCACAAAGTTACCAAGGTTACGGTGGTGCCTATAGCAATGGTCAAGCTCAAGCTGCCCCTGTAGTAGATCCATATGCTCAACAGACTCAGCAGTCACCAGGTACATTTTCACATGTCTTTCATACATGGTTTTGGTTAGATATTATCATAACTATGTAGTGATTTGATGGTGCATCATACTTCTGGGTCATAACCGTGTAATGTACATGAAATGTTTGTTACAGCTATGGGACAGTATGCTCAGGATGCCAGCAACTATGGCCCCAGTCGGACATATGGACAGACAGCAACAGCAGGTGCCCCTGCAGGTGGAGCATACAGTCAGCTAGCCTCATATGCCCAGCCCACAAGTCAAGGTAGAGACTTGTCTCAATATGGTTTCAATAGTAGGAACTAGCACTAAGTAAAAAAAAAGACCTGTGAATATCCGGGGTAGAAAAGGTCTTCAGCAACCCATGCTTACCGTAAGAGGCAACTAACAGGATCGGGTGGTCAGGATCGCTGACTTGATTGATGCATGTCATCATGTCCTGATAGTGTGGATTGATGCATGTCATCATGTCCTGATAGTGTGGATTGATGCTCATGAAGTCAATATATGGATTCTCTGGTACAGACCGCCTCATATGGCTGGAACATTGCAGAGTGTGGCGTTAAACAACAAACAAACAAATAACTAGTCGAAAAGTTCCAATCTAAATGCATAATAGTTAAGACTTGTAGAGGGTACTAGCACTAGTTCATAGTCCCAACCAAATTGTGAAAGTGTAATTCTCAGACATTACTATTACATTTTCAGCCGCAGTGTACAGTGACCCAAGTGGCTATGGAGCTGCTGGAGCGGCCGCCACACAGCAGGTAGCATATGGCAGCCCACCAGACCCTCAGCAGGCGAGCTATGCTGGCTATGGTGCTCAAAGGCAGTCAGGAGGCAGTCAGCAGGCATACCACCCCTACCGGCGATAAACATTAAGACTGCCTTATCAATCATTGTGTGTGGGAGAGCGTGAGGACTGACAACAAGCAATTTTATTATTTGTCACATCAGTAGCATTCATTCATTGTTGTATTCATGATTGTTTTAATTGATACTATCTTGAAGTTGTCCAAATTGAGTTGTAAATTATTTGTGAATTTAATGTAAGAACTTCAATCATGTTTATAGTTGAGGTATGTTCCAGGTTAAGACAAGATTAAGTACAATAGACTGTGCCAAACCATTCATTTCATCTCACAAATTTATCATCTTTACTGAATAGAATTAGACTAATTATTCAATTAGGACTTATTTTTGGCAAATGTGTGAGATTATTAATTTGTACCTTCTCCTTGAGTAAAATGTATTGCATTTGTGGGTATCTCAACTATTTACACATGTCAAGAGGTTAAGCCACAGAACATTTTCATCTAGGATCGGTCTCCCAGTTTTTGATGTTCAGAATCTCTGTCAGTCTTGTTGAGATAATTGATAAGGTTTACCATGTAATTATTTCACAAATTTTATCATAAATGATTGAGCAGAAAATGTTGAGCGTATCCATTTATGACAATTTCAGTTCTTGTTTTTTGTACATAGTCATGCCATTGCTCATCATTCTGCTAAATAAACATTTTATTGTCATGGATCTGTTTAGTTTGTTCTTTCTTGTGAAGAAAATGTTTGTTTTTATGACAACTACCATATTTGCCATAACAAGTGTCCAACGCTAATCTTGACGCATAAATGAGTTACCTTAGTTGAAAATCGATGGAACTGAAACTTTTTCAATATATGTTACCTGCAAATGATTATTCTCCTTCGCTGCTGTCTGTAATGTGCACATGAAAATATAGACTGTTATGTTAACTTTTGGTCTTAAGTGGTAGCAGTTATGATGATTACTTGCAGATTTGTTTAGATGTTGGTCAGGTAGTATCAATTCAAGCATACCTGTGAAGATCAGGATAGAATGTCTTCAGCAACCCATGTTTGCCCTGAAAGGCGACTATGCTTGTCGTTATAGGCGACTTACGTGATCGGATGGACAGGCTCGCTGACTTGGTTGATGCATGTGATCAATCCCAATTGCGTGGATCGATGCTCATGATGTCAATCACTGGATTGTCTGGCCCAGACCTGATTATTTACAGACCGCCGTCATAAAGCTGCAATATTGCTGAGTGTGGTGTTAGACAACAAACAATTCAAGCGTCTTGCTTAATCTGGCAAATCTGGTATTTGTTATGCGAGTCAATTTCATTAAGAGTGATTTTCAAAGGAAAATTACATTTTTGCAAACTTGCAGATGGACATGAATTTTATTTTGTGAAATTTAATCTAAAAACAGTGAACCAGACAAAGAGATGGGTATGTTGTGCAACCAACTACTGCTATCACACACCTCAGATCCACCAGTGACATATTGAAGTTAACAAAATTATATTGTTGGCTTCAGTTCCTGTACACTGCATTTCAAACGAAATGTTAGCCTCTAAAATAGCATGCATCCATTAAGGAGATATTTCTCTTTCCCAAAACATTTCATATCTTAAGAACTGCTATTGCTACATAAATAATTATTTAATGTATTTCAAGTCTGAAAATGGGACTTTGCAGAAATTGAGATCGATGCCAAGTTTCTCTTGTGCATTGTATTCCTATAGTTTTAAAATATAATGAGACGACAAAATGTTATTTTTACCCTTAAGGTCCCTTATTTAATGGTTGGTCAGAGATATTTATATATTAAAGGCGAAGCTTATTCATTTTGAAACCATCATCAAAGCAGTTTATGGGACTTGCTGAATCAATGGTTTGATTTACAGGCCGTCTGTGTGTAACGAACGTTGCTGAGCGAGACCTTAAAAAGTAGGTAGCATGACCTCTCAGGTGACCCTGTGTGACTGAGTATGTAAAAAAGACTGAAAGGGTCATTATGTTATAGGGTTACACTTTCAACACACATAAACCTACCCTGGTCAAAGTCAGAATACAGAAAAGTTTTGTTTGTTGTTTAACGCCGCACTCGGCAATATTACGGCTATATGACGGTTGTCTGTAAACAATCAAATATGGACCAGACATTCCAGTGATTGACATGAACATCGATCTACGCAAATGGGATATGATGACATGCATCAACCAAGTAAGCGATCCTGACTACCCGATCCCGTTAGTCGCCTCAGACAAGCAAAGTTGCCCTTCACAGCAGGCATGGGTTGCTAACACCTATTCTACCCCAGATCTTCATGGGTCTACAGAAATGAAGTCTTAGTTGGTCACCGCATAGTCGATTCAATATTTATATATGGACTCCAGACCAATTTCAAACAACTATCTATTCCTGCAGCATGCAAGACTTGAGGTTACAAATGAAACTAACTGGTTTAGCACGTGATAAACTTGCCCAAACTGCTTCAGTGAAGTAATCAGCTGGGGAACATTTCAGAATCATAATTTCTACCTGAATACTGAACTGTATGTTCAGTGGTAAGTCACTGACTTCCCAAGATATTTTGTTGAATCTTATGACATTTTAAGCTTTTTCACAACATGGACGCTTAAAATGTTTCCGTATTTGCAGTATGAAGCTACCCTTACCAACAAAATTGTACACCAATCTAGGAGTAATGTAGTAAGTCCTAGTAAACTGTGTTGGAAGAGATATATTATTGCCAGACTTAATGACAAAGTTTTAGTTTCTACAACGTTTGTACTTCTGAAGTTTAATCCCTACTGCTTGATCTCTGCCATCGTTTTAGGACAACAAAGGAAGTTGCCAAAACTCAGATCAAGTCTTTCGAAATACTTCTACCTATTTTGCAATTTAACTAGCCGATCCTCTACGCAGATGACACTTCAAGATACTTCACACACAGGTTTTACATATCAGAGTAAAATATCAGCGATTAATGAGATTCACCTACACCATACCTCATGCTAGTGAGAATTTAAGGGACAACCATAGTGCCGATCAGGTATGTGTGTTTGTTGTAACGTTCGACGGTGGTCTGTTAATAATCAAGTCTAACCACCCGAACCATCTATACAACTGATGGCAAGCAAAAGTTGGTTAGGACCACAGGTTTCATGAAGTAAGATTGTGACTTGGCTGTATGCCATCAAGCCTCCTAGCATGGATAGTTGGTCATACTTTAAATCACTGGGTTGCCTTGGATACTAACAGACTGACATGATGTACCTGGACTATTGCTGACTGCGGCACAGAACATTCACTCACATGGTGACAACTGCATGTATTAGAAAACCAACATTGTTACTAATCTACAACATTGCTAGAATATTACTGTCATGGAACAACATCCATTCATTACCAGCAACAAATCTTGTGCCCAGTAGAAAGAAGTGAGAAGGAATTAATTCCACAATTCGATTCGGCTCCTAAGTCAGATGAACTGTTGCCTAAATCCAAGTTGGTAGAAACCTCAAGTTCTAATACAGAGTTCTCAGTTGTTCAGCAGGAAGAAAATCATAATGCAAAAATATGAATAATTTATTGTCAACCATCTGCTTATTTAAGATACAAAAAAAACTAACTGCGAATGTTAAATCTCTACACCAGTAGATATTCTGTCTAATGCTATCTATACTTTGTATACTCTATATACCAATCTGAAGAACACCTGGGCTCACTTGCACAAAGCGATCTTAGTGTTACGACTATTGTAAGCCTATGTTAAAGTATGGGAGTTACGATCATCTTAGCGCTAAGATCGCTTTGTGCAAGCGGGCCCTGGTTCTTTCCTAGTACTATGTCATGTCAGATTAACTGTAGTAATATGAGTCATGTGACAAACCTGTGCAATGATTTGGTGCCAAATTGGCAGAGTAATACTTGGCTTGCATGGATTGCGAGCAAGATGTGGTGATCGTCTGAAAATTTTGTTCCGTTTTCACATTATTATGTTATTAGAAAGACATGGGACGACAAATATTAGTGTTCATCTATCTCATTGTGGTAACACATTTGAAATGCTTGATGATGATGGGCTATCCTATTGTGTTATATATATATATATATATATATATATATATATATATAAGGTACTAGGGCTGGGACGGGTAACTCGGGCACCTGGGTCGGGTGGGTACTGAGTAGGACCTGGGTACCCACAGGACTACCCGCACCTGTGGTTAGTCACGGGATATATTGTTAATTGACAAAAAAAATCTAAAACTCTATGGTTACACTGCAAGTCACTATTGTTCGCATTTCTTTCTGACTATGCACCCATTCCTTCTGACCTTTATAGGTTTGAAAAAAGATAAAACTTCAGTCAACTTCAGTGCATGCATGACCAGATCGTTTTATACGTGTATCTAAATACATTTTACCAGGGCTACAGTCAAACTATTCCCAATCGGACTTTTACACCCAAGTCTTGAGACATAGAGCAGGTATCCAAGTAGCGTCGGGTAATAGCGTGGTGGGTACCCGGGTAGTAAATTTGGACTCGTCCCAGCCCTATAAGGTACACTGATAGGTGATCATAGCTTATTTTTCATATCTGGTCTTTTTATGTGTATTCCATCTCTCTTAGTAACTGTAACAACTACACCATTCTTATCAGGGAGGTCCAGAAGTTGTTCAAAGGCATCAACCACCTCTTTCACTCTGAAACAAAAACATGAAATGTGAACACAATATAAGCGATATTATAACGACTTGTGCAACTGCTGTTGACTCCTGTAACAAACCTCCATTACAAGCTCACAAGTCAATTAATTGTGTGTGTAACTCTTGGGAGTCCACACGGCAATACACAGTACAAGAAACTTTAAAGAAAAGAAGCCAAAGGCCACACTTTTTATTTATCGTTGCTTGGTGAAATGGAAAACAGAAATTTTGATTTTGCTCTTTTTTTTATAACATGCTGATAAGCTGATAGTATATTGCACCCACAAAATAGTTTTTACAACATGACCCACTATCAATAATTATGCATCAATGTTTCAAAAACAAACAAGACACTGCAGACAATAACACCCCATTGCTTGAAGCAACAGCTGTGTTGAATGCTCTCCTCATGCATTAAACCATTTTTATATTTTTTATACCAGCTGACCTGCAACTGTAATGAAGAAGCAAGCTAAAACAAGATTAAATTGCTTTTTTCCCAACCTACCATTACCTGTAGAAAATCTTTGCTAGTTACACCAAAGACCCGGGTTCGATTCCCAACATGGGATCCCGTTAGCCGCCTCTGACGACAAGCATAGTCGCCTTTTACGGCAAGCATGGTTTGCAGAGGACCTATTCTACCCTGGAACTTCCAGCTGCTCAGATTCTGTATGTATCGGATTCTGTGGGTGTGGGTGTGGGTGGGTGGGTGGATCAGGCAGGAGTCCCCACCAACCACTGCTGGTCATAAGAGGCAGCCAGATCAGGCAGGAGTCCCCACGAACCACTGATGGTTGTAAGAGGCAGCCAGATCAGGCAGGAGTCCCCACCAACCACTGATGGTTGTAAGAGGCAGCCAGATCAGGCAGGAGTCCCCACCAACCACTGCAGGTTGTAAGAGGCAGCTAGATCAGGCAGGAGTCCCCACCAACCACTGCTGGTCGTAAGAGGTAGCCAGATCAGGCAGGAGTCCCCACCAACCACTGCAGGTTGTAAGAGGCAGCTAGATCAGGCAGGAGTCCCCACCAACCACTGCTGGTCGTAAGAGGTAGCCAGATCAGGCAGGAGTCCCCACCAACCACTGAAAGTCGTAAGAGGCAGCCAGATCAGGCAGGAGTCCCCACCAACCACTGCTGGTTGTAAGAGGCAGCCAGATCAGGCAGGAGTCCCCACCAACCACTGATGGTCATAAGAGGCAGCCAGATCAGGCAGGAGTCCCCACCAACCACTGCTGGTCGTAAGAGGCAGCCAGATCAGGCAGGAGTCCCCACCAACCACTGATGGTTGTAAGAGGCAGCTAGATCAGGCAGGAGTCCCCATCAACCACTGATGGTTGTAAGAGGCAGCCAGATCAGGCAGGAGTCCCCACCAACCACTGCAGGGTGTAAGAGGCAGCCAGATCAGGCAGTAGTTCCCACCAACCACTGCTGGTCGTAAGAGGCAGCCAGATCAGGCAGGAGTCCCCACCAACCACTGATGGTTGTAAGAGGCAGCCAGATCAGGCAGGAGTCCCCACCAACCACTGCTGGTCGTAAGAGGCAGCCAGATCAGGCAGGAGTCCCCACCAACCACTGATGGTTGTAAGAGGCAGCCAGATCAGGCAGGAGTCCCCACCAACCACTGCTGGTCGTAAGAGGCAGCCAGATCAGGCAGGAGTCCCCACCAACCACTGCTGGTCGTAAGAGGCAGCTAGATCAGGCAGGAGTCCCCACCAACCACTGCTGGTCATAAGAGGCAGCCAGATCAGGCAGGAGTCCCCACGAACCACTGATGGTTGTAAGAGGCAGCCAGATCAGGCAGGAGTCCCCACCAACCACTGATGGTTGTAAGAGGCAGCCAGATCAGGCAGGAGTCCCCACCAACCACTGCAGGTTGTAAGAGGCAGCTAGATCAGGCAGGAGTCCCCACCAACCACTGCTGGTCGTAAGAGGTAGCCAGATCAGGCAGGAGTCCCCACCAACCACTGCAGGTTGTAAGAGGCAGCTAGATCAGGCAGGAGTCCCCACCAACCACTGCTGGTCGTAAGAGGTAGCCAGATCAGGCAGGAGTCCCCACCAACCACTGAAAGTCGTAAGAGGCAGCCAGATCAGGCAGGAGTCCCCACCAACCACTGCTGGTTGTAAGAGGCAGCCAGATCAGGCAGGAGTCCCCACCAACCACTGCTGGTCATAAGAGGCAGCCAGATCAGGCAGGAGTCCCCACCAACCACTGCTGGTCGTAAGAGGCAGCCAGATCAGGCAGGAGTCCCCACCAACCACTGATGGTTGTAAGAGGCAGCTAGATCAGGCAGGAGTCCCCATCAACCACTGATGGTTGTAAGAGGCAGCCAGATCAGGCAGGAGTCCCCACCAACCACTGATTGTTGTAAGAGGCAGCCAGATCAGGCAGTAGTTCCCACCAACCACTGCTGGTCGTAAGAGGCAGCCAGATCAGGCAGGAGTCCCCACCAACCACTGATGGTTGTAAGAGGCAGCCAGATCAGGCAGGAGTCCCCACCAACCACTGATGGTTGTAAGAGGCAGCCAGATCAGGCAGGAGTCCCCACCAACCACTGCTGGTCGTAAGAGGCAGCCAGATCAGGCAGGAGTCCCCACCAACCACTGATGGTTGTAAGAGGCAGCCAGATCAGGCAGGAGTCCCCACCAACCACTGCTGGTCGTAAGAGGCAGCCAGATCAGGCAGGAGTCCCCACCAACCACTGCTGGTCGTAAGAGGCAGCCAGATCAGGCAGGAGTCCCCACCAACCACTGATGGTTGTAAGAGGCAGCCAGATCAGGCAGGAGTCCCCACCAACCACTGATGGTTGTAAGAGGCAGCCAGATCAGGCAGGAGTCCCCACCAACCACTGCTGGTCGTAAGAGGCAGCTAGATCAGGCAGGAGTCCCCACCAACCACTGCTGGTCGTAAGAGGCAGCCAGATCAGGCAGGAGTCCCCACCAACCACTGCTGGTCGTAAGAGGCAGCCAGATCAGGCAGGAGTCCCCACCAACCACTGATGGTTGTAAGAGGCAGCCAGATCAGGCAGGAGTCCCCACCAACCACTGCTGGTCGTAAGAGGCAGCCAGATCAGACAGGAGTCCCCACCAACCACTGCTGGTCGTAAGAGGCAGCCAGATCAGGCAGGAGTCCCCACCAACCACTGATGGTTGTAAGAGGCAGCCAGATCAGGCAGGAGTCCCCACCAACCACTGCTGGTCGTAAGAGGCAGCCAGATCAGGCAGCAGTCCCCACCAACCACTGATGGTTGTAAGAGGCAGCTAGATCAGGCAGGAGTCCCCACGAACCACTGATGGTTGTAAGAGGCAGCTAGATCAGGCAGGAGTCCCCACCAACCACTGATGGTTGTAAGAGGCAGCCAGATCAGGCAGGAGTCCCCACCAACCACTGCTGGTCGTAAGAGGCAGCTAGATCAGGCAGGAGTCCCCACCAACCACTGCTGGTCGTAAGAGGCAGCCAGATCAGGCAGGAGTCCCCACCAACCACTGATGGTTGTAAGAGGCAGCTAGATCAGGCAGGAGTCCCCACCAACCACTGATGGTTGTAAGAGGCAGCTAGATCAGGCATGAGTCCCCACCAACCACTGATGGTTGTAAGAGGCAGCTAGATCAGGCAGGAGTCCCCACCAACCACTGATGGTTGTAAGAGGCAGCCAGATCAGGCAGGAGTCCCCACCAACCACTGATGGTTGTAAGAGGCAGCCAGATCAGGCAGGAGTCCCCACCAACCACTGCTGGTCGTAAGAGGCAGCTAGATCAGGCAGGAGTCCCCACCAACCACTGCTGGTCGTAAGAGGCAGCCAGATCAGGCAGGAGTCCCCACCAACCACTGCTGGTCGTAAGAGGCAGCTAGATCAGGCAGGAGTCCCCACCAACCACTGCTGGTCGTAAGAGGCAGCCAGATCAGGCAGGAGTCCCCACCAACCACTGCTGGTCGTAAGAGGCAGCCAGATCAGGCAGGAGTCCCCACCAACCACTGATGGTTGTAAGAGGCAGCCAGATCAGGCAGGAGTCCCCACCAACCACTGCTGGTCGTAAGAGGCAGCCAGATCAGGCAGGAGTCCCCACCAACCACTGCTGGTCGTAAGAGGCAGCTAGATCAGGCAGGAGTCCCCACCAACCACTGCTGGTCGTAAGAGGCAGCTAGATCAGGCAGGAGTCCCCACCAACCACTGCTGGTCGTAAGAGGCAGCCAGATCAGGCAGGAGTCCCCACCAACCACTGCTGGTCGTAAGAGGCAGCCAGATAAGGCAGGAGTCCCCACCAACCACTGATGGTTGTAAGAGGCAGCCAGATCAGGCAGGAGTCCCCACCAACCAATGCAGGTTGTAAGAGGCAGCTGGATCAGGCAGGTCAGGCTCTGTCAACACAGTTGATTGTGTGTCAATGTTCCCAATGACTTGGGACATTGCACATACTTTCATCACTGGTTTGTTCTGTTATTTACATTTCATCATATAGCTGGAATATCGATGATACAATCTTTTCTCAAACACATTTTAAATAGTATAAGCCTTGTCCTAACCACAAAGTGAAAAGTCAGCATTTAGTATACACTATTTGATATTCAGCTTGCTTCATACACCCTTCTGAATTGTCCAGGCTGTCATTTAGAAGTTTCCAAAATACAAACCATGATGTTGCATCACCAGGACATATTCCTATTGTGTTAATATAATACTGATACTCACGACATTATGCCCAGCATCTTCACCAGCTCTTGTGCATCATCAGCATACAGAGACTTGCTGCCATCGTCAATTCCTTTCATTATGTCAGTCTCCGCAAACGTTGGACACATGCAGCAGAAGCTTAGACCCATTGATCCCAAATGAGGATTGGCCTTAAAATGTAAAAACAGTTGGAGTAATAACTTCTTTTCTAGATTCACCCTGATGATGTATTTGGACTTGTCAGCACCATACCCATGGGTTTCACGATAGATGTCAAAGGTCTGCATCACTGCAGTCTGCCCTCCTACATTAAGTGGACACACTGTGATATAACTGAAATACTTTTCGAAGTGATAGTGAACCGAACAACCTGTATTCATGCAGCACATTTAACACAGGTTTAGAGTTTCACTTTAGTTTGTTGATCTGATGTTTAGAGGTGTGATGATAGGGTGGGGTTTAGAGTTTCACTGTAGTTTGTTGATCTGATGTTTAGAAGTGTGATGATACGGTGGGGTTTAGAGTTTCACTGTAGTTTGTTGATCTGATGTTTAGAGGTGTGATGATAGGGTGGGGTTTAGAGTTTCACTTTAGTTTGTTGATCTGATGTTTAGAAGTGTGATGATACGGTGGGGTTTAGAGATTCACTGTAGCTTGTTGATCTGATGTGTACAGGTGTGATGATAGGCTGGGGTTTAGAGAATCACTTTAGTTTGTTGATCTGATGTTTACAGGTGTGATGATAGGCTGGGGTTTAGAGTTTCGCTTCAGTTTGTTGATCTGATGTTTAGAAGTGTGATGATACGGTGGGGTTTAGAGATTCACTGTAGCTTGTTGATCTGATGTGTACAGGTGTGATGATACGGTGGGGTTTAGAGATTCACTGTAGCTTGTTGATCTGATGTGTACAGGTGTGATGATAGGCTGGGGTTTAGAGAATCACTTTAGTTTGTTGATCTGATGTTTACAGGTGTGATGATAGGCTTGGGTTTAGAGTTTCGCTTCAGTTTGTTGATCTGATGTTTAGAAGCGTGATGATACGGTGGGGTCTAGAGATTCACTGTAGCTTGTTGATCTGATGTGTACAGGTGTGATGATAGGCTAGGGTTTAGAGATTCACTTTAGTTTGTTCATCTGATGTTTAGAGGTGTGATGATAGGGTGGGGTTTAGAGTTTCGCTTCAGTTTGTTGATCTGATGTTTAGAAGTGTGATGATACGGTGGGGTTTAGAGATTCACTGTAGTTTGTTGATCTGATGTGTACAGGTGTGATGATAGGCTGGGGTTTAGAGATTCACTTTAGTTTGTTGATCTGATGTTTAGAGGTGTGATGATAGGGTGGGGTTTAGAGTTTCACTTTAGTTTGTTGATCTGATATTTAGAGGTGTGATGATATAGTGGGGTTTAGAGTTTCACTTTAGTTTGTTGATCTGATGTTTAGAGGTGTGATGATAGGGTGGGGTTTAGAGTTTCACTGTAGTTTGTTGATCTGATGTTTAGAGGTGTGATGATAGGGTGGGGTTTAGATTTTCACTGTAGTTTGTTGATCTGATGTTTAGAGGTGTGATGATAGGGTGGGGTTTAGAGTTTCACTGTAGTTTGTTGATCTGATGTTTAGAGGTGTGATGATAGGTGGGGTTTAGAGTTTCACTGTAGTTTGTTGATCTGATGTTTAGAGGTGTGATGATAGGGTGGGGTTTAGAGTTTCACTGTAGTTTGTTGATCTGATGTTTAGAGGTGTGATGATAGGGTGGGGTTTAGAGTTTCACTGTAGTTTGTTGATCTGATGTTTAGAGGTGTGATGATAGGTGGGGTTTAGAGTTTCACTGTAGTTTGTTGATCTGATGTTTAGAGGTGTGATGATAGGGTGGGGTTTAGAGTTTCACTGTAGTTTGTTGATCTGATGTTTAGAGGTGTGATGATAGGTTGGGTTTAGAGATTCACTGTAGTTTGTTGATCTGATGTTTAGAGGTGTGATGATAGGTTGGGTTTAGAGTTTCACTGTAGTTTGTTGATCTGATGTTTAGAGGTGTCATGATAGGGTGGGGTTTAGAGTTTCGCTTTAGTTTGTTGATCTGATGTTTAGAGGTGTGATGATAGGTTGGGTTTAGAGATTCACTGTAGTTTGTTGATCTGATGTTTAGAGGTGTGATGATAGGTTGGGTTTAGAGATTCACTGTAGTTTGTTGATCTGATGTTTAGAGGTGTGATGATAGGTGGGGTTTAGAGTTTCACTGTAGTTTGTTGATCTGATGTTTAGAGGTGTGATGATAGGTGGGGTTTAGAGTTTCACTGTAGTTTGTTGATCTGATGTTAAGAGGTGTGATGATAGGGTGGGGTTTAGAGTTTCACTGTAGTTTGTTGATCTGATGTTAAGAGGTGTGATGATAGGGTGGGGTTTAGAGTTTCACTGTAGTTTGTTGATCTGATGTTTAGAGGTGTGATGATAGGCTGGGGTTGCGATATGATATGTATAGATCTGGATACTATGGATGCGATATGACTGTATCCTGATACAGTTCTCTTATTTCATAAGTTGATGGGGTATTTTCAGGTGAATCACAGCCACAATTCATTTAAAAGAAAATTGTTTTCAAATTTCAGACATCAAAGATGGGACATAGTAGGGCAGATACATATAGGCTAGAGGGCACTGGGAATGTTATGCTAATTAAAGTCAACTGGGAAATAACGAGAGAATCAGCGTAAGCTGGTTGTTGAACAGTTTCGTTTAGCATTTTCAATCTGTTATCATTCACATGTTTTTACATCAACATAATGTATAACGTAATGTATCGTATGTAATGCGATACAGGGGTTGTAAATCAGTGTATTGTACTGTTGGCCTTGTATTAGGATACAATACTGTATCGCTGTATCATTATACCACTACTAATGTTTGGAATTAAAACACTTCCAGACTGCTTTACTTCGGGCTTTCCTCCCACATTAAGCTGACACGCTGTGATATAACTGGAATACTGTTAAAAGTGGCGTTAAACCCAACTCACTCACACTCACTGCCAGACTGACCACCATGGAGAAACCTCATTTACTCACTCGGTCCTGAGCAGTAACCTTAACTAACACTCACCGCCCAGCTTCGTGTGTAACCAACAACTCCGAATTTGGAAGCCGCATAAACTGGTGTGACATACACAGGCGAGAGACCTGCGAAGAGATGTATCACTACTTGTTACAGAAACTAAAGTACTCATGGAAATGAAAAAAACCTGATTTGCTGGATTTAATAATCGACACAAAGCATTACGTAGATGTAAATACGAAATAACAAAACAACTGGAAAAGTACTAGTCTGGATTTGCTAGTTTTATCTCAGTTCTCAATACAAAATGTGCTTTACAGGAGGTTATTTTTGTAGGCACTTTCAACATTCAAAAATAAAACTAAGTCCAAATTGACATGGCAGAAACAGGCTATAGGTATTATGCAAATTAGCCTGGAAAAAAGTTATCAAAAAAACAATAAAAATAACAGCTATGTTTATGTACATAATAATAATGACATGTAAGTGGTTGTTTGAGAAGGGAATATGTAACTTTTACGTTCTGATTTTTGACGATGTTACACTATCCCACAATGCCACTCACAAATCAGTAACCACTGACAAATCACATGCACGTGGGTTTCAAGCACCTGTTTTCACCTGTCGTCAAGGTGTCATAGATCAAGGACATTCACCTTGGTCTACTAACACCTGGTTATGCTCAGTTTCACAATAGTCTGTTTTGTTCATATTTTTACACACTTTTACGTGTAAAAAGACATAAAAACCTTTGATACGCTGTATTTGTGCCAAGGGCCAATTAGTACTAATTGAGTTGTTTGCATATTTATATATTTTGTATATTAACTGCATTTATTTAAAATCTGAGATCGAAAAAACAGGGTTTTTTTCATTTCCGTGAGTACTTTAGCTCTCTGATTGCCTGGTCTATACATGTCAGCTGGTTGGCCTTTACAGTCATGATGACGTCCTAGTCACTTGACAGTCACATCATAAGTGACCCTTTTGTATACCTTGGCTTGTAAGGTGAGGTGAGGTGAAATTGGGTTTAACGTCGCGTCCAAGATTATTGCACTTATATAGCGACGTGCATGCACGTGTGTGTGTGTGGTTGCTTGTACTAGTCCGGACTGATGCCGATTTATAGTGCTAGCACACTGAGATACAATGCCGCAGTTTAACATGAATACCTCACTCAGACACAGTATACTGACTCCGAGGCCGACCAGTCCTTGTTTTAGCCCCTTAATGCCGAGCGCCAGACAGGGTAACAACATGTACCATTTCTTAACGTTTTTTGGTATGACATGGCCGGGGATCGAACCCCAGACCTTCCGCTCTCCGGGCGGACGCTCTACCTCTAGACCACGGAGGCGGTTACCTTGGCTTGTAATAATCTGACTAGACAATCCTGTGAACAATCCTTGGCGTCTGGGTACAATGACATATAATTAACCAAGTCACCTAGCCTGATCACCCAATCCATCTGGTCGCCTCTTACGACATGCAAAGTTTCGAAAATCTTAACTTCAAAAGAACATCAAACTTGAAGCAAATCCAAGACCCTAGCTGAATATTTTAAACAGATGTTTTCATCGCATTTGCATTGTTTATTAAAAATCATCTTGGGAAAAAGGCTTTGAAAAGATTTAAAAACTGCTCCCTAAAAACCACTATAATCAACAGTAATGACATATAGCAAATATATCTGGGAGGTTGGTTCAAATGGTAATTGCCTTGTTTCAGAAATGTGAAGAGAAGGGACCCATGTTATCAGATAGGGGTCATATGTGTTTTTGAGGCATCTATGATCTGTGGCCTTCTGTATGCTGTGGTACTTACAGTGACACCTCATTAATCCACAACCTTGTAATCTGGACGCCCTATTCTGTGGGAACATCTATATACTACTAATTTAAAGGGACATTCCTATGTACCCATGATTTTGTTATCTCAGAAATTTGTTAATCAGGACAATTTGTTAATCAGGACAGTTTTTTAATTCGGAAACTTTGTTAACCAAGATACTTAGATAATCTGGACAATATATTAATCAAAACATTTCTCAATCAGGCAGTTTTGTTAATATGGACAATTTGTTAATCTAGACAATTTGTTAATCAGGAGACTATGTTAATCTGGACAATTTGTTAATCAGGAGACTATGTTAATCTGGACAATTTGTTAATCAGGAGACTATGTTAATCTAGACAATTTGATAATCAGGAGACTATATGTTAATCTGGACAATTTGTTAATCAAGAGACTATGTTAATCTAGACAAATTGATAATCAGGAGACTATATGTTAATCTGGACAATTTGTTAATCAGGAAATTATGTTAATCTGGACAATTTGTTAATCAGCAGACTATGTTAATCTAGACAATTTGTTAATCAGGAGACTATGTTAATCTGGACAATTTGTTAATCAGGAGACTATGTTAATCTAGACAATTTGATAATCAGGAGACTATGTTAATCTGAACAATTTGCTGGAAACTGTTCGGAATAGGGGGTTTCACTGCACATAATTATAACAACTGATAGTGTAGATACCTGCAGCAGATGAGACGTTTATGATGAGGCCTCCATTTCCTCCCTTGTCACGTCTCAGAGCTTCCACTGCATACTGGGACCCCATGACAACACCCTTCTGCTCAACACGAACAAGCATGGTGTCAGTTCTAGTGCTATGCTAATACTGGTTAGAACTAAGTTCAGAGTAATCACCAAGATGGGGGCGTGGGATGGGGGGGTGAGATGGGGGCGTGAGATGGGGGCGTGGGATGGAGGCGTGGGATGGGGTGAGGGATGGGGGCGTGGGATGGGGGCATGGGATGGGGGCATGTGTTTTCACTGCAGTGAGTATATGTTGTCAGAGCATGCTGATTAATTCTGTGATATTAGCCCTGAACCCAATGTACCAACTGACAGGTTTGAGTGGAGTCTACAGAGACAGAGCAAGGATTTTCATAACAATAATTTAATTGTACAAAAGTCATGACGGCTGAGATGGCAGTTGACCCCTGGGTCCCACTGTGGGTCTGCCAGTGAGTACACTTAGTAATCAAACGTGGTATGAGTGACATCTTATTTACCAAGGAGCATAGGACATGTTCCACTAACCAGATTGATATCAATCATTTTATTCCATGCGCCTTCATCAGCTATGCCAGCATTGTTTACCACCATGTCTAGCTGCCCATACTGTTTCTTCACTGCATCAAATGTGGCTGAAAGTTGCAAATAACTTCAGTAACACACAATATTGCACAATATCTGTTCTAGCTGAGAGCCGCGATGGGGTCTTACAGTCACGTGATGTAGGGGCATGTCTTGACTGTAGAACCCCATCGCGGCTCTCAGCTATATGTGTTCATGACCTTCCTCTTTCTTTTTTTTTCATCTATATGTATACCGTATTCAACGTAATAAGCGCCCAGGGCGCTCTCAAAATTAGAAATAGGGGGCTCTTATTATTATATAATTTTGGTGGAAAAAAAACAACAGAGTTGAAAGATTGTAAATTTCGTGGTTTATGCTGACAGACTGTAATGATACAAAAGAAAAGTCTGTGTGTATTATACACAACAGACAGAATTTACCCCGTAATTAAGGGTGCATTTTACACACGGGTGCGTATAATACACAAATAAATAAGTCTTGTGTATATTGGTCGGAAGGGGTGCTAATTGGGATTGTTCACTAGCCAATACATTAGCAAATATCATGGTGGACGCTTATTAGAGAGGGGCGCTTATTACGTCAAATTCGGTACAAGTCTCAATGTTGTTGAGGTTACACACAAGGAGCCAAATAATGTGCTTAGGATTCAATTATACGTTACGAATATGTACTATAACGTATTCCAGTAATTAATGCTTTCAAGAAATATATTTCATAATGAGGATTCGAACCTTTGATGTCATTCTCGCGCGTCACGTCACACTTAAAGAAGAAAGCCCTGTCTCTGCTGTACTGTTGTTGGAAAGACGACACAGTTGCCTCCCCTGTTTGGACTTTGATATCGGCCACACAAACCTGTGGTAAACAGGAAATCAGTTAATCATTTATGTTAGCATGAATTTGGACGATTCCTCTAAAGAAATATCCTTTAAAGCTCACTAAACTATAGATACACTGTACAAAATCATTATGAACGGCCACTCGGAGACTCCAAATATCCTCTGAGCTTACGTTCGCTCCTCGCTTCAACAGGACTTCCGAGAAAGCTTTTCCTAAACCTTGCGCTGCTCCAGTAATCAGTGCAACTTTTCCCGATAATGACATGCTGATTTAAGGGTAATTTGGAACACGCAAAACCTAAAGAGCTGCACTTCAAAACAACCCTTTTGAACGTGAGTTTTCCAAGGTCCTTTGGTGTATAAAGGCTATTTCACTTGACGGCATGCATCCGCATTCGTCTCATCCAGACTGTTGTATCAGATGTGCGTTAACTGGATAAACGAGGGTCACAATGTCGTCGGCGTCATGTCACAGCGTTCGTTCTCCGAATGTGAACACTGTTAAATTTACATTCTCGTTTGAAATGTTTTGTAATAAAATGTACGAAAAACCACGGACCTATATAACCGGTTATACAAGTCCGTGGGAAAACTAAGAATGTAGATCTATATTTAATTGCGCAAAGTAAGCGAGTTAACATATATCCGTGTAATTATTCTAAAATATATAAAAAATACAAATACAAAAAATAAGGCAACTGGTGAAGTTATAGTGAACTTGAAGGCGTAATGACGATTATATCTTTAAAATTTATTAGATCAATATCTGGTATATCCACCATGTTGAGGGATACATGTACGTTGATCTCATTGCAGCCCAACCGTTTGACGGTACTTGTCCCACTGTCGAGAATTTACATTTTTTATTTGCCATTCGGGCAACTTGGGATATTGACGCCCCCCAAACAAAAACAGCAATTTAATGTTATAGAAGCACATGCGGCTCCCGTTGTGATAATAATATAGTCTTTATACAACATCTAATCAACAAAATAACAAGTCATTTTAGGTGTGCATCTTAGAAAATAACAAAATGACGCTGCATTTGTTAGGACAACACTGCTCCTATGATGAAATGAACTACTGCCGTGTACGTAATACAAACACCGTTGTTGACGTAATGAACTACCGTTTTGGACGTAATACAAACACCGTTGTTGACGTAATGAACTACCGCTGTGTACGTAATACAAACACCGTTGTTGACGTAATGAACTACCGCTGTGTACGTAATACAAACACCGTTGTTGACGTAATGAACTACCGCTGTGTACGTAATACAAACACCGTTGTTGACGTAATGATCTACTGCCGTGGACGTAATACAAACACCGTTGTTGACGTAATGATCTACTGCCGTGGACGTAATACAAACACCGTTGTTGACGTAATGAACTACTGCCGTGTACGTAATACAAACACCGTTGTTGACGTAATGATGTACTGCCGTGTACGTAATACAAACACCGTTGTTGACGTAATGAACTACTGCCGTGGACGTAACTAATGATTACTGATGTCACTCAGTGTAATGACGCAATAGTGCATCATTCTTGCCACGAATCACGTACGTTGACCCGGTACGCCTGTAACACGGGTTTAGGGATACTACTACTTCACAATATGTACGACTGATTGTTATTGGCAATGAGTGAGTGAGTGAGTGAGTGAGTGAGTTGGATTTAACGCCGCTTTTAACATTATTCCAGTTATATCACGGCGTGTCAGCTTAATGTGGGAGGAAAGCCCGAAGTGACGCAGGTCTAAGACGTTTACCACTTCGGTGAAACCCACGAGCACGGGTATGGTGCTGACAAACCTAGAAACATAATTGGGGCAAACCGGGATTCGATCCCACAATCATAGGTTTCTGGCGTGCCCAAGGGACGCAACTCTGCACAGCGAATCGCGGTGCCTTAGACGACTGGGCCACCCGTGCCCCTAATTGGCAATGAAATGATCATTAGCTCGGTACGTTTACCCATGAATGTTTTTCGTGTAAAACAAATTTCTTACTCTTGCTTATATATATGGTGGTGTATTGAGCGAGGTCGCTTTGAAAGTATTTCTGTTACATCAGGTACTTGATACTTAGTGAGTGAATGTTGATAAAGGATGCAGTCATCAATATGGATGCATGATCTGTATTTTTTTTTCGTAATCGAATCTGGACCAGACAAACCAGTGGTTGATATTATGAGCAATGTTTCAATGCCAACCTTGTTGTGTGATGCCAGGACCTCTGTGATGAAAGGGTCACTGAGCCCGACACCCTCATTCCGACCTAGTTCATAAGCATAGGGAACGACTGATCAACTGATAACAGATCCTCGCGACTACCGGACAGCATTTGCTTGGTGTGTTTTTTCTCTCATTTATTTTGAGTCGAATGTTACCATCAATCAGCCTATATGGTCAATCAGCCAATACTTAAGTCTCTTCATTGGCTCCCAATACGTGCTCGAGATGATTACAATAGTTCTCCCTGACACATCAGTTCATCAATAGAACAGCTCAACTACCACAGTGACTCTTTCGTTCCAACTCTAAGAATCAACTACAACCCCAAAGATGGGAACTTTAAAACGTTTGGATACTGTTCTTTCAAAACATCTGCTGTCGTTTAATGGGATTATACAACTGGATAAAACACCCAACAGTAAACAGTTTCCAGACCAGCCTAAAAACACACGCCTGTTTCAAACATTCTACTGTCATATAGGGACTGACAGATCGCTCACTGCATGCAAGAAGTCATGTTCTGTGTTGAGAGTCGTTTTTCATCCGCCTCATGCTGATGGACGTGTCCACATTTGGCGACTACCCAATGAGTGTCATCAGCTGGTTATGCAGACAACTGTGTGATGATGGAACAGATTCAGAGGTGGCAGTGCTAGCCATGCACACAATCGCCTTCACATCTTCAGACTGAATATTAACACCCGGGTGTGCAGGGATGACGTCTTGCAAGAACTAGTTCTTCCACGGTTCCAGGAGCATCCTCAGTTGCTGGTTTCTCAACCCTCATAGGGGGGATGAACTTGATGCCAGATCCATTCTGGCAGGATACCCAGTACGCTGAGAATACGTGCGAAAAGTGGATTCAAAAGGAGCTGCCGGCAAAATCGCAAGAGGTGGACACAAGCAGTACTAATGGTCACCTAGAGCAGACGTGTGCTTCTTTCAGCTTTCTTGTAGTACCGCCATGGAGAGTCATTTCACCAACTTTCTTTTTTCACCGATCCTCACCATATTCAACGAATGAATTCACAAAACTTTTGATGTCTAATGGTAATGAAATAGATTTACTGTGTCCTAAACAGTGTCAAAAGTATCACTTCTACATTTAGGTGACTTCCGTTTGCCTTTTTACCTGCTGGTTTACAAGACTTGCAAGAAAAAAACCAAGAAAACATGTTTCATCTATTATGGAAATTTATTGATCCATTTTTATGGAGAGGGGATTATACATTGGAATCATGGCACACAAAATAACTGTAAGATCTAAATTAAAAAAAATGTACTTGTCATACTTCATGCATTCAAACTAACGCACAAACAAAAATATTATCGTATGGTATGATATTGCCCCATGAATAACCCCAATTGAATTACAGGTACCCTGACTGATGTGGTAATTCCATTTCACGCTGGGGCATTTATTGCATATTTAGTATTTATTTACTATGTCACATCTGAGATAAATGCTATAAAGCACTGGACAATATTGGTGCAACAGTGGATAAATCTATAACAGACTCCAGTCTAATAGTAACATATCATCATTGTATTGCATTGTATCTTATTGTTTTGATAGGTTATTACACTCAGAAAGAGTATATTATCACATTTATTGCATTTCATTCACAAAGTAACAACTACTAAATATTCAATACACATATTCAACTTTGTAAGAGGCAACTGTAACCATGGTAAGGGTCTTCTATCTCAAACTAGTGACCAGATTCGAAGCAGGCAACTTGACATAAGCAGTACAATGGAGGAGTGAATTGGGCTTAACACAGCCTTCAGTTCAAACAGTGTTAGAGTTACAGTCTTCCAGTAACATTATGAAATGACATGACTGCTTCATATAGGTTGAAAGTCTGAAGGGTGGTAACTTTGACCACTTTGGTGACACCAATAAGCATCGATATTGTGTCCACCTACTCAGCATTCAAATCCAGGACAAGAATATCCTGGCACCTGAGAGGTTGAGACCCAAAAGGACACTGGGCCAAATACTGTATATCCTTGAATGGGTGCCTGGGGATCTTACACCCAGCATCTTTTGAAGGCAGGCATCTATTTTTTTCAGTATTGCAAACATTAAATTTCAATGAAGGGTGTTAAATTTGACCAGAACGAGTGAGATTTGCATTTTGTATGATGACAGCTTTTGTTTCTTACTATCACTTCAATGAGTACATAAAGGAATATCTATGTGTAGAGATAAAAGTTTCCCTGTCCATTTGCATTGATCTGGTAACAATTCACAGGCATTTATTTAATTTGTGAGCCTATCAGTCGTGTCTATTCAAGCCAGGCATCTATTCACCTATTCACATAAGTTCAATCACATCAATTGAAAATGTATCCAAACTGTGTGCCTTCCAACACAAAATTGTATACCCAACCATCACATACTCTTGTATGATGGCAATATTAAAACATGACTGCAGTATTGTAATATTGCCTTGCAATATCCACCCTGCGATATCTTGAGAGCCCTTCTTGTGATACATTCGAGAACTACTAATAATGCATGTACATGAAATATAATCTGTCACTACATAACATCTAGACCAACAGATAAAGGATTACCCTTAAAGTACTGTACATGTCCCAGATCCTTTGAACTAAGGATTGTCATACTATACCATGGATACATTATTAAAGATTTACAGAATGTACTAACAACCACTTCAAACCAAACTGCTTAAACATAATTCCTTTGAAAGCTGTACATTAATGCAATGTTATTAAAATCCTATCTTTTACACCGACATGATACATATCTGCGTTAAGATCTGAGGTCACCTCCATGGAAGTTTGCATGATGTCAACCAGGAGTGCACTTCAATCGCCCTGTCTAAATGAAGGCTGTTCTAGAGCCATTCAAATGTCAGCTTTTTAAAATGATTTGACTATTAAGCACCTTAATTCATTTGTTTGTTTCTTGTTTAATGCTGCACCCAGCAATATTCCAGCTACATGACATCTGTCTATAAATAATCAAATCTGGACCAGACAATCCAATGATTGACATCATGAGCATCGATCAATGCAAATAGGATACGATGGCATGCATCAACCAAGTCACCAAGCCTGACACCCATTCTCGTTAGTCGCCTCTTACAACAAGCGTGGGTTGCTGAAGATCATATTTCTTTGATGGTACTCGCTATTGTGTGTACATGCCATGGCGCTTGGAGCGAGAGAATGTACCAATCGTCCACAACAATGATGATGCCCTCATACTTTCTACTTTAGGGACTTTTTTGTTTTCGAGATACAGAAATCAGATATGCTGGTTTGAATTCTTCAATCATTTGTACTGTTTGTTATTTGTTTTTTGGACGTAAGTTTTCTTTGTTGTACCATGCAGCACTCCGCAATATTCCAGCTATACGACGGCGGTCTGTAAACAATCCAGTCTCTATCAGACAATCCAGTAATTGACATCATGATCATCAATCCACGCAATTGGGATACGATGACATGCATCAACCAAGTCAGCGAGTCTGACCACCCGATCCAGTTAGTCGCCTCTAACGATTGTACTGAGAATTTAGAGACCTTGATGCTGATTGGCTGATTAGAAAGTTCCCCTGATCTCCTATGAAGTGTCCTCAGATCTTCACACCGAAGAGTATCAGATGGAAGAAAAGATCTCATTATATTGAGAATGTACGTACATCAATGTATCATTTCCTGACTCTTTCCTCATCTTCAAAAATAATATTTGATGTGATGCATAAAATATAGAGCTCATTACCAGAAGTATTCTTCAAACAACCTTTACTGTATAGATGTTGGAGTGACTCTGCATGAAGCTGTTCATTATGTGCAAACAGACTGCATAGCAAGCCGTAATGCCATACAATATTGGAGTTTCAAAGAATGCTCCTCTCTCTTTTTCTATGATAATTGACTTTGTCATAACTATCATACAAATCAGTAACATCATACACATGATGAAACTCAATATTCTACCAACATTGTGATACAGATATACATATATACACAATAGCTAGGCTATAATGTCTATTAAACTTACAATTAAATCAATTGTCTCTAGTACCCTGAATACCATATTTTCTGATGTCTAGTAATTGTTTCTTGCAACATTTATACATTGACATTATGGCCTACTTTGAAATCTCCTGACTGCGCCAACATATACTTCATCTGACCCAATACAATGTAGTTTTGGATGGCACACTGTACACGGGTTAGCTTTTTAAAAAGACACCCCTGAACCCATGAAGGAGCGGGGAGCTGATTATACACAAGTGTGTACAGTGTTATACACACAAATATACAATACGAGGTCTCCAATACTGGACATGGCCTCTGCATAGCTATGAGTAACTTAACAATATGCATGCATACAAAGCTCCTTCAAAAGAATAAGTCTGCCTGATTCCCTACCTGTGAAAATGATGAGTAAGGTTATGGAGATTCATGCCTACTGCTCTAAAATTAATGTGCTTTATCTATTCAGGGGTCAGTTCCCATGCCCACCTGAAACATTGAGCTGAGGTACTTATCCTTCTTTCTCGTTGAAAATTGAGTTCGGACTAATGTGGGTTTTCATAAATGTGAATAAGTTTCAGAAGTCGTTCGATCTTTATCATATTTATACAATCATATATAACTTGACCATTCGTCCAGGTCATAGGACAGACTTACTGCTTACAATACAGTAAGCAAAACAATGTCTTCTTACCTTACAGAAAATGTCTTTTGATTTTAAGAAGTTAAATATATCACAATTTTAATAATTAGACTTAGTCCCAGCCAAACAATGGATCATCTATGTGTCTATCATTCAACATGTAAAATACCAAGACGTACAGTCAGTTGTCTAAACATTTACATAATGTGTCTTCATGTGAGAATCTAATGTGGTGCTCCACAAGTATTCCTCACCACAGATGAAACACTTGAATGGCTTCGCACCATCATGACGTCTCATGTGCATGTCCAATGTCACCCGCTTCGTGAACTTTTTACCACACTTCTTACAGTCAAAGAACTCCCTGGTTGAGTGGAAGTTGGTGTGGTGTTCCAGCAGGCTTTTGGTGGAGAAGGAGAGGTCACAGTGCTGACATTTGTAAGGTTTCTCAATGAAATGGGACTGGATGTGAGTGTCCAGGTCCTCCTTGTTGGTGTACTCCTCCCCACAGATGCCACACTTGAACTCATTGCCTTCCTGGTGACCCACGGCATGTTCCATCAATCCCCGCCGTCCCCCGAACTGCTTGCCACACAGGGTACAGCGGTAGGGATTCATGACGTCATGCTTCTGCATGTGTCTGCGGTATGCGCTGTTTTCTTCATAGTTCATACCACAGACAGTGCACCTGTATGGGTTCTCGTCTGTATGCTTACGGTGATGTCGCTTCAGACGGACCTCTGTAGGGAACTTCTTACTACACACTGTGCACACAAATGTTTTCTCAGTATGACTCTCCATGTGCTTGGTGTATTGGCTTCTTCGTGCAAACTTTTTGTCACAGACTTCACAAGAATATGGAGTTTCTCCCGTGTGATGACGTACATGCATGTTGAGAGCTGAACTTTGTCGGAAACACTTGCCACACATTTCACACTGGTACGGTTTTTCCCCAGTGTGGACCCTCATGTGGATCCGCAGTGGGGGCAGGGTCCGGAATGTTTTCCCACACACATTACACAGGTGGGGCTTGATGTTTGTGTGGATCTTCTGATGCTCAAGGACACCTCTTCGTGAAGAAAACTGCTTCTCACAAATCGGGCACTTGAGGTCCTGAGTAGTTCTTTTAACATAGAACTGTTTTGATAAAGTATATGGACTATAGTTTGTTTGGTCAAAGTGTTTACCACAGTTGAAACAATCAACCATCTCTGTCGAGCTGTAGATCTTGATTTTACTCTCACACTGATCACACTGAAAGAGACGATAGTAGCGATGATTCTGACGACGATGTTTCTGCAGCTCATTTTTAGAACCAAACAGCTTCTTACACGTGCTACACTTCCATTTATAGGGATTTTCATCAACCTGAGTTCCGATTGTCTTCACTACTTTCGGTTCGTCTGATGTAGATTCATCGGGTCTGGCTTCAGTAACATCTCCACCTTCAATGACAGGTTCATCTACTTTAGCTGCACCACCTTCTACTTCATTCAACTTCTTTAATTTCTTTAACTTCTTTTTCTTCTTGTCCTTCAATTTCTTTTTCTTCTTTTCTTCAACTGGCTTTGGCTTGAAAGAGCACTCTTTACAAGCATTTAAGTAGGTTACTTTTCCATCTTCAATTTTAGCAATGACAGACGTTATTTTCTCCACATGTTTCGAGCATACCTGACATATGTTTTCTGGAGTTTTAACCTTAGGTACAACAATAGGAGGAGCAGGAATTTCTGGAACTGGAACATGTTGTATTGGCTCTGGTTGAACTTCACCCCTTCCTGCAGCAATCTGTGAGTTCTCCCGAGCTAAACAAGCATTACATGTATCAAAGAACACGCTTTTACCATCCTCTCCAATCTTAAACAACACAGACTTGTCTGGTTCCACAAGCTCCTTTGCACAGAAATGACATGCCTTGACCTTCGGTTTTCTGCCACTACCTTTCTTTCGTATCTTCGGCATCTGAAGAGTTACATTGTCCAACATCACCTGGTTCACCTTCCCATCATCTTCCTTCCCTGTTCGTAAAACTGCCATCTTCTTTCTCTTTTTAGGAGATTTATCTTCCTCCAGTTCTTTCTGGAATGGGTCTGTGTTGTAGTCAGTGTGAAACTGGGCCCTCAGTTCCGTTAGCTGACAGTTGTCAATGGTCTGGGTGACCACCGCAGGCTGAGGAAGGGTGTTCAGTGCATTCACAGAGTTTAGAGTGTTAATAGTCGCACTAAAAGAGTTCACTGGATTGTTTACTTGTGGAAGAATGTTGGTATTGGTTGCATTGATATTGAGATTAACATTACTGAGTTGGACTGTCTGGTATGTTGTCATGCTGTCCTGCATGTTATCGGGTGTCATTATCATCAGGGCAGCTTTGTAAGCTTCAGACGACTGATAGTTCACATTATCCCTTTGGGGTTGCATCATGTTCCTGGAATACCCATGATCCTTTGCTTGAGTCACCATGGTATTCCCAGGATGTTGCTGCATTGACCCTCCATTCATGGACATTTGGGCGTAGCTGCAACTCTGACCTGGAAGTGTCTGTTGCATAACTGTTCGTGGAATTCCCATAGTCCGCGGTACTCCCATATTTTCCTGCTGTGTCTGCATGCAGATGTTGCCCAGCATCTGCAGCCCGTCGCCCATGTCCATCCCTGTGGGTACCATGTGTACTGGCCTCATGCCCCCAATATTTCCCATTGCGGGAGGGGCATGGATGTTTTGAGGGGCTAGATGCTGGGCTTGGCTGGACTGGGGCATGGGAATGTGACCTCCCATGTTCATACTGTTATGATGAGAGACTGGGGTATGCTGAACTTGCCGCACCTGAGCCTGATTCAAGTTGGGTATGTAGTACTGGAAGTCCTCAGTGACCACCAGTACATTCTCATTGGTGTCAGTCATTGGCAGGTCCATGGTGGGGATCTTCAGTGATCAAAATGCAAAACTTCAAACTGAAAAATAAAAAAACAAATACTTGAGGATTTCGCCAACAGTATTTGAATCTAAGGGCTCCCTACATTTATCAATCTTAACATAAGTCATCCGACACTGAACCCTTGATTTCCCCTTCTAAGTTCCAACACCAAATATGGTTTACAGTAAATAGATATATAATGAAATATCTGTGGTTAATTTCAAGATTTATCCTATACTAAACATTCATCAATTATTTTAGTTATACGAGTTAAGTTCATCTCTGTGACCACTGTCACATAGGACCATAGGTACTAGCATCTATAGACCAACAGTAACATAATCGGTTAAGATTGGATTATGATTGGAGTTGGATTCAGACCGACTTCGTTCCCTTACTGACTTCATGAATACCATTACTGAGTAAAGGAAGGCAAACATCCATTTAGAATTTCTGTTACACCATCATCTTTGAATGTGGAATATAATTTTCTTGAGGCTGTTTCATTTCCTCATCAACAAAATTAGTGTCAATCAAATATAATGAACCAGAAGTGTCTTTGTCATTCTTTGAAAGTCAATCAATATTGAAAAAAAACAATCACATAATACTAGAATGCCTCAAGCTATAATGTTCTTTATTACACGGATGATATGAGTTGCCGTTACTCGACAGTTTATTTATCATCCCACCACGAGTTATCTGCCCATGTTGACAATTGCGAGACTATATAAACTGATTTCGTAAGGAACAAATGCCATCTACAAACAACTTAACCACGATGTTGTAATTAGAGTGTAGTACAGAATAATAAAATTCACATGCACTCAATCAAACACGTCAGAAAGGATGTACATCTGAGCATTGTAAGAAAGAACTGTACTAATATGTTTGATTTGTACCCAAAAGAATTCTTTTAAATCAGTTTCTAGCGTCCATTAATCACTTACTCAAGTGTCAATGTCTTGTGTGATGTAGTTTGATAGCCGTGGTGTGTCACTACCTGTGGGTATGTACATTAGAATGCAATACATCCGGATAATTGACAAGAAAACCTTTGATTCTGACAAGCACCTGTCTGGACAGCATTATACAGGTGGCGCAGTTTCAGGAGGAGATAACTCACACGTTTAGAACGTCGGTGATTGAGAGTGACGGTTGAGCGCATGCCTCGGTCATAACTGAACCCTGGATGTGCTCTGTCCATCACGAGTAGAATAAGTTGATTATACAAATGAAGCACATGTATGGTCATACTGATGTTTAAGGAAAACAATGCAATGTTGTTTCTCGTTTAGTTTACATCTCAAAATCACACAACATGCAAAATACCCAAACCACGTTAAAGACGTTGGATACAATAGTGGGGATATCGAGAACTTTCATGTCCTCTTGTATTATTAATTTGGCACATTGTATTCCCCTCCCTGACTTATTTTGTTATTATTAATTTTTTTTGCAACGAGAATAGGGATTTATTTAATTGAGCATTGCTATCAATGAATAATTAATTAACAGAGAGGATTGTAAAACATCACACCTGCATATGTATTTCATCTCTAAATAATGTTCAATGACAAGCACACTTTGTGATTAATTATATCTACATAATGAGCTATCTCCCTTTTCAGCTATCACACTTGACACCCCTAGTTTGGGGGGTATGCAAATACTATTTTGCGTGGCGACCTACAAATATTTTTCAAAATTTAGGTTGCTTGGTGAATAGTGTATATTACACGTGAGAAAAGGTTACCCTGTAGTGGGTTTTGAGCTTCTAAATTACTTTTTACACGGGTACTTGCTCCTTTGATACTCGTTCTACATTACATATACAAAGTATTCATGTCATAACCCTTATAGTTGTAACACTAGCTATATCCGACTTAGCCGTATGTGATACAAGCAAATAAGACGTGCAGCGTATCTTGAGAAGGAAGGACAGGGCTGCTGCTCGCCCGATCCATTGCTGTGGAGTCTTCCAAGGTCTTGTACCTTCCTCCTTATATCTCCTTTTTGTCTGTCATACAGACCCAGAAACAAATATATCCAATATAGCCCATGCAAGTCTATATATTTTTGGCAAGTCTAGAATACTACAGTATCTGAAAATTAAGGTCTCTTGGCCCTTTTTCATATATTTTATAACTATAATTTAACAACTCTTTTTCTGTAAAATATATTTTTTCAAAGACTAGATGTTTGTCTAAGCCGCCTTGTATAGAGGAACACAGGCTCTTTCGGAGAAGACAGTAATTGTGCATAACTGACCGGGGGGATTAAAGGGAAGCGAGTACCGGATTCACCAATTTAATGTACATTGTATTTAAAACTTATTGAAACCACATGGAGATGTATGGATAATTGGGGGGATATGGGTGTCGACCTTATTTTCCCGGATAAAAAATCCAGTCCGGATTTCAAGACACGAATACCAGTCGTGTATAAAGAGTAATACGTTTTCTTCTCAACTATTACGTACCATCCTGGCAACTGTATATGATTCAAATCTTATCAACCAGAAATATAAATCATATCGAGGGTCAAGCCTACCAGTAAGATTTTAATATGGTTAAAATCAAATCTTGCACTCCGATTCAATACACCCATGTTAAAGTTGTGTGTTCTATCAGACAGATGATGAAGTCATTTCATTCGAGGAGTGCTTCATTAACATAGACACTAAAACAGTTATTACTATATGACTCCTCACTTGAATTCAAGTGTCAAACCTATTCGTGGTGTCCCCTGCCATGAAAGGTCTTGAATGATGCTCAAAGCGAGGTAAAACTCAACTCAGTCAATCACGGAAGAATTCACAAGGTCATGTCTGGGGGGTACGCGTATGGTCTAGGAAGCGGCTGTAAAATATCCCATTACTGCCTTTGAACTGTGCGGCCAAGGAAAGACCAATCAGGTGATACACAGTGTGGTTCATCTTTATTAAATATATTATTATAACATATCACATTTTCAAAGACAAAGTCTTGTTTGTTTCGTATATCTTAAACAATCAGTTAATTTTGAACTGATTTAGTGTGCGTAATATTTGATGCAGGCAGTAAAAAGGTATTTTTATAGATCCACTTTATTTTTGGTATATATTTATGTTCATTAGTAACGAGCAATATTTACCTACTGCTTTTTTTATGCAGTCCTTGAACAAATTGCCGTAAATCTATCGTACAGTATGTAAAAGCTGTGAGCGAGATGACTAAAAGTGAATATTTAATTAGTATAAAACTAAGAAACCAGTCTTTGTTTTCAATCTGACATTTCACATCGGGAGTCTAAGTCTATGCTATATAGAGGCACACCCGACTGTTAATCCCAGAAGAACTACTACACCTACTGCTGCTGCGTGTTTGTTTGTTTGTTTGTTTGTTTGTATAAGACCGCAATAACAAATATTCCAGCTTTATGACCGCGGTCTGTATATAATCGAGTTTGGACCAGACAATCAAGTGATTGACATCATGAGCATCCATCTACGCATGTTGGGATACGATGACATGCATCAACCAAGTCAGCGAGCCTGGCCACCTGATCCCGTTAGTCGCCTCTTACCATAAGCGTGGGTTGCTGAAGACCTATATGATGAGGACAACAACCATCACCACAACCACCAACAACAACAATAACAACAAGAATAATAATTAAAAACCTATATATCTAATCTATTGCATCCCATTAGTTTATGAGAGATCTACAGATCTGAGAGAGCATAACGACATTTGAAGGTAATAATTTAAATGATGTCATTGAAACAAAATATATTAAACAAAGTACACATTATCCTCAATACATAGAGACGAGTCTGCATTTCAGTCTATTTTCTGATCTTTTAAATCTTTAAGAACAAAATTGAAAGAATGTGCATTTGTCAACAATTAGGCCTAATTTATTTTTAAATCAATAGAAAATACTACACTCATTCTCGTTAGATACCTTTGTTTTCAATCTGACATCTGATACCTGTATTTTCACAACGTGGTAAGTAGAGGTAAATATCTTGTATTTTTCAAGTTCAAATCAATAAAAGTGAGATAATGCAAGGGTTGATTTGAACCACTGTTGCATGCAATATCGTATAATAAAAAGTGAAAATTACAGTTATCTCCCTTTAACCATCTGGAACTCTACTCAACACAACAGGTGTGTCCAAGTTTATACGACTTGCAAGAAGTAGATCAAAGATCTACATCTATAAGGAAAGTCTAAGTAACGACAGTAAGTGCGTTTTATTGGGTTTGCGCAAATTATCTGTTTAGTTTTTTTTAGACATTTTAACGATCCGAAGTTAACTCAAGCACGAACGATAAGATGACATTTGACACCCAATGGTGTTTTATTTGAAACGGGCTCAGTTCTGATCCAGTGCTACTCGACAGCACAATGGCTACGTGGAATCAAAATGCCACCCGCACGATCCATTTTTGTAGGGCCACTGTGGGTCCCCTTTTTTTAGACAACTTGCATTTTAACTAGGTAGTATCTATATGCTTCCCCTCTTTCGAACTGTTGAAAATCCTGCATCCGCCTCAGATCGAACGATCCCACCAGCATTCGGTGTAAGTCTGAAAAAGTAGCCCGTGATTTTTTATCCAGGGGGACAAACCATGACAGTTCGTTGACAGTATCGTCGGACAATAATTTTTGTTTAACCACACCTTCTTTTTTCCAGCTTATTTAAGGAATTAATATTTAATTATGAAGATTAATTTTCATGATATTAACAATTTAGGTCTTATTACATAAGAATAAATGCTTTGGTTACATTTGTACGTTATTGTGGCTAGCAAGGGGAAATAAATTATGTGTTTGTTTGTTGTTTAACGCAGCACTCAGCAATATTCCAGCTATATGACCACGGTCTGTACATAATCGAGTCTAGACCAGACAATCAAGTGCATTATGAGCATCGATCTACGCATGTTGGGATACGATGACATGCATCAACCAAAAGGACTATGTAGGTAATAATAATAATAATAATAATAATAATAATAATAATAAACAAACTTGCAAAAAAACTCGGCCTTCGGCCTCGTCTGCACATTTGTTGGTTATTATTATTAGTTACGTGGTCCTGTAATCAACCAGATCAGAGAGCTTGACCACCTGATCCCTTTAGGATTTTTCACTTTTACGACAAGCATGAGTTGCTGAAGACGAATTCTAATCCGGATCTTCATGTGCCAAGTACTTTATTACATTATCAATCAATGTGTAGTAGGTGAAAGTTGAGGTGAAATAGGGTTTAAACATCACGTTCAAGATTATTGTACTTACAAACAGCGAAGTGCATGCATTAATGTGTGTGTGTGTGTGTGTGTGTGCCTCCTCATACTAGTCCGGACTAATGCTGATTTTATAGTAGTGTAGTTGTAGGTTTATATGTTGACAAAACTGAATTTTTCATTGGAGTCTGGGTTAGTGTAGGAAATATATTTAGCCAAACGATATGTAGGAACTAAATGTTATTTATTATCCAAAGCTGGCTCCACAGTAGATATCACCTGGGTGAGATGAAGCACTTGGATACGTGTCTGTACACACAAAAACATTTTGGCTTGCAGGATACTTGGGTCAATAAATTAGTTACTTTTTGTGTGCACAGTTACATATTTCTGTTGATCAAGCAGTAGATATCACTACTATTGCATCACAATGGTTTTCAGACATCCAGCTGTTACCATGACGTTATAATCAAATGACACAGAAGCTGGAGAGCTGATATGTTTACACACCAGACACTATTTATTACTGAAAATCTTGAAAGAATGATTTTGGATGATAAATAGAATCTCACACTCGTGTCTTTGGATATCAAGTGTATCAAGCCTCAGATACCGACTTGTGTTTATATATTTGATATCAATAAACACTTGGGTGAGATTCTCTTCGTGTAGGCTACATACATAACACACCCTTTATTCTATATACCGTATTCGACGTAATAAGCGCCCAGGGCGCTCTCAAATTAGAAATAGGGGCTCTTATTAAAATATTATTTTGGTGGAAAAAAACAGAGTTGAAAGGTAAATTTCGAGGTTTATGCTGACGGCCTGAACTGTTTATATATGACAGATATATTTTTCCAGAATTTAATTGCCCATAATTAAGGAGGCATATAACACACGAGTGTGTATTATACACGAATAAATAAGTCTTGTGTACTTTGATCAATCGGAAGGGGTGCTAATTGGGATTGTTCACTTGCCAATATATTAGCAAATATCGCAGTGGGCGCTTATTAGAGCGGGGCGCTTATTACGTCGAATACGGTACTCAGGTCAAGGTCAAATTAGTATTTTATTTTTTCTGTACCGCCACAGGTTGCTGTAGTGTATAGGCCTAAGTATTTCTTCAGTAACTAGTACGTAATGATAACGAGATGCCTTCTAGTTAATGCCTGTTTACTTGGGAGCCCACGATGTCAATACAAGCAGGACGTCACCAGTGACGTCACTTGGACATGTGACGTCACATCCGAATTGGCAGTGCGCGAAGGTGCACGTGCAGCATGCAAACAACAAAACACTTCACTCCTACCTGTTTAGAATATACAATACAACCGCGAACAAGTTTAAGCAACACTAGGAGGAGGAAATGCGAAAGAGTCACAATGCGAGAATGCGAAAAAGTCACAATGCGAGAAAGTCACAAATCAAGTCTTTTAGGAGGTAGGCGAAGTCGTTGTGAACGTCGCATCATCATGGATGGCACCGGTGTGGTGTTGGGGAAAGACATCTCACTTGATGGTGCATCGTCGTTTGGAGTCTCAGTGGTGGATGGTGGTGTTGCAGGCTGCTGAGGCATGGTCTGTGATGTCTCAGGAAAAGTAGACTTTGTAGTCTGCAAAGTTGTTGGTAACAGTATTTCTCTTCTGTGAAGGATGTCTGCACTACCTGAATCATTGTTAGGAGCCACAATGATGTGATCAATAAGCACATGACTGGGGTGATTGTCAATGTCCACAATGTAAGCAAGGGGGCCGATTCTCTGCAAAATGGAACCATAGACCTACTTGTTTGGACCTCTAAATCTTCTGATGGCTACTCTTTTTCCAGGTTCAAACTGTCTCAAGGTAGGGTTTCCACCATCATGTGTTATCTTCTGGCCTATTTGTTTCTTTGTAACATGTTGTCTTAGATTTTGCTGGAGCAAGTCAAGTCTTGTTCTGATTTTTCTCTTCTCTAGCAGTTCTGACAGAGTTTTTCCAGTGACTGTGTGAGGAGTAGTTCTGTACACAATCAACATATTTGCTAACTGTCTCAGGGGATCAGATTTTTCTGAAGTTTTGAGGTGCATCTTCAATACCTGAACAAATGTCTCCGCTGCACCGTTGGTTGCTGGGTGATACAGAGCACTGCGCAGGTGATTAATTCCGTTCATCTTCATAAAAGTGTTGAATTCTTCTTAGGTGAATTGTGGGCCGTTGTCAGATACTAACTGTTCTGGTGTGCCATGTGTAGCAAAGATATGTCGCAGAGTTTCAACTGTCTTGCTTGTGGTTGTTGAATTCATCAGGTACACTTCTGGCCATTTGGAATAGTCATCGATTAGAATGAAGTAATTTCGTCCTTTGTATTCGGCAAAATCAATGTGAACTCTTTCCCACGGTTGTGATGGCCATGGCCATTCATGCAGTGGTGTGGATTAGGTCATGTTTCTCACAGATGTACAATTTTCACAGGATTTAACAGTCTTCTCAATGTCTGAATCAAGTGACGGCCATCAAACATAACTTCTTGATACTCCTTTCATCCTGACAATGCCAATGTGCTTTGAATGAAGTTCTTCGAGTACTCTCAGCTGAAGTGAGGATGGTATGATCACGCAGAGTCCCCATTGTACAACACCTTGTTCTACTGATAGTTCATTTCTTCTTGCAAAGAATGGCAGTAGGTCTGGATTGGTCACACTTGCAGGCCATCCATTCAGTGTGAAAGCATAGACTCGCAATAGAGTTGGGTCCTTTCTGGTTGCGCTTTCAATGATTTTGGCTGTGACTGGTAGGGTATCAAGGTGGGAAAAGTTGAATATGTCTTCTTCATCTTGAATGTTTTCTTCTTGTAGTGGTAATCGAGAAAGCATATCTGCTTTGAAATGTTGATCAGTGGATCTAAATTCAATGTCGTATTGGTAAGCTGCTAGGATTAATGCCCATCTCTGCATACGAGCTGCTGCCAGAGTTGGTACACCTTTCTTGGGTCCCAGAATTGAGAGAAGAGGCTTGTGATCTGTCACTAAGGTAAATGAGCGGCCATAGAGATATTCGTGGAATTTCTTCAATCCATATATCAGGGAAAGTGCTTCCTTCTCAATCTGGGCATAATTTCTTTCGCTGGTCGACAGTGTTCTTGATGCGAATGCAATTGGTTGTTCAGTTCCATCGTCAATAATGTGTGAGATAACCGGACCTAGTCCATAATTGGATGCGTCACATGCCAACTTGATTTTCTTCTTGGGGTCATAATGTGTCAACACTTCAGCTGAAGACAAGGCTTGTTTTGCTCGGTTAAAAGCTTCCTGACATTGTGGTGTCCAGATCCACTTAGTGTTTACCTTTAGTAGATTGTTGAGAGGATGAATCATCGTCGATAGGTTTGAGATAAAATGTGCGTAGTATTGCAGCATTCTGAGGAACGATCTGAGCTGGGTTCTGTTTGTAGGTTCCGTACCTCGGGTGATAGCTTCAACCTTCTCTTGAACTGTATGCAATCCATTTCGATCGATCACATGACCCAAATACTCAATTTTGGGTTGTGCAAACTGGCATTTTCTTCATTTTCTGAAAGGTGACAGTTCTAGGTATACCTTGCAGGATCTGTTCCATGATTTGTTGAAATATTGCTGGACAACTAGCGATGCCAAAGGGCAGTCGATTGTAACAGTAAAGTCCTTTGTGGGTTTTGATTACAAGCAACTTCTTGGTTTCTTCACTTACCAGGACTTGGTGATACGCTTTTGTCAGATCAATTTTCGAGAAGATTTTACTGCCTGCTAGAGTTGCAAACAAATCTGCTGCTTTCGGGAGGGAGTACTTTTCCACTTCAATCCACTGGTTAAAGGTAACTTCATAGTCCCCATAGATTCTCACATCGTTTGATTTCTTAGGAACGACAACAATGGGTGTTGCCCAATCACTTGAGTTGACTTTTGAAATCACTCCATCTTACTCCAACTTGTCTAGCTATTTCTCCACTGTCTCTCTCAGGGCATATGACACTGGTCTTGCTGTCATGAATATAGGCCTGGCATTGGGTTTCAGTGTGATTTTAGCTTCTTCTTTAACACTTCTGATTCTGTGACTGTGACCTTACACTTGTGTCATTCTGAGGTGAAGGACACGATCCTTGCTTCCTATTGGTTGACCTTTGCTGTGTGACCTTATTGATTTGAATTCCACCGATCTGTTCTTGAACAGTTTTCAAGTCATGTGCATTTTTGTCGGCAACTAGTAACAGGCTTATAAAGATTTAGGTGTGGAATTCATGACATTGGTATACAGTGAACAGATGTAAACTATAATCATGAATAGATTCATTATTAAGTTCAAACATTTCTTATTTTTTAACAACTGTTTGTATTTGCCCGTGTTTGTGATATATGTTTCTTGTTTGCAGACAGTACCATGACCAACTACAGTCAGGAATTATTCAAGCTGCTGGTGTTCAGAGCAATAGTCCTCCTTACCATATGTACTAGCCTGTGTAAAGCAGCATGGCCGGCCTCCAACATTTCCCCCGTGCGAGGACACTATCCCCCAGTGTTCTGCAAGATGTCGCATGTCCTTCTAGACGCCAGAGACAGAGTGTTTAGGTACAAGCAGGATCTCACTTCGAGGAACACTTTTGACAGTTCTTGTGGAGCAGGAGCAGGAATATGGTCTGTTCGGCCTGATGAACAATCCGATTCAATGACCTGTGATGAGACGTACGATGAAGGCTACGTGTTCACCATGTACTTCTACTACGGTAGCAACTACTTCCACCTCCACTATGACATGATGATTCCACTGTTTTCTGAGCTGCGCAAAGAGGACAAGGGGAAGAAGATTGTGCTCATGCCCTCTGTCGAGTCAGTTCGCTTACAGGTATGTCTTGGGATTAATTTAGTATCAGGTGAGGTGACAAGGGTTGAGCCTCGCAAACAAGATTATGCTCTTATAGTGAAATGAGGGGGCACGTGCGTGTGTATGTTTGACTGCTTGTACCAGTCTGGACTAATGTTGTTTGTACTGCTAGCCCACTGAGATACCATGTTGCAGTTTAACATGGATACCCCACTCCGACACTGTATACTGACTCCAAGCCGACAGGTCCTCGTTTTATCTGCCTTGTGCCAGACAGGGTAACAACAAGTATCTATGTTTAATGCCATTTGGTATGATGCGGCCAGGGATCAAATCACCAGCCTTCTGCTCTTCGGGCAGATGCTATATCCACTTGAACAGGGATGAGGTCGACAGCATTATTGTACTGATACTGATTCAGTGTTTCAATTTTATCACAGGATAATTTCTCAGGAAAAACAGTTAAAATTCTTTAAAAAATACATGTACATGTATATCACTTAAACTGACCAATTGACATAAACTATCTAATATATCTAAACCTGGAATAAACATAGCCTTCAAACTTGCCAAGGCAATATGCCATTCTTTGTATGAATAATAAATAAAAGCTTACGGTAACAGCTGTTCCCTTAATCAGAAACCCAGGTAGACATGTCTATACTATTGGTGTTGGACTGCAATAGTTGATGTGTTGTAAATATTGTTTTTAATATTCAGTCTCTTTTTTTCAGCTGGTGTAAAGATTAAGATAATTATCTCTTCCACAAAGAAAGATTGGTGGGGGTAAAAGAAATAGGCTCTATCCATCTGTTGTATTCATTTCTTGAGCATCACTCATAAACTGCTTCTTCATAAAACTTTGTACATATTAGTCATATGTTGATAATAGTAACATTGGTCAAAATATAAATTGGTGAGGTTTGTAGGCTCTGGTTTGTAAAGACAATGATGGGTTAGAGCTGTGCCTTTGAGTTCATTCATTACTATTCCACTACCCATGAAGATCTGGGTTAGAACTGTTCTTCCGCAACTCATGTTTGTTGTAAGAAGCGACTAACAACCAAGGCTTGCTGACTTGGTTGATACATGTTATCATATCCCACTTTCATAGACTGATGCTCAGTTGTTTATGATGTCAATTGCGGGACTGTCTGGTCCAGACTTGATTATTTACAGACAGCCGTTTTATAGCTGGAATATTGCTGAGTGCGGCATTAAATACCAAATAATGAAAACACTATTTCACAATCAGCAATCAGTTCAAGGACAGAAGGAATCCTTTTGTGTGGAGTTAGCATGGGGAGATGATTCAATCTCATTAAAATCAGATCTTAGTTTCGCTACCGCTAAACAAAGATCTGAGGACATCCTATTATGGGTCACGTCAAAAGGACCTATCGCAAACTTTGACTGACCAATGATATGACTGACAAGAAATCGACATTAGCCAATCAGAAGGCAGCTTTCTCGAGCTTTACGACACTAATTTCAAACTGGCGACTACGCTTTGAAACACATTTTGACGTATTCTCGAATGCAAAAATTAAAACTGATCAAAGAACATTCTGAAATGACTTATAGATGTCCTAGATTGTATGGATATAATTCCTAAAACCTGTTTCTGTCGTTTGGAATACCCTTGGATAAATATTTTGAGGTTGCATGATTAGAAAACACATTCCGACTGTCATTTTCATGATCTGGTAAGCGACGCTCTGATTGGTTGGATGAAAGGTCGTTCTGACGTGACCCGTAATGGGATGTCCGCAGATCTATGTTCAGCGGTAGCGAGAACTAAGATCTGAATTTAATGAGATTGGAGATGATTCTGCCAGGGTCCCCCAAAGTGTCACTTGTACTCACAAGCTTCAGGACTAACCACAGTTTGGGTATAACTTGATATGAGAAAACTACATGATTGTATATTTTACTTTGTGATTTAGAAACAGATTCAAAAGTGTGAAGCATATTAGATCTTCCCATCTCCTGTGTTTTAGGCCATGTACTGGGAGACAAAAGCATTCCACGACACATCCAAGTACTGGTACCAGATGCTGAAGGTGAGAGGAAGCTGGTCTCTACAAGGATTCCAAAGTGAGCATCGTCAATACTTCATGGGTGTGCATACACTAAGTTCCTCCATCACCATGAATACACTGAATGGGTATGCTGTGCAGCGGTAGAAACGAACAGTTTTTTAGTCCACTGGTCCTTATGATGATAACATTGCTTTGTAGTGGAGATGTATGTCTACTGTCAGTCAGCTAATCAAAAGAATCCATGAATAATGCATGGAAGTCATGTGAACCTTACTCTGTAGAGGAACTTTGTGCAAACCCTACCATTGCCTGACTGTATCTATAAAAGTCAATTCATGTCAGTTCATTTCTCTTTATTCTGTAGCTGAGGAAATGTGAGATAAAGATTGACTGCAACAATGTTAAATATGCAAAATTACTCTACTGCAGTAATGGCCGACAGCATGACACGGCATGCAAATACAAGTTGAACATTAAATATAAATATTTGAGCTTTTTTACATATAATGAAGCTTATTGTTTTAATGCTTAAAGTTTTTTTAACATGCCACTTGATATGACTACATGACTCTACATTCTCCTTAGACAGCCCATCTACATTCAAATCTCAGCCATGCTGCTTCTAGGTCACAAACAATTAGAGTAATCTCCCCTTTTTAACAGACAAAATTAATGCCTCGTAAAATCTTTAATGGCAAAACATTTATACACAGGGTGTATTTGGGCGGCTACACTGACATTGAAGATGTGTAGAGCAAATACCACAAGGCTGTAGCATGTGATGTCAAGCAAAACACATTGCTGTTTGTGCAGTGTAATCTGAGGGCTCATTGGTGTAATACTCCCATATTCCCTTTCGCTGGAGTCAGGCCGTGGCTTGATTCGTTGCTTGAACATAGCAGATTTTAAAAATAGTGCAAAACAGCCATATGTATTCACAGGGGATGGATGAACGTGGCGTATACAACGCTGTGAAGTATTGACGATGTCTGAACCAGTGTCACAGGAATGTCACAGGAAGTGCATGTTTTCATAAACACTTGTAATATCGCAAATTATCCGGCAATTTCTGCACTTAATCCTGCACAGGATTTTCATGCTGTGTTTGCTATAAAATTATTTTTGTTAACCCCATGTGGGGATTCTGAGACAGTGTAGGTCCTTAGTACTCCAAGATTGTTGTAAGAACCAGAAACTAAGGATCAGGTGGTTACAATGGAGGTCGCTGAACCCTGATGATGTGAGTAGTTATATACTGGAATATGTTGCTGACAATAACATAAGTTTGTGAAACCTATTGTTCCTTCATGCCAGCCATATTGAAAATGTCTTTTTTTCCCAGATTGTGATTTGCAGTCAATTTGGGCCCACTTCGCAGCCAGTTATTAATGTCTATCGATGTGCTGTTTAATCTCCTTGTTGTGTGTTGAGGTGAGGTGGGGTGAAATTGGGATTAACATCGCGTCCAAGATTATTGCACTTATATAGCAACGCGCATGCACGTGTGTGTCTGCTTGTACTAGTCCAGACTAATGCCAATTTACAGTGCTAGCTCAGTGAGATACCATGCCGCAGTTTAACATGAATACCCTACTCAGACACAGTATACTGACTCCGAGCCGACCAGTCCTTGTTTTAGCCCCTTTATACCGAGTTCCAGACAGGGTAACAACAAGTACCATCTTTTAACGTCAATTGGTATGACACGGCCGGGGATCAAACGCTCTACCACTAGACCATGGAGACGGTCTGTTGTGTGTTGAAGTATAATGGGCTTTAATGTTGTGTTCAAGATTATTACACTTATAAAGCTTCATGGTAAGGTGAGGTGAAATGGGGTTTAACATCGCGTCCAAGATTATTGTACTTATACAGCAATTTGCATGCACGTGTATGTGTATGTGTTTGTGGCTGCTTGTACTAGTCCGGACTGATGCCGATTTATAGTGCTAGCTCACTGAGATACCATGCCACAGTTTAACATGAATACCCCACTCAGACACAGAATACTGACTCCGAGCCGACCAGTCCTTGTAATAGCCCCTTTATACTAAGTGCCAGACAGGGTAACAACAAGTACCATCTTTCAATGTCTTTTGGTATGACACGGCCGGGGATCAAACCCTGGACCTTCCGCTCTCCGGGCGGACGCTCTACCATTAGACCACGGAGGCAGTCTTATGGCGTCATTCATGCACATTTGTGTATGTGGCTGCTTGTATTAGTACAGACTTATACCAGTTATGTGGTGCTTTTTGACTGCGATATCATGTTGATCGTGTTGAGGCTTGATCGTAGCGCCACCAGTGGCTATTATGTGCTATGTCCCTTCTACGCTCCTCCTATTGACCAATTAGATTCCACCACTCATATCACTTGCATTTGCTTCAAAGAAAATGGCGGCACCCAGTCAAGACAATCTGATCGATGATCAAGATCTAGATTGTAATAAAACAGGTCTTGCCTCGCAAAGTGCATCAAATCATGTGAGCACCTGGATTAAAACATGAAACGATTTGAAAAATATCTGTCGACACCAAGTCAAAGGTACACATCCTTTGCAAATCCTGCAATCAACCAAAATCTGCGTGTTGAAATGCATTTTGTTTACAAACCGGATGTCGATTTCATTTCGCAATTTTGATTTGACTTTGCATAGAATCGTTAGTCCAGCCATAATATAACTCGATAAATCCAGCATAGTTTGGCAAGGGTGGAAACTGGACTTTTATAGTCAGTTAACCTCTTGCCTTGGGAAGATGCCTAGATACTGCACTCAGACACAGTATATGGAATCTAATCCTACCAGTCCTTGTATTATTCCCTTAATGCCAAGGGCCAGGCAGGCTAACAACAAGTATACCATCTTTTAACATCTTTTGCTGTGATATGGCCAGGTGATTGAACCAAAGACCGTCCACTCTCTGGGCAGATGCTTTATCTGCCTCACCATAGAGGCAGTGAGGCTATTGTGTAGAATCCTCTGTTGTGTAGAAGCCTATAGACATTTTCTTGTCTACCAATGAAGAGGTGCAACAATTTGCTGTGCCAGAAACCTGAAATCATGTATTAGAATCCCAGACCTCCTGGATTATGTTTCTAGGTTTGTAAGCGCCATACCAGCTAGTGCTCATGGGTTTTACCAAAGTGCTAAAGGTCTAAGACGAGCATTACTTAAGGATTTTCTGCATCTGTCAGACAGTTCGATTGGGAGATAAACTTACTCACACAAGTAGAATTCTACAGAGATGTATGGCTCTACTTTTCACAGATATGATGGTAATAATGACCTGTGTGACCAGTGTGATGCTGATGTTGCAGGTGCTGGCCTCCTCACACACTCTCCTACCTCTGGATGACAGGATACAAAAGAGCCAAGGAAACATATGTTTCAAGACCATAAACTTTGGGGTTCGTATGACAATGAGTACCATATCAGTGTTTCTCCGCCAGTACAACCAGATTTTGAATAGTAAAATATGGTTTGACCTGTAAATTCAAGGACTGTTGGCTCCTGTGTCCGGAAGAAGTATGATATACCTTTTAAGTTGTAAGCACTTTCTGCCCTGTACAGTATACATTCTATCAGTTAGCCTTGATTCAACATCTGTCAGACAGTTCAATTGGGAGATTTGATACCTCTAAATAACCAATCAGAATCGAGTATAATTTCATGCTAGAACTATCATCATTGGTCAAGTTGCTTTCATTAGAGTAGTTTTACCGATCTTTGTTACCTCATCACATTGCCCAACATTATGACTAGGCATTTTGTGAGAGCATGATGACCATAAACATTATGTGTTTGGTTAAAATCAAAGATGTATATAAATAGTATTGTATTTGATAAGGACAGGAAAGGATGAAATGAAACTTGTCTGGCAAAAGTTAGTTGTGTGGTATTTGCTTGTGCTCCAATAACCAACAGAAATACAGTGATCCCTCACTATTGTGCTCTTCGATAAAGCGCTACCTCGGTTACTACGCGCGGTAACGCATGGCTCCCAAAATTTATGTACACTTTTAATACTGAGAGTTTTACACAGACATAATTGTATTGTTGTTCGTTGTTCATTTGCACATAACGCTTCTCATTGCATAATCAACCGTTTATCGCTGAATGGGGTTCTAATAATCTGTTTGAAAATATCCGCGGCAAGTCCCGGAAATACGATTGTTCAACTAGTTAACTTTTCACACTATACATCCTTTGATCTTAGAAGCGCATGCATGCAATAAAAGAGAACCACTAGTGAAGTTTATATTCTTAATTAGTAGGCAATCCAATTTGAGGCGACACTGTAACATACATGTAGTTGCTGTCACAACACGGCGGTCATTCATTTCGTAATCGCGCTTTCGTAGCGAGGGACCACTGTATAACACTCCAGAAACAATGCCAATGCACCACAGAGCATATGAAAGCTTCATACAACTAACTGTTCTACTCCATTTTATCTATGTTAAGTTTCTGAGTCCTTCATTACACTACAGAAATAAAGGAAATCTGTGAAGGGGTTATTTTGATGAAGGACTTTTGAAAGTTTGTCTAAATTATTAATGTGTTTAATAAAGAAATTTAAGTGTTTTACTGGTAAGTCACTGATTTCTTAATGTTTTCATGCCATCGACCGATTAGTAGGCAATGATAAAGAAGAAGGCCCTATTAAGAACTGATAAAATGTTGAATGAATTGAAATATTCTACTACCTATCACTGAACTGTTAAAGCTGATGGTAATAAACTGAAACAGTTTTGATAAAATTGTTTGAAAAAGACTTGCATGAATATTGTGTTTCAGACCCCCATGTATTCCAGTGCGGACAAAGACCTCATTATACCCTACGTTCAGTTCATCAAAGAAGAGCTTGGTGTAAGACATCATCAAATCTCAAAGGATAAAGTTGGTATTATCAAGAGGTAATCCGTCACTCTTTACTAGGATTGAAGCTATCCATTCACGTCTTATCTCACCTTACATTAAAATACTAGCTTCTGATTGGTTAAGGAGCTGGCAATTATTTTCCATGTAGCCCACTCATGTAGCCCGCTGAGAAATCAATCAGAATAAACCATAGGTTACTTGTTTATCTTGCATAAGTATCGTTCAGCTGTTATTTATCTGAATGCAATGGATAAAGGGAATTAACTCGGTTCGTTTTCGTCGTCGGCTAGATATCAGCATGGCTGAATCAAAGCTTTTTACCAGGAGAAACTTCGGACATATATTACGGGTCTGTAGGAATGAATGTTGGTGAGATATATTCGTTGTGGACCGATCCCTCAGGGCATATGGTGTGATGTACCCTGTGTGAAAGTCTATGGGCCTCTATGACGGCTTGGGGTATATAGGCTCACACACTGGATACATCACATCATGTACCCCGAGGGATCGGTTGACAGCTTATAATGTACATGCTTGTACCAGTATATGTTTCATATGTACAGTAGAACATGGATATAACGAACTACAAGGGACCAGAGAAATCAGTTCGTTATATCCGTTTTTCGTTATATACATCAACAGCATTTATAATTCTCAATTTCGTATCTAAACTGACAGCTTTCCTCTTTCTATTGCTCGCCATGATAGCACATGCAAGTGATCTGACACTTTATACTAAAATAATGAAAATATAAGACTGACAGGGGGGCACGGGTGGCCCAGTCGTCTAAGGCGCCGCGATTCGCTGTGCAGAGTTGCGTCCCTTGGACACTCCAGAAACCTATGATTGTGGGTTCGATCCCGGTTCGCCCTGATTATGTTTCTAGGTTTGTCAGCACCATACCCGTGCTCGTGGGTTTCACCGAAGTGGTAAACGTCTGAGACCTGCATCACTTCGGGCTTTCCTCCCACATTAAGCTGACACGCCGCGATATGACTGGAATTCTGTTAAAAGCGGCGTTAAACCCAACTCACTTACTCACTCACTCAGACTGACAGACAACGCATCATATGAGCTGACATATCGTCATAACCATTTCAGAACCAACCGTCGCAGAATCCTCAATGAAGGAGAGCTGGTTGAGGCAGTGTCCAACATCGCTGATGTGGAACTGGTAGACTTCTCAAGACTCAGCTTTAAGCAACAGGTTTTGACAGTTTAATTCTCTTTGTACATGTGTATTAATCTGTTTTGTAAGGAAAGATATTCCTTGTCCTTATGACTTCTACTAAATGGCTCCTCTCTCCATGTTTGTGGTAAGTGGTGACTATCAAATATCTGTGCTGTAGATGAATAGACCAGTTGTCAGCACAACAAGTTCTTGAACATATGTAATTTTTGTGAAAACTGCACCTCCAGAATACACTAGCCTCATTCTCCTGTCAGGCAGACCCAACAAGAATAAACCTTTTTTGAGTGTGGTACATGAGCCTATCCCTAGTGCTGAGATATTCATATCTCTTGTGGGCTCCAAATGTGACATCAGGCTAAGCAAAGAAATCCAGAAAGCAGACAAAAACATTGACTGATTGATTTTCCTTCTGTCCATCTGTCAGTCTGTCCGTCCCACAGAGGGTACTAAGCTTGTGAAATCAATTTCCTCCTCCAGCTTTTAGAAGATGTCGACATGTTGATGACACACATATAGCAGTCCCGTTTCATTTCGACAAATTCTGACAGAGTTACTCAACTCAGTCTCGGTAAGGTGGTCAGGACCACCACTCCGTCTTGGTAGGGTGGTCAGGACCACCACTCCGTCTTGGTAGGGTGATCAGGACCACCACTCCGTCTTGGTAGGGTGATCAGGAGATCAGGCAAGACTGCACATCAACAGCCTACAGTTTCTTAGCTGTGATAGTGACAACAGATCACAACATCCCAGGCAATACAAATGTCGTCTGCTGACATCCTGTCATGATCTGTGCACTGCAAGATACAACCACTGGCTTACAGTATTTGTGTCTCCAATCCAAGATCCACTGGGCGGGAATCATGACACTCTGACCGTTTCCTGGGAAAATCTCCACACCTTTGCCTTCCTGCTGTCAACAGTATAGTGGCACGTGGTCCTGTGCACAGGTTACAGCGTTAAACCATGTTGGTTGCAGAGAGTCTTTGAATGGGTGACCGTGTGTTGGCAGCTTGCCTCCTCAGTGTTTCTTGGGCTTTGGTCTTGCCCCAGACTGAAGCACTTGTAACACATGTGGTGTGTCCTTGGGCAAATGACTTTGTTCGAAATGTGCGTCCAACCAGTGAAAGGGAACCTGTAGGTTGAGATGGCAATGTAGTTGTTAACCTTCTAATGCCTCACTGGCAGCTATGGTTGTATACTCCCCAGGGAGCTGGGAATGACTGTTCAGTGCACAATGATCCATTCACCAGGGTATTAATGTCTAAGCACCTGGAGCATGCTTATGCATGGCATACAGCACCATATAAATGTTGTAGTAGTAGTAGTAGTAGTAGTAGTAGTCAGAGCACTGCAGAAGTTGAGAAGGGAGATGAAGGACAAATGCATTGTGATGGCCTAATCGATTTATTGTCAAAGTGAGATTCCAGTTTCAAGTTCTTCCATTCAGAATATCATTCACCATGATTTTACAAGGCTGATTCTAGTGTAATGTGTAATGTCATGATAGCTTCAAGGTGGTGTTTGTTGTTTCCTGGCATGTGCTAAGGGAGGTAACTACTAACAAGAGAATAAGGCTATTGTATGTTAGGGGGAAGTTCACAGTTACCCCCAATAGTTATATCTTAATTTTTTTAATATGGATAATGACAAAAACTTACATAAAACAGATGTGTTTTGTTTTGTTTTAAATTCTTTTTTCATAAAATTTATATCATGTATATTGAATACATCTGTGATTCAAGACCATATATTGATATTGACGTATTGGAATTTGACAACCCCCCCAAAAAAACAATATCAACAAACACTGATTGAGGATTAAACTGTGATTCCAAGGATGACTCGGATATGTCTCTTTTCGGCAGATTGAGAAGGTGCAGGAGTACTCCGTGCTTGTTGGCATGAATGGCGCCGGGCTTATGAATGGCCTCTTTCTGTCCCCGGGTGCCGTCACTGTCCAGCTGGTGCCGTTCAGGGCTGATCTCAACTTCAAAGAATTCGGTCAACTTCTGAAGAACCGTGGTCCTTACCTTGAGTGGCACAACGAGCACGCCAACCTGTCCCAAGAACTCCCAAACGATCCCTATCATGGACAGTCAGACACTACAGTTCAAGTAGGAGAGTTTGTTGAACTCATCAAGAAAGCTTTGCAGCTTGTAAACAGTGATGACTACAGTGATAAAACTGAGCTGTGATTTTATAGTATATGCAAGAATAAATGTATATCATTTTGATATTTATTTGGTTTTAATCTCATAACTGAGTTTATATATTTTTCACCATTTTAGTGATGATAAGCATAATATGCTTTGCCAAAGGCACCTTATTTATAATGTGAATGTAAAGACTATTTAAATACATGTATATTTTAATGAGATTTCCGGTCACAAATGTCCAACTGTCTCACTGAAAATATTTCCAAGAGAAATTTTACCTTTTTTAACTTGAAAATCGTATTATTCTAAATCATATCTTAGGCATATCCATTATTGTGTGACGTGAGAGTTATACATCTAACAGTCAACATGGATATGATGCATGTTTCAGATTGGATATTTAATTATGCAAACTAAATTTGAATTGTACAATGTACAAGTTATTACAGAAACCATTAGCCTTAATCAATTAATTTGAAGGGTGCCATGAAGTTAAGGCAGCTGTTTCTTTTGACAGTTTCGTGCAGTTATGACTTTTGAAACCATCCCTGACAGTCACTTACATTAAGGACCTGTACAGAACTGTATCAAACATCTAAGATAAAGAGAAATCTGTAAAACACCAAGATCAAATTAACCTCATACCTGGTTTCCCTGCCAAGGTGTAGCAATGCAGAAAAATAATGTCCAATGGAAAAACTAGCTGATATTTCAGTCTTGAAAAAATCTCATTTGTTAATGTCATGGGAATTTTTTCTCAGACAGAATAATTTCATACCTATGTTTTGTACCTCGAACCCTGGACCTTCCGCTCTCCGGGCAGACGCTCTACCACTAGACCACGGAGGCGGTAAATATAGGGTGAGCTATAGCCTTGTGGCCCATGTGTTTCAAGCATAATCAAATGCAATGTTTGGCATATAATATCATGATTGTTTTTATTGTTATAATTCTTTGACCAAAGGAATCAAATGTTTTGTTTTAAGGATAAAACTTCATACACATCCTGGTCCTTGTTATCTGTCAGGGTGTTTGTTTTTTGTTTTTCTTGGCAACTAGTATCAGCCATTGTACCATGTACCTTGCTGTACCATGAACATTGTTTGTGGAGATGAAGGGCTGTTGTTGCAGCATTGCATCCCTTGCCCATGCCAGGAGCTTCTGACTAGGTTCAAATTGCCCCAATAACAATATAGTCGGTTGGCATGAATGTCATAGCTTGCCTATCAATGAATATCTGTGTCTGTCATTTCTATGCATGTCATTGAGTTTGTTGTACTAGGATTTTATGTAAGAGAGTAAAAAACTAGTAGGTAAACTTGTAACATTTGAGTGTTATCTTTGCTGATGTCCAAGAATGTTTTGGATGGTGTGAATGTTCTTTATAACTTTTCATCACAAATTCTATTTTAATATATTTCTTTCACAAAAACGTATTGTGAGTTTAGTGTGCTGAACCTATTTATCCGCATGCAGATAGCTGTAAATCTTGTTGCTTGGAAGATCTACACCTGATCAGTGCTTTAAAAGTATTGTGTAGAATAAATGATATCACTGTAATATCTCATTGTACATGAAGTCTATTTTTTTAAAGAATAAATGATTTCATAATATGAATGGTTTGGTCTTATGTGGAATAGATGTTTGACTGCAAATCTCATAGTGCATGATAGGTCATTTTATGATAGGGAATACAAGAAAACAGCATGATATTTATCTCCTATTGCTCCTTTACACCCGTGAAGATCCGGGGTAGAATAGGTCTTCAGCAACCCATGCTTGCCGTAAAAGGTGACTATGCTTGTCGTGAAAGGCGACTAACAGGAATGGGTGGTCAGGCTTGCTGACTTGGTTGATGCACGGTCATCGATCCCAAATGCGTGGATCGATGCTCATGATATCAATCACTGGATTTTCTGGTCCAGAGTTGATTATTTACAGACTGCCGTCATATAGCTGGAATGTAGCTGAGTGCGGCGTTAAACAAGAAACCAACCGACCAACCAACCTATAGCATTTACATATACTACTGAAAAGATGTAAAAAAACACCCGATTTTTCATATTACTTTAGTTAATCTGTCATCTCATATACTAAAGTCATATGAAAAAAATCAAGTGTTCTAAAATTCGTTTTAAGTAGTATATACAAGTAAATGACAAATAAAGGCATCCCATCTGAAAATTTATTTCAGGTTTTTTCATACAGATAGAAATACCATTCATTTATATTAACCAATACAACAAGGCTCTCATTACCCTTCAAGGTTCTTCACATCATAAGGCCAACCTTATTACTGAGATCATTGAAAGATTTGGGTGAAGAATATGAATTGATCATTGGTTTTGTTTCAGCTGAATATATAGGCAGTAAACTTTGTTTAACCAAGGTGCCAGAGCTGGCACACTTTGCTGGTTTGGTGTCCGTATCGTCTTCTTTTTTATCCCATCTGAATAATTCCATGATCCAAGTAACAATATGAATGGCCTCATGAATTCATCTTGAAGTATTCTCAATACCGTGATGAATCATTCAATGAATTCTCACCATGAAATATCAAGGTGATGTATTTGGCACATAGCTGACATGCAACTCTGTAGCATGAACAGTGGAATATATACAGCTCCACTCTTGATAGGGATATTTTTTATCTTTCTATGATACACAAAACCGTTTCTTATAACATGCTAAGTGCATATTTAAATGGAATGACATATCGGTGTATCCCTATCAAAAGTTGAGTAGTATATCAACATTCATATCTTCCCGAGGCGAGGGCGTTAACTGACTACGAAAGTCCAGTTTCCACAAGACTGTGTGTCTAGACAGTGTGAGACCATTTTGTTTCAAGCAAATGAAAGTGATATGAGAGGTGGAATCTGATTGGTCAATAGGAGGGACATAGAAGGGACATAACTCATAATAGCCATTGGTGGCGCTACGTTTGAGTCCAGAAATTCCAGTCAATTTTGGCAAGGGTGGAAACTGAACTTTTACAGTCAGCGAACCTCCTTGTCACAGGAAGATGGTCAGTTGTGGGGACATAGAAGGGACATAACTTGTAAAAGCCACTGGTGGCGCTACCATCGAGGCCCAGAAATTCCAGCCTACTTCGGTAGGAAACAACTTGTACAGTTAGTTAACTCCATTGGTACGGGAAGATGATCAACATGCTCCTCACAGGGTATCGGTCCATTTATGCATGTTAATGTTTCTGGTATGAATCAAAGCCCCATACCTGGACTTTACATACATCATGCTACACAACTTCTACTTGTGCTAAATACACAGTTCCTACCACATAGGACTCTTTACACTGTTAAAATTGAACACAATTGCTTCATAAGCCATTCAGCACTGGAAAAACATACCGGTACACATGAAATTAATTAATACCACTTAATACTATATATCGTAGATATGTATCGAAATATAAAATCAATGTCACATGTAGTTTATATTTCCAAAAGATAAACACAAGTTTGGTGTAGTGTTTTTACCAGGTGTATACAATATGGATTAGCCCTAATGAATGCCAGTAAGCCATTACTTTATTTTTTGTTTACTGAAAGCTGGTACAGTGGGTTTTCTGATCCAATCTCATTAAAATCAGATCTTAGTTCTCGCTACCTCTAAACAAAGATCTGAGGACATCCCATTACGGGTCACGTCAGACCGACCTTGAGCGAACTCTGACCGACCAATGGAATGACCAATGAGAAGGCAGCTATCTCGTGCTTTAAGGCACAAATTTCAAATTAGCGACTACGCTTCGAAACATATTTTGACAAATTCTCGATTACAAATTTTAAATCTGAACAAAAGAACATTCTGGAATGGTTAATAGATGGTCTAAATTGTATGGATTCAGTCGTTAAACCCGTAACTATCGTTCGGAGGTTGCATGATTAGAAATCACATTCCGACTTTCACTTTCATAATCTGGTAAGTGATGCTCTGATTGGTCGGATGAAAGGTCGTTCTGACGTGACCCTTAATGGGATGTCCTCAGATCTTTGTTTAGCGGTAGCGAGAACGAAGATCTGATTTTAATGAGATTGTTTCGGATCTAGCCTATCCCATCTACTCATTCAGTGAATACAAAAACTAACTATACCACTGCATGGAATAAATCCGGAAAATCAATTCTGAAAGTTAGTTTTGTGTTTTTCTGCATTTAACTAGCCCTGCGAAAATTATAGCAGCCAAAGGCTAGCAGGGTTGTGTTACCAGTGAGTTCTAACACTGCTGTTCTGCTTGGAAAGCAGAATTATTTACTGTATGAGACTGCACGTAATATTCCCCCCTGCTTTGAATTTTAACATCTTTATTTGAGAAGCAACAACAAAGTTAAATTCTGTAAATCCTTTATTGTTAGTACTGCAATGTAGGCCAAGTGCCTAGAGAATGTCTCCACAGTGATGTCTGTCTGGTCAGCAACATGTTGAAATAGTGTACAAAGATAAGATGACCTGTACAAAACACATCACAGTAAATATGTACACTTTACAGCAGGGGAGAATAAATAAATGACTGCTTCTTAAGCAAAACAAATAACCACATGAAAAAAATAGTACATCGGAAAATAGCACTTTGAAATGACCACAATATGTTTTTAACATGTCAAACAGTGGTTTCAACTTATTTCAGCAAATGAAAGTAACAAGAAATAGCATACTGCCGTTGACTCTTACATTGAGAAGCAAAAGTCCACTGTAAACCAGATGTTCAGACAACCTCTGAGTTTACACCAGTGAATAGTCTGTGGATGCTCCAATACTTCACAGGTTGTGTGCACTACATTCCTCTGTCCACCGTAAATACATACAACCACAAAATGGTGCAGTCGCTATTTTAGCTAATGAATCAAGCCTTGGTCCTGTCCAAGCCAAGGGGGAAAACCAGCCAGTTTTCAGAACAATAAGTATAAAAATTACCCTGGCGATATTTCTTTTCCAACATGGCATCTACTCTACACATTGCTTCAATGTCAGACAACGCTACTGTTGGCACATGCATGGAATAAGGCTCATTTGACTTCCTTGAGTTCCTTGAAGATGTCGACATGTTGATGACACACATATCGCAGTCCCGTTTCATTTTGACAAATTCTGACAGAGTTACTCCACTCAGTCTCGGTAAGGTGGTCAGGACCTCCACTCAGTCTTGGTAAGGTGGTCAGGACCTCCACTCAGTCTTGGTAAGGTGGTCAGGACCTCCACTCAGTCTTGGTAAGGTGGTCAGGACCTCCACTCAGTCTTGGTAAGGTGGTCAGGACCTCCACTCTGTCTCGGTAAGGTGGTCAGGACCTCCACTCCGTCTTGGTAGGGTGATCAGGAGATCAGGCAAGACTGCACAACAACAGCCTACAGTTTCTTAGCTGTGATAGTGACAACAGATCACCACATCCCAGGCAATACAAATGTCGTCTGCTGACATCCTGTCATGATCTGTGCAGTGCAAGATACAACCACTGGCTTACAGTATTTGTGTCTCCAATCCAAGATCCACTGGGCGGGAATCATGACACTCTGACCGTTTCCTGGGAAAATCTCCACGCCTATGCCTTCCTGCTGTCAACAGTACAGTGGCACGTGGTCCTGTGCACAGGTTACAGCGTTAAACCATGTTGGTTGTAGAGAGTCCTTGAATGGGTGACCGTGTGTTGGCAGCTTGCCTCCTCAGTGTTTCTTGGGCTTTGGTCTTGCCCCAGACTGAAGCACTTGTAACACATGTGGTGTGTCCTTGGGCAAATGACTTTGTTCGAAATGTGCGTCCAACCAGTGAAAGGGAACCTGTAGGTTGAGATGGCAATGTGGTTGTTAACCTTCTAATGCCTCACTGGCAGCTATGGTTGTATACTCCCCAGGGAGCTGAGAATGACTGTTCAGTGCACAATGATCCATTCACCAGGGTATTAATGTCTAAGCACCTGGAGCATGCTTATGCATGGCATACAGCACCATATAAATGTAGTAGTAGTAGTAGTAGTAGTCAGAGCACTGCAGAAGTTGAGAAGGGAGATGGAGGACAAATGCATTGTGATGGCCTAATCTATTTATTGTCCAAGTGAGATTCCAGTTTCAAGTTCTTCCATTCAGAATATCATTCACCATGATTACAAGGCTGATTCTAGTGTAATGTGTAATGTCATGATAGCTTCAAGGTGGTGTTTGTTGTTTCCTGGCATGTGCTAAGGGCGGTAACTACTAACAGGAGAATAAGGCTATTGTATGTTAGGGGGAAGTTCACAGTTACCCCCAATAGTTATATCTTAATTTTTTTAATATGGATAATGACAAAAACTTACATAAAACAGATGTGTTTTATTTTATTTAAATTCCTCTTTCGTAAAATTTATATCATGTATATTGAATACATCTGTGATTCAAGGCCATATATGGATTTTGACGTATTGGAATTTGCAAACCCCCTCCAAAAACAATATCAACAAACACTGACTGAGGATAAAACTGTGATTCCAAGGATGACTCGGAAATGTCTCTTTTCGGCAGATTGAGAAGGTGCAGGAGTACTCCGTGCTTGTTGGCATGAATGGCGCCGGGCTTATGAATGGCCTCTTTCTGTCCCCGGGTGCCGTCACTGTCCAGCTGGTGCCGTTCAGGGCTGATCTCAACTTCAAAGAATTCGGTCAACTTCTGAAGAACCGTGGTCCTTACCTTGAGTGGCACAACGAGCACGCCAACCTGTCCCAAGAACTCCCAAACGATCCCTATCATGGACAGTCAGACACTACAGTTCAAGTAGGAGAGTTTGTTGAACTCATCAAGAAAGCTTTGCAGCTTGTAAACAGTGATGACTACAGTGATAAAACTGAGCTGTGATTTTATATTATATGCAAGAATGAATGTTTATCATTTTGATATTTATTTGGTTTTAATCTCATAACTGAGTTTATGTATTTTTCACCATTTTAGTGATGATTAGCATAATATGCTTTGCCAAAGGCACCTTATTTATAATGTGAATGTAAAGACTATGTATACATGTATATTTTAATGAGATTTCCGGTCACAAATGTCCAACTGTCTCACTGAAAATATTTTCCAAGAGAAATGTTACCTTTTTTAACTTGAAAATCGTATTATTCTAAATCATATCTTAGGCATATCCATTATTGTGTGGCGTGAGAGTTATGCATCTAACAGTCAACATAGATATGATGCATGTTTCAGATTGGATATTTAATTATGCAAACTACATTTGAATTGTACAATGTACAAGTTATTACAGAAACCATTAGCCTTAATCAATTAATTTGAAGGGTGCCATGAAGTTAAGGCAGCTGTTTCTTTTGACAGTTTTGTGCAGTTATGACTTTTGAAACCATCCCTGACAGTCACTTACATTAAGGACCTGTACAGAACTGTATCAAACATCTAAGATAAAGAGAAATCTGTAAAACACCAAGATCAAATTACCCTCCGACCTGGTTTCCCTGCCAAGGTGTAGCAATGCAGAAAAATAATGTCCAATGGAAAAGCTAGCTGATATTTCAGTCTTGAAAAAATCTCATTTGTTAATGTCATGGGAATTTTTTCTCAGACAGAATAATTTCATACCTATGTTTTGTACCTCGAACCCTGGACCTTCCGCTCTCTGGGCGGACGCTCTACCACTAGACCACGGAGGCGGTAAATATAGGGTGAGCTATAGCCTTGTGGCCCATGTGTTTCCAGCATAATCAAACGCAATGTTTGGCATATAATATCATGATTGTTTTTATTGTTATAATTCTTTGACCAAAGGAATCAAATGTTTTGTTTTAAGGATAAAACTTCATACACATCCTGGTCCTTGTTATCTGTCAGGGTGTTTGTTTTTTGTTTTTCTTGGCAACTAGTGTCAGCCATTGTACCATGTACCTTGCTGTACCATGAACATTGTTTGTGGAGATGAAGGGCTGTTGTTGCAGCATTGCATCCCTTGCCCATGCCAGGAGCTTCTGACTAGGTTCAAATTGCCCCAATAACAATATAGTCGGTTGGCATGAATGTCATAGCTTGCCTATCAATGAATATCTGTGTCTGTCATTTCTATGCATGTCATTGAGTTTGTTGTACTAGGATTTTATGTAAGAGAGTAAAAAACTAGTAGGTAAACTTGTAACATTTGAGTGTTATCTTTGCTGATGTCTAAGAATGTTTTGGATGGTGTGAATGTTCTTTATAACTTTTCATCACAAATTCTATTTTAATATATTTCTTTCACAAAAACGTATTGTGAGTTTAGTGTGCTGAACCTATTTATCCGCATGCAGATAGCTGTAAATCTTGTTGCTTGGAAGATCTACACCTGATCAGTGCTTTAAAAGTATTGTGTAGAATAAATGATATCACTGTAATATCTCATTGTACATGAAGTCTATTTTTTTAAAGAATAAATGATTTCATAATATGAATGGTTTGGTCTTATGTGGAATAGATGTTTGACTGCAAATCTGATAGTGCATGATAGGTCTTTTTATGATGTGGAATACAAGAAAACGGCATGATATTTATCTCCTATTGCTCCTATAGCATTTACATATACTACTGAAAAGATGTAAAACAACACCCTATTTGTCATATTACTTTAGTTAATCTGTCATCTCATATACTAAAGTCATATGAAAAAAATCAAGTGTTCTAAAATTCTTTTTGAGTAGTATATACAAGTAAATGACAAATAAAGGCATCCCATCTGAAAATTTATTTCAGGTTTTTCATACAGATAGAAATACCATTCATTTATATTAACCAATACAACAAGGCTCTCATTACCCTTCAAGGTTCTTCACATCATAAGGCCAACCTTATTACTGAGATCATTGAAAGATTTAGGTGAAGAATATGAATTGATCATTGATTTTGTTTCTGCTGAATATATAGGCAGTAAACTTTGTTTAACCAAGGTGCCAGAGCAGTGGCACACTTTGCTGGTTTGGTGTCCGTATCGTCTTCTTTTTCATCCCATCTGAATAATTCCATGATCCAAGTAACAAATATGAATGGCCTCATGAATTCATCTTGAAGTATTCTCAATACCGTGATGAATCATTCAATGAATTCTCACCATGAAATATCAAGGTGATGTATTTGGCACATAGCTCACATGCAACTCTGTAGCATGAACAGTGGAATATATACAGCTCCACTCTTGATAGGGATATTTTTTATCTTTCTATGATACACAAAACCGTTTCTTATAACATGCCAAGTGCATATTTAAATGGAATGACATATCGGAGTATCCCTATCAAAAGTTAGGTAGTATATCAACATTCATATCTTCCCGAGGCAAGGGCGTTAACTGACTACGAAAGTCCAGTTTCCACACGACTGTGTGTCTAGACAGTATGAGACCATTTTGTTTCAAGCAAATGAAAGTGATATGAGAGGTGGAATCTGATTGGTCAATAGGAGGGACATAGAAGGGACATAACTCATAATAGCCATTGGTGGCGCTACGTTTGAGTCCAGAAATTCCAGTCAATTTTGGCAAGGGTGGAAACTGAACTTTTACAGTCAGCGAACCTCCTTGTCACAGGAAGATGGTCAGTTGTGGGGACATAGAAGGGACATAACTTGTAAAAGCCACTGGTGGCGCTACCATCGAGGCCCAGAAATTCCAACTTGTATAGTCGGTTAACTCCATTGTCACGGGAAGATGATCAACATGCTCCTCACAGGGTATCGGTCCATTTATGCATGTTAATGTTTCTGGTATGAATCAAAGCCCCATACCTGGACTTTACATACATCATGCTACACAACTTCTACTTGTGCTAAATACACAGTTCCTACCACATAGGACTCTTTACACTGTTAAAATTGAACACAATTGCTTCATAAGCCATTCAGCACTGGAAAAACATACACATGAAATTAATTAATACCACTTAATACTATTGTCGTAGATATGTATCGAAATATAAAATCAATGTCACATGTAGTTTATATTTCCAAAAGATAAACACAAGTTTGGTGTAGTGTTCTTACCAGGTGTATACAATATGGATTAGCCCTAATGAATGCCAGTAAGCCATTACTTTATTTTTTGTTTACTGAAAGCTGGTACAGTGGGTTTTCTGATCCAATCTCATTAAAATCAGATCTTAGTTCTCGCTACCTCTAAACAAAGATCTGAGGACATCCCATTACGGGTCACGTCAGACCGACCTTGAGCAAACTCTGACCGACCAATGGAATGACCAATCAGAAGGCAGCTATCTCGTGCTTTACGGCACTAATTTCAAATTAGCGACTACGCTTCGAAACATATTTTGACAAATTCTCGATTACAAATTTTAAATCTGAACAAAAGAACATTCTGGAATGGTTAATAGATGGTCTAAATTGTATGGATTCAGTCGTTAAACCCGTAACTATCGTTCGGAGGTTGCATGATTAGAAATCACATTCCGACTTTCACTTTCATAATCTGGTAAGTGATGCTCTGATTGGTCGGATGAAAGGTCGTTCTGACGTGATCCCTAATGGGATGTCCTCAGATCTTTGTTTAGCGGTAGCGAGAACGAAGATCTGATTTTAATGAGATTGTTTCTGATCTAGCCTATCCCATCTACTCATTCAGTGAATACAAAAACGAACTATATCACTGCATGGAATAAATCCGGAAAATCAATTCTGAAAGTTAGTTTTGTGTTTTTCTGCATTTAACTAGCCCTGCGAAAATTATAGCAGCCAAAGGCTAGCAGGGTTGTGTTACCAGTGAGTTTTAACACTGCTGTTCTGCTTGGAAAGCAGAATTATTTACTGTATGAGACTGCACGTAATATTCCCCCCTGCTTTGAATTTTAACATCTTTATTTGAGAAGCAACAACAAAGTTAAATTCTGTAAATCCTTTATTGTTAGTACTGCAATGTAGGCCAAGTGCCTAGAGAATGTCTCCACAGTGATGTCTGTCTGGTCAGCAACATGTTGAAAAAGTGTACAAAGATAAGATGACCTGTACAAAACACATCACAGGTAATATGTACACTTTACAGCAGGGGAGAATAAATAAATGACTGCTTCTTAAGCAAAACAAATAACCACATGAAAAAAATAGTACATCGGAAAATAGCACTTTGAAATGACCACAATATGTTTTTAACATGTCAAACAGTGGTTTCAACTTATTTCAGCAAATGAAAGTAACAAGAAATAGCATACTGCCGTTGACTCTTACATTGAGAAGCAAAAGTCCACTGTAAACCAGATGTTCAGACAACCTCTGTGAGTTTACACCAGTGAATAGTCTGTGGATGCTCCAATACTTCACAGGTTGTGTGCACTACATTCCTCTGTCCACCGTAAATACATACAACCACAAAATGGTTCAGTTGCTATTTTAGCTAATGAATCAAGCCTTGGTCCTGTCCAAGCCAAGGGGGAAAACCAGCCAGTTTTCAGAACAATAAGTATAAAAATTACCCTGGCGATATTTCTTTTCCAACATGGCATCTACTCTACACATTGCTTCAACGTCAGACAACGCTACTGTTGGCACATGCATGGAATAAGGCTCATTTGACTTCCTTGAGTTATGCAAAGCCTGACTGAAGAAAGACACCTCACTAAAGCGATGGTATGTATTCGTGGGTAATGGAGAAATCTGCGAAGTACTGACGATGGTTTACATTATAGGTACATAGGTCCTTGAGAAGTGTTTTAGAAGTTAATTGTTATTTCGTAGAAATGAATGTAAACAAGGCATTTGTACCTAGGTATGGGCACATAATGCAACAGGTCAGATTTCAGTACACTCACAAGGTCATTTTACACACACACAATAGATCTAATAAAGCAAACATCATCATACAAAGTGTTCATAGTGAGGCACTGGAGAAGATTGAGACTTTTCAAGCAGGAACTAAAGACCAAGCTGTGTATACCAAAACTTAATAAAGTATCAATCTGTTCTTATAATAAACCTGTATTTGGTGTTAACCATCTTCCTGTGACAAGGAGGTTAGCTGACTGTAAAAGTTCAGTTTCCACCCTTGCCAAAATTGACTGGAATTTCTGGGCTCAATCATAGCGCCACCACTGGCTATTATGAGTTATGTCCCTTCTATGTCCCTCCTATTGACCAATCAGAATCCACCTCTCATATCATTGCATTTGCTTGAAACAAAATGGCAGCACCCAGTGAAGACGATCTGATTGATAATCAAGATCTTTATTGTAATAAAACAGGTCTTACATCGCGAAGTGCATCAAATCACGTGAGCAGCTTGATTAAAAACATGAAAAGATATGGAATATATATATATATATATGTTGACGTTAAATTGACGGGCCACACGTTTTGCAAATCCTGCTATCGACCGAAATCTGCATGGCAGATTACCAACCAGATTCCAATTTCGTAACACAATTATGAATGGACTATGCATGAACTCATTAGCGCAGCCAAGATATAACTCCAGAATTCCAGCCTAGTTCGGCAAGCATGGAACTGGACCTTTATAGTCAGTTAACTCCCTTGCCTCGGGAAGATGGGTGTTTATGGTCAATGTTCAATAACTAACATAAAAAAACATTCAGTGCAAAGAAGCCATAAAATAGGCAGTTTTCACAGCAATCAATTGAATTTAAGCATTTTCATATTTGTGTGCAGCTGGTATAGACAATTGTGTGGTTGGTAACATGACACTGTATGCGTTTGTCACTGTAGGCATTAGTAGATTACACAGAATGGTCAGGTTGTGTGTGTGGTATGTGCTTGGGTGCTTGGGGTAGCACTATGCTTGAATACTTATCGACAATATTTAGTTCTAAAGCATGACTCTTGTCGTCATGACAACAATGAGGATATACTGTTCAAAACAAATACATTCCAGGTCGATTCTCCACACTGTCCCTGTGTCTAGCAGTACTGGGTACCTGTTTCAGTTGGAGGGCCTGTTCATTCTGTCACCTGTATAATAATAAGATTTCACTGGGGATTAACAATGGAAGGTTACACACTTGCCCTTTTCAAACAGTTCATTTTGAATTATATGCAATTGACCTTTGATTGAGAGGGTTTTCAGGTGATTTTAGCCATTCTTTCTTCAACATCTGTTTTAACTGCGATAATCGGAGATTGGGATTTTCTTGTTTGAGACGTGGAAGATTTTCAGCTTCAAAGTCAGTGTATGCTGCCTTGACACGCTTTTCTGGATGTCTGTCAAGTCTTTCTGATTTCACACTGAAAGAAATGAAAGAAAAAAAATATCTTGAAACTTGCAGACATTATCCTTCTACAGTTTGTTTGTTGTTTAACACAGCACTCAGCAATATTCAAGCTATATGACAGCAGACTGTATATAATCAAATCTGGGCCAGACAATCCAGTGATTCATATTGTGTGCAACAGTCCACAATGTTGAGGTATGATGACATGCACTCAATCAAGTCACAGAGCCTGACCACCTGATCCATTTGGCGAGTGAGTGAGTTGGGTTCAACGCCGCTTTTAACAGTATTCCAGTTATATCATGGCGTGTCAGCTTAATGTGGGAGGAAAACCTGAAGTGATGCAGGTCTCAGACGTTTACCACTTCGGTGAAATCCACACGAGCACAGGTATGGTGCTGACAAACCTAGAAACATAATCTGGGCGAACCGGGATTCGAACCCACAATCATAGGTTTCTGGTGTGCCCAAGGGACACAACTCTGCACAGCAAATCGTGGCGCCTTAGACGACTCGGCCACCCGTGGTCATTTTCAACAGAGTGGTCATCAATGTTAAATAATTACATATAAGGTTAAAAAATGATTAATGAAACGTTGCAGGTAGGAACCTTCAATTATTAATCCTTTCATTCTCCTCCCCAAAAATTCAGATATTGAACCAAGAAAATTGAAAACAAATATATTGTCCTGTCCTTTCCTCCTGAACCAACCCTACACTTTGGGACGAAAAACTGCAACCAAATCTAACTCTGACTTATACAACCTGCACAAAGTCAACCAGTTAATTTTACAACTTAAGGAAGTGCTCGCACCTGAGAAGGGAAATGGCCTCCTCTACAGTTCTTGCTTCCTGGCCCTCCATTTCCAGACGGTTGATGTTTTCTTCAAGGGGTTTCTCATCATGCGACACTTCCTTGTCATGCTTCTCAGCTGTGGAAAAAGATTTGGAACAGGTTCATACCAAACATCTGGTCCAGGGAGACACCCCCCAAAATGGTCATCCATACACAGCTGACAACTGAGAATATCCATCACATAAGTAGTATGATCATCATGAAAACATGAAATGAAGCATGACCTGTTGGCAAATGTGATGCAGAGAGTAAGTGAGTTGGGTTTAACCTTGCTTTTGAACAGTATTTTAGTTATGCAGTTAGGATTCGAACCCACAATTACCGGTATGTATTTGGCAAAGGTAAGCAACAGTGAACCGTGGCGCTTAGAGTAATGGGCCACCAGTTCTCGGTGCTAAGCATGATACAATCTTTGCTAGATGACAGTCATTACCACCATGTGATATGCAACAAAGGGTAGACCCCGCCATGTGATATGCAACAAAGGGTAGACCCCACCATGTGATATGCAACAAAGGGAAGACCCCACCATGTGATATCCAACAAAGGGTAGACCCCGCCATGTGATATGCAACAAAGGGAAGACACCACCATGTGATATCCAACAAAGGGTAGACCCCACCATGTGATATGCAACAAAGGGTAGACCCAGCCATGTGATATGCAACAAAGGGGTAGACCCCACCATGTGATATGCAACAAAGGGAAGACCCCACCATGTGATATCCAACAAAGGGTAGACCCCACCATGTGATATGCAACAAAGGGTAGACCCCGCCATGTGATATGCAACAAAGGGAAGACACCACCATGTGATATCCAACAAAGGGAAGACCCCACCATGTGATATCCAACAAAGGGTAGACCCCACCATGTGATATGCAACAGGGGTAGACCCCACCATGTGATATGCAACAAAGGGTAGACCCCACCATTGGTTTATGCAACAAAGGGAAGACCCCACCATGTGATATCCAACAAAGGGAAGACCCCACCATGTGATATCCAACAAAGGGTAGACCCCACCATGTGATATGCAACAGGGGTAGACCCCACCATGTGATATGCAACAGGGGTAGACACCACCATGTGATATCCAACAGGGGTAGACCCCACCATGTGATATTTAACAGGGGTAGACACCACCATGTGATATCCAACAGGGGTAGACCCCACCATGTGATATCCTACAGGGGAAGACACCACCATGTGATATTTAACAGGGGTAGACACCACCATGTGATATCCAACAGGGGTAGACCCCACCATGTGATATCCTATAGGGAAAGACATCACCATGTGATATTTAACAGGGGTAGACACCACCATGTGATATCCAACAGGGGAAGACACCACCATGTAATATCCAATAGGGGTAGACCCCACCATGTGATATGCAACAGGGGAAGACCCCACCATGTGATATCCTACAGGGAAAGACACCAACATGTGATATCCAACAAAGGGTAGACCCCACCATTGGTTTATGCAACAAAGGGAAGACCCCACCATGTGATATGCAACAAAGGGAAGACCCCACCATGTGATATCCAACAAAGGGTAGACCCCACCATGTGATATGCAACAGGGGTAGACCCCACCATGTGATATGCAACAGGGGTAGACACCACCATGTGATATCCAACAGGGGTAGACCCCACCATGTGATATTTAACAGGGGTAGACACCACCATGTGATATCCAACAGGGGTAGACCCCACCATGTGATATCCTACAGGGGAAGACACCACCATGTGATATTTAACAGGGGTAGACACCACCATGTGATATCCAACAGGGGTAGACCCCACTATGTGATATCCTATAGGGGAAGACATCACCATGTGATATTTAACAGGGGTAGACACCACCATGTGATATCCAACAGGGGAAGACACCACCATGTAATATCCAATAGGGGTAGACCCCACCATGTGATATGCAACAGGGGAAGACCCCACCATGTGATATCCTACAGGGAAAGACACCACCATGTGATATCCAACAAAGGGTAGACCCCACCATGTGATATCCAACAAAGGGTAGACCCCACCATGTGATATGCAACAAAGGGTAGACCCCACCATGTGATATGCAACAAAGGGTAGACCCCACCATGTGATATGCAACAAAGGGTAGACACCACCATGTGATATCCTACAGGGGAAGACACCACCATGTGATATCCAACAGGGGTAGACACCACCATGTGATATCCAACAGGGGTAGACCCCACCATGTGATATCCTACAGGGGAAGACACCACCATGTGATATTTAACAGGGGTAGACACCACCATGTGATAACCAACAGGGGAAGACACCACCATGTGATTTCCAACAGGGGTAGACCCCACCATGTGATATCCAACAGGGGTAGACCCCACCATGTGATATCCAACAGGGGTAGACCCCACCATATGATATCCAACAGGGGTAGACACCACCATGTGATATCCTACAAGGGAAGACACCACCATGTGATTTCCAACTGATCCACCATACACTTAGCCTTTATGGCAGCCCATAAATAACAGGACCAAGGCCAGGCAAACCAGTGGTTGACTGAGTGTGTAACAATCAAAGGCAAAGCCATCAGAGCTTAACATGCTTAATAAATGAATGACAAAGATATAAGCACCCAGATCTCTAAAGTTGTCCTCCTGACATGAGGTTACATGTGGTGTCTCAGTAGACTTTACCTGCTGCTGCTGCAGCCTCGAGTCTCTCCTGCTGTGCTGCAATATCTGCACGAGTCAACTTGGCAGCGGCGACAGGCTTGGCACTCTTCAGCTTGCTCATCTCCTCATCATGAAGCTGCTGCAGCTCCTTCTTCTTCTCCACCTGATCCAAGCGCCTCTTCTCCTTGTCCTCCTGAACAAACAGTGAGTGAGTTGGCTCATAAGTCACATTAAGAGATCAACCAGCTAAATCATGGTGGTGACGCCAGGAAGTATCTTCACACACTGTGACAATATCACATAAGTCATCTATGTGATGTGTGAATGCTTTACCCACAACACTACCACACCACCAAACACATGTCCATGATAGAATGTAGCCTATGCATAATAAATATGTATTCTACCATGAAAATACTTGATTTTGATTGGACAATCAGAGGTTTCAAATCACAATAAACCCCCTCTGATTGAAACAGCCAATCTGACAGCCACATCACCGGGGAAACTAATATTTTTAGAATAGTACTTCTTTTACAATCATTGTTGGTAGAAATATTTAAATAATTATATGTATGACTATAGGCTACAAAATGCAAAGTTGCTGTTACTACAAAATTCAAAGGATGTGTGACAATACATATCATGCAGAAAACATAATATAAAAGAATATATTTCAAGTTTTGAAGACAACAGAGAGCTTGCTATTTGGTGCTTTCTATATACGAGTGTAACGTCATATCTTTTGCGTCACAATGAATTATATGATGGCATAATAGTGACGTGCGGTGTGGAACGAAACATTTGCTTAGTTTTCTTTAGGGGTGCCCACCTCACGCTAGCTTACGAAATTGGCGTGCTACATGCTGTCAGTGCCTGCCATAAGTTTGAATGAAGTAATTACCCTGTTAAGAAACAGCTTGAGCATATGCCACTTCACTCAATATATTTGCTAACACCAAAGAGTTCGCTTATTATTTAGTCATTGTAGAATGGAGAGAAACATACTGTGTTTTCAATGTCGCGGTAGGTTACCTGTACATTTAACTATGCTAAATTTATCTTTTGAAACCTCAAGCTGTGCGTTCAGGTCCAAATTCATTTGATTAATTTCTACCATGACAAGATTAAAAAAACAACGACTGATGTAGCACTGGCTGAGAATTGATGTTTTGTAGACAGTGACTGAAGACTGATAGTAATAGGAGTTCCAAAGCCACCAGTTATCACCCAGAAGGGAACCCTTTCACTAGATATATATTGAAACTATGGATATTCATTGGTATAGTTTGTGGAGCATGAGTACAGTTCCCTTAAGACGAAAGATGGCTTCATCTCCATAATCTGGTGGCTGTGTTAATGCTCTCTACACAAAATTCTTTTATCTTAAAACTGCCTAGAGAACATGATATGCATTATGTGAAGGGGTCTCATGCTTCTATTTCATCAGATTAAACATGTTAACAAGGTAGATTATCAGATCTGAGTTTGCAGGAGACCAAAGTATATCGACAATCAAACTGTAACTGGTGGAATGGAGACTGTATTTTCAGTAAATGTTTACTGTTGTATATAGCTTACATGTTTCAAGTTTATAAGGATGTTCAACTTGTTCTTACTTTCCGTTGCTGCTTCCTCGTAGCATGCTTGTCATCATCTCTCCAAAGCTCATCTTCAGCTTCTTTTTGTTTCTTTTCTTGTTCAGCATATTTCTGGGCATCTCTTCGTACCCTTGCTTCCACTGCTTTAGAGTTTTCTCCTTTGAATTTCTTAGGCATTTTTCAAAAATCACTGTGTCCAGTACTTTGATATATCTGCAGAATACACAAAATACAAGACCAGTGAAGATCGGGATCAAATAGGTCTTCAGCAAACCCATGCTTGTCGTTAAAATCTGACTTGCTTGATGCATATCAGTCTAGCCATGGAATGATGAGTTTTGCTTTTTGTGTATGGTTTGTTTCTCCTCATAACAAGTGTATAGATTGATGCTCATGATGTCAATCACTGGATTGTCTGGTCAAGACTGTCATCATATTGCTGGAATATTGCTAAGTGCAGCGTTAAACAACAAATAAACAAATAAAACCAAAATACAAAGGTAAACAAATGGAAAGGAGAATGACACAACTTGGGTCAAATACCAGATCTGTGGGTATTCTGGGATAGAGTGAGTGAGTGAGTGAGATGGGTTTAACGATGCTGTGAACAGTATTCAAGGAACGGAACGCCAAAAGTGATGTAGGTCCCAGACATTTTACCACTTTGGTGAAACCCATAAGCAATGGTATGGTGCTGACAAACCTGGAAACATACTCGGGGCAAACCAGGATTTGATCCACAATCATAGGTTTCTGGTGTGCCCTATAGGGACACAACTCTGTACAGTGAATTGAAGCGTCTAGACAACTGGGCCACCCATGCCCTCACTTGTCACAAGATATGTAAGAGTCAACTCAGCAATGATCAGGTGGTTAGACATGGTGAATATCAATCCTTGGTTTGTCTGGTCCAGACTTAATTTCACCATGTTTATGCCTTTTGTGGTACATTGTAGAAGATCAGCATCAGGGATTTATGCAATGCACGAATGTGCCTCCAGTATACTCGGACCCCATGGTACCGCGGCATTTGTGATTTCCGATAGTTCACGAGGGACACGCCTCTTAGCGGCTGTCTATTAATGCAAATCAGTAACCAGGAAGTGCTCACTTCGTAAACAATTTCAATTTCCTCGGAATGTTCCGTCTGCTGTAAGTAAGAAGTTATTAATCCGTTGATACATATTTCTGGCATCTGTTGTAATATTGCCTTACCCCCATCTATCAATGGCCAACGATATAACCCGCAGTTCCCCACGTAAACTTTCTCTATCGACCTGAACTAGATCATCTGCATATTCATGGCGACTAATGAGGTAACGGAAGTTACGTAGTCCGCACATTTTTTCCCGCTCTGTGCCCAGAATCTATTGGGAGATCATAAGGGCCATAATGCCAAACTTAGAAATACGTTCTTCACTAGTAATTAACCAAAAGATAAATACATACTTTGGGCATACTAGGAGTGCTTTTTATATATTTATTGTTGACTTTTAACATTTTTCCAATTTGTGACAAATTATTGTCATCCAATATTTTTTAAACAATCTTAAAATATCATTTCTGATATTTTGATGTTGACTTATAAAAATATTTTTCTCTTACTTTTCGGTAAATATGCATTGAATACCTATTGCTGATAACACATTTAGAATTTTACTTGTGCTGTCTTTGCACTTGTCTGGACAAATCACTGATGTCCTGCATGATCATACCAAGTGGTTGGTAGAATTATGTCCACTTTTTGTCCAATTCGGACCTCCATACACAACTTTTCTCTGTACCGCGATACGATGGAGTTCTCTCCCTTGTCAAACTGAGCGGGAGGCCCGGCTTTTACTCGGAGCTACTAATGTAAATAATGAATTTTTATCAGTAAAATATGCATTGTTAGATCAAATAAATGACATCTGATAGAGAGAACACAAATAATCATAATGGTTAGTGAGTGCATTTTGTTCCGTTTAGCGTACATGACAAGTACCGCGATACCCCGAGGTTGCAGGCTACACACAAATGTTGATAATGGACGCAGAAAAGAACATACTGCATCCTGAAGGATACACAATAATATTCATTTTACTTAAAGCGCATCAAGAGCAGTTATGGACATCTTTCATTTCATCCATCAGTCATGACCACTGTCCATATGATCATTTAATCATTCCAGGCTCTAAAGTAATTATTAAACCATAGATTACACTACACCATTTCATTACTTTAAAGGACCCTCATATTTCCTGCAGTGACCCTTAAATTATTTGAGTTCCCCATGATGCCACGTTTGTAAGTCAAGATAAAACCCTGAGCATAATAATTACGACAACGGTCATAAACACGGCCTAGTCAAAACTTAATTATTTACAAGCCGTCCATCATAAATGATGCAGAGTTCAGCAAAACAACAAACAATTCCAAACCTCGAACAGCTGCTAAAAAGCACAGAAATATAGGCTTAGAAGTAGGGCACTGACGAGGGCACTGGTGACTTTAGTAAGTCAAGAAGTCTGATTTTAAACTTTCTAAAACAAGCAGTTTAAATATCTAACATAATTATTGGTAGTATTTATACATACTATAGTCTGCGTCAAAATTCTCATAGCAAGTTTACACCACTCTCATCTGCTGCTGGTTAAACAACATGTCTGTTGCACACATTACCTGTAAACTTTACCTTTGAACTAACAAAATGGTTAAACAGATAGGTTATGACCATCTGTTGAGTCTTACACGCAGAAAAAGAGGTCGACTTCAATATTTCTTACAACTTTGCAATATTTACATGTGAAAAGGAAGTGTCACCACATCAATGTGCAAATTCTGAAATACGATCCCAAACTTCAAACGTGTCTGGACGCGAGTGGATGTAGATGGTGTAATTGCTTTTGTCAAACAAATGAATTTATTTAGCCCCATGAGCAGCACGATTTCGCTAATTAATATTTGATAACACCTAATTTTTGTTCTTTGAGTGAAAAAATATATTGGGTTTTCGGCTCCGAGTTTACAATGTACGATACCAATTTTAAAACAACCCAGTTGGTAGCTCCTTGCAGCGTATTTGAGTAATGCGGGCAGCATTCATTTACAAAACTTGTGGTCTGTCTATATGTTTACATACAGCGTAGATTGTGCATCGCATCAGATACAAAGTACTTGTTTACACGACATGGCTGACAAAGTTTCCTCACATGGGGATAACACAGATGAAAGTGAATTGTTAAGTGTCCAAAAGAAAATAAGTGAAACCCATCTTCAGGCAGACGCATCTGCCAACCAGGACGAAAAGGACGAACGCAAAATAACTCAAACAGATCACTTGAACAAGAAATTGCTGGGTGCATTTCTGTCTCGTCTGAACACCGGCGATAACTCTGTTGCATTTGGTGCCAATAAACCGGAGGGAGGCGAAAATAAGGAAGACCATTTTGACGAGTCTAACTAATCACTATGGCAAGAAACTATTTTCTAATTGGCATATCGGGGTAAGCTGAAGTAAATAAGTAATTAGATTATTCAAAGTCACGATCACTTGAGGTCGGTGGTACAGGCCACAGGCCCTGAAGCAGGATAGTAATATTACTGGAACACTGTACCCATATATATATATATACTATATATAAATAGACAAGGTACATCACTCGCCATCTTGGCCGATGTAGAAATCAGCTGTATCGTTTAAATTAAATGGAAATGTATGCATGTCGTGTTCACAAAACTTCCCCACCTCTCTCAACATACTCACTGAATGCCTCATTTTTTTTCAAATTTATTACCTATATCGGGTGGTTTCATCAAAATATTGGCTCAGTCGTGGCTGTCGGTCACGAAAGTAAACAAAAAATCTCTGCGCTCAATTTTGTCGAGTGCTGTGATTGGTCTAGGCTCCAACCAAAACAAACCCACACGGTGATATTTACCAATCAGAGTGCTCAACCACGATACCATGTGGGATAGGGCATTGATGTTCTGAAGCATTGTTTGTAAACAATAGCTGATAACCCCCCAGCATAGCTCTTCTCACCTCAGTCCACGAGAATTTCTGCTCCAGTGACCACACCGCGGGTGTAGGCTTATCACGTGACTGGACTTTTCTGAAACAATAATGCAAGCCTTTCACTATGCTTTACATATCGTTTACATATAATTAAGACATACTACTAGAAATGCAACATTGAGGTGCTTGACCATATAGCTTTACACATCAAAGTGACCGTATTACTAGCTCTCCGTAGGGCTTTGATGACATCACATGGAGTATGAGTACGGATATTTTCTCAATGTAAGTTAAGACGGGTTCTGCTTCTTTTGTCACGCTGCATAGTTTCAACAATCAAGCCCCTGCCCAGCCAGCCCACTTCTGCCTCAGGTTTTTTATTATATTACAGGCCTTTTCTGTCTGATCATCTGTTTGATTTAAGTGTCCACAACTGATCCCAAGAATTAGTAACAACATAGAATATGTCATCAGTTGTCTCCTCAGGGGAATCCCTGAATGTTTGTGATGTAATCTCAAATGTCAGAGGGCAGCAAGTGGTTTATGGTACCCAATAAGTTCAGAAGGGATTTCAGACTGGCAAGACACTGGACTAAATGCAAAGTATACAAAGAGAGCCAGTTTCTTAGTCACTCAGATTTGAGTAAATTGGATCTTGATATTTTCAGTACAACAAACAGTGGAAAAACGACTGCTGTGAAGAAACTATGTGCGACTTTTCCTGGTGCTACAGCGATGGGTCAAGACTTCTACTTCCTGGTGGGTTCATATTGAAGACAGACCACAACATCTGTAAAATTAAAGACTGTTTAGGCTGCATAAAAAAAGTTTCTTAGGTCACATTTGTCTCAAAAGTAGGTAGGATGTATTGGTTTTTTTACTATTGATAACAAAAGTGATGAGGGAGGAACATTTTATATTTTTCCCCAGTAAGAATACTAGCAAACACAACTAGGCACACACTGAACTCATCTCTTTAGAATGATGATATTTCAAGCATGGATAACAGTCTTCTTCATATGACATATGAAATTTGAAAAAATATTTTGTAATTGTCATTAAAAATGATGGATTTGCAGAATTTAGTGTGATGCACCAATGCCTGAGAGTTGTTGCCTGTGAACTTATGCAATGATCCCAGAGTACACTTATGTCCTGGGACTATCTCTGTGATCTAGTTGTAGAGTGTCCGCCTGGAAAGCGGCCGTGTCATACCAAAAGACGTTAAAAGATGGTACTTATTGTTACCATGCCTAGCGCTTGGCATAAATGGGCTAAAACAATTACTGGTCGGTTTGGAGTCTCTACACTGTGTCTGAGTGTTAAACTGTGGCATGGTATCTCAGTGGATTAGCACTATAAAATCGGCATTAGTCCAGACTAGTACATGCACGCACACATACACGCATGCATGTTGCTATATAAGTGCAATAATCTTGGACGCGACGTTCATCCCCATTTCACCTCACCTCCCTTTATCCTGTTAAACCTACTGTTGACAGTATTCTTGAAATGTGTGTGATGAATTATTTACACAAATGGTATTTTGGCTTTATGTGGTAGATAACTTGTGACAATTTGAGAAAATGTCTGGAATCACCTTGCACTGCATGCCGTCTTTTTGGTGGCAATGCTTTTAAATCCTGACAATGTACTGTCGTGCATCCTCTGTCTAAGTTACGCTAACACTTTGTTGTGAATGTTTTCTAGGATCCCTGTGATGAAAGGCTGGAGATGGTACCACAACGAGATCATGCCAACTGGGAAAGTAAGTTCATCATGTTGTCAATTTTTGTACAAGTTGTAGTTCTCGGTTCCCCAGTTTGTTACACTGTAGTATGTTCCATATTGTCTTGTGTATGCATGTTAAACGCTTTTTAAGAAGAAAACGCAGCTATGCAGACATGACAGAGAGGGATGCATAGTATACACATAGGGCTTAAAAAAATGATAGAATTGAATCTCAGGCAATGGCTTTTGAAATTATCGCATGGGCGGGCAGTGGTTTGTTGGCTTTTTTTATTCATGCTAGTATGTAACCAAAGTTTGTTTACAATAAATTTCGTGGAAATCATGTTGTTGTTAAGTATTGTAGCATTTTACTGACAGGGTCGTGTGTTTAAAGACTTTTATTTTTTAAAAATGGAAATAAAAACGAAACACGTTGCAGACCTTATGATGATGCGGGCAGTGCCTGAGAACCAAGACTGTTTTGTTTTTTTAGACTAGACAAATGAATTCAATGTTAGATTTTTTCCAAAGCAAATCCTTTCCTATGACTGTCCTAAGACCAATCCAAACACTCAAAAATGTTGATGATAACTCCAGGAATGTTTGCTGCAATTGAGTGAAATTTGATACGCAACAAACATTGGGTGGCGGATTAAAGTGGAAAGGTTTTGAGTGAATGTCAAGGTCACACAGAAATTGTCACTGAATAGAAAGCCTTCTTGGTGACCTGAACGCCCTGTGTGTATGACATGTTAGTTTGCCAAACTATAAATCATGTCATTAGACTGGAAATGATGTCAGTAAAGCAAAATTGCATTTAAGGTTCTTGATTAGGTTAGCTGAAGGCGACCTGGTTACAGTTGGTCTTCAGCCATCCATGTTAGTCATAAGAGGCAACTAACAGGTTTCGGTGGTCAGGTTCACTGACTTTGTTCATGCATGTCATCATATCCCAGTTGTGTAGATCGATGCTCATATATAGGTGGATGCTATATAAATGCTCATATAGATGTCAAATAGCTAGAATATTTCAGAGGATGGCATTAAACAACAAATAAACAAAGTTATCTAAGCAACACATCTGGTTTGACGCTGCAGTAGGCATGTATTTCACCAAACTGATATGGAATAATTTCTGGGTCTTCTAGAAATGGTAACGGGCTTCTTCTGTTTTTCTGTTTGTTTTACTAGTGATAAATTTATGATGCGGCATGGTGGCTGGTATATGAAAGACTGACCCATAACAACATCAACAAGACATCATGTCATTCATATACATGTACCTTACACCTAACTGATTGATAAACACACTGTTACAGAGCTATCAGCGTTGGACATGAAGTCAATGGTGAATCATGTTCACAAGTGGATACAGAACCAACAGACCAAGGGAAGCAACTCAACAAGTTTTCTCTTCATTGAGGGGATCCTTATTTTCAACTACGGGTAGGTTGGGGAGCCAATATCTGTGACACATTTTGGTGGGGATGGAAAAGATACCTATTACCCTGAGTAAGATTTTGTGATGTTGGATGCTTGGTCTTCAGGTACCCCTGCTTGTTGTAAGAGGTGACTAACGGGATAGAGTCGTCAGACTTAGTTGACACATGGTATCGTATCATAATAGCGTAGATCGATGCTCTTGATGTCATTGATTGTCTGACCAAGACTCGATTATTTACAGACTGCCATCATATAGCTGAAATATTGCTGAGTGCAGAGTTAACCAACCAACAAACAAATAAAAAGAAAGAGGTGTTGAACTATACTCTCAATGTGTGTTCAGCAATTATTCAGGGTCTTATGTTTAGCTTATTGAAAATGAGCAATACTTTGCTGCCAATTTGTTTTTCACTGAAATATTCAAGATTTTATTCAACCCACCCACCCACTCACTCACTCACTCACTCACTGATATCTAGTTGACTATTTTGTTACAGTCCACTGGCAAGGTTATTCGACAAGAAGTATTTCATCACCATTGACAAGCAGACGTGTAAAGATCGACGGAGGTGATACTTTGTTTCTACTTTTCATTTCGTCCACTAATGCCTGGTGTCAATCAACAACGTTTCAATGGTAGACTTTGTATGTACATCATATATCAATTCAGGAACTGTATCACTATTTATAATTACCATTCACGAGGTGGGAGGAAGAATTGTGAGTCGTTTTGTCTATGAATCATTCTGTCCACCACATTTTATTTCCAGAGTATAGTTGAAGGACTGTTCAATATGTCTTGATCAAACTGTATACAGATATATGTACATATCAGTCTAGCCATATCTGATGAGTTTTGCTTTTTGTGTACAATTTGTTTTTCCTCATCAAGTGGTCACTCAGCAGAACATGTCAGAACAGAATTTTTTGGCAGGGGATACGAGTAAATGCTTGTTTGGGGGGTTGTGGAAATATAATTTAGAGTTTAAAAAATAGGTAACATTACTGTCAGACACTTCTAAGTGAGTCCTGTGAAGATCTGGGTTTGAATTAGTCTTCAGAAACCCATGAATGTCATAAGACACAACCAGTGGAATTGGGTGGTCAGGATTGCTGACTTGGTTCATGCATGTCATCTATCTCAATTGTATAGATCCATTCTAATGTCAACCACTGGATTGTTTGGCCCAGATTAGATTATTTATAGACTGCCATCATAAAGCTGGAATATTGCTTAGTGCGGCATTAAACAACAAACAGATGAAATAAAAGTGGTGTTGAATTATGCTCTCAAACAACTTCCCAAGGCAAGAACGTCCACTAGCCCTTTTATCAAAGTCTTGTTTCCACCCTTGCCACATCAAGTCCACTTTCCTGTGCTAAGTATGATTGGACTATCGCACATATCGATAGTCCAATCAGAGAACGTTTCACAAAATCTTCGTACTGGTTCACACCTTCGTATGAAAGTGATTTACTGCTGCCTGTCTCTGTTGACACGGATTTTTTATCATCTTTTAAAAAAACCCAATGATTGCCTATGTTTTATGTCAGGGATGAATCTGATTGGATGTCGCGTTTTCATTACAAGGGGCACAACTCGTGATCATCATGAGGTGGCACGAGGTCAAGCCAAGAAAAGCGGCCTTGATGTGTCAAGGGTAGAAACTAGGCTTTGATATAGGCTCGTGTACACACTTGCCTTGGGAAGATGGCTCTCAACATGCTTAATGTGTGTTGATCATATATTCAGGGTCTCATTTTTACCAAAAAATTATTCAAGATTTTATTCAATTTCATCTTTAAATACAGTTGAAATACATGGGTACAATGTGTGAAGCTCATATAGCTGGAATTTTGCTGAGTGCAGCATTAAACAACAGACTTTGAAATGAAAAGTTCTGTTTTGAACTGGTACTATTCCTAAATTCACTTGAATGGAAGTAATGACGGCATTTAAAAAACAGAAGGAATCTTATGGTGTTGACTTATCATGGAGAAATAAATCTGCAGGGTGCACCATAATATCCCATGTGCTCACAAGCTTCAGGACTAGTTTTGTTTAGTATGATCAGATATACAACATATGTATTTACAAATAATTTATATTGTTATTTTATTAACATCTCCATTAGGCGGAGGTATATCGATGACACTGTTTTCTTGTTGCCTTGTTTTCATGATACTAATATGTTGATGTGTTGTTCCCCAGTGAGAGAGTCTACATACCTGCAGATCCCCCGTGGTATTTTGAGGAGGTGGTGTGGCCAATGTATAACCTGAACCTACAGGAACTGAGAGAACAGAACGACATATGTAGGTTTCTCCTCTGAAGTCTGAATTATGTCGACACTTACATTATCAAAGGAAGAACATGGTGTATACTTGACCTGTACAAGTGTAACGCTTGTCAGCATTTGATAGTTTATAGATCAGAAACTTCTTTTAAGTGGCAATATCATTCATTAATGATCAGTAAAAGGTCAGGGATTTTTAGAATATTTAATTTGTTAATTATTAATTAGTGACCATTTTTGTGGCAGTCTTTACGAAGATCTTTGAGACTTTTTTCTGATTTTTTTATGTTGCCATGCTTTTATATAAAAGGTTTTGGGTTATATTCTATTGTTTATATTGTAAGTTGAACAGTTGAGGAAAAAGGTGTTGCAATAGATATGGTTACCTAATGTTTTTTTGTTTAATGGGCGTTCTAGTGTTCCATGTAACAGGGTCCTTGCGTCTTAGATTTATATTTTTGTCTCTCTGAAAACTTTCGGCTGAGGATGGCATTAGGCCATAATATAATTGTTATAAGGGTTTCGTCCCCAACCGCCTCACGTCATTTTATTGTTCCCAAGTACATTCAGACAAAGAAAACCACCACTTGTGTTGCCTTCTTTCTTGACTTGAAACAGATAAGATACATCGTCCTACCAAGTATTCATGTCAATCACATCTGTTGACAGTTAATTTATGCAGATGACTTGACAGGAAAATTTGAGGAAAAAACACATTTCAAATATATTTAGATGAAAATCTAATAATTAATTGATTAATTAATTGATAACGGGAGGGCCACATTTCAGAAATGGCTATTGCCGGTAGAGCCACATTTTCAGCTGAGTGCATTTCACCTATTCTAGCGGGTAATTAATTAATCTGATTACCGATACCTTTATATGAGTGTCCCACATTTAAATTACTAAGCGTGGTGTTCTTTAGAGATACCTTTAAATGAGTGTCCCACATTTAAATTACTAAGTGTGGTGTTCTTTAGAGATCAAAGGCAGTCTTAATTGACATTGAGTTCATCCTGCTATTCATAACATATTTAAGTGACGTCGTGTTCACTCCATATCAGAACCATGGCAAACGCACAAGTTCAAATAAAGTTCATTGAAAGTGTCAGAGGAGGCGTACATTTGTACTATGATGGCTTTAAGTTTTGGTCTAAGAGCAGTCTGAGTTGCTCCACGCCATTGAGATCATGGGTCACTCCCACGACCCACTACCATTCGAGTTTGAGGTTGATGCCTTTAAGGCTAGACTGATGGAGAGAGCGAGGACAGAAGCGACACCTATACCCACTATCTACGGAGAGGAGATATCCAGACTACGCCAACATCACGACATCATCTCAGATGACCTCCTGAAGCAGATACCAGCCCTGAAGTCTCTCACCCCTATCCTCTACCGCCAGAGACACAAGACCTTGCCCCGCCTTCCTGACAGCAGACCCCAGATCCAGCTGGAGGAGAAGTACTCCCAGACTGAGGGAGGCGACCAGTTCCTACACCGTGTTAGTGACGACATCCTCATCTTCACTACAGACAAGAACATTGTATCATGTATCTGGAGGAGGGGGCAGAAAGAAGGTCTAGTGATGGACTATAAGGAAGATGGGGAGGTGAAGAAACTGGCGAGAAGAGCTGCTGCCCTCCCTCTAGTACCTCGTGACAAAGTGGATGATGTGTGACTTGATGCCATTGCTGACTCACCCACCTCACCTAAAGTGACTGCCTTCATGGACTACGTGACAACCAGTTGGGTTCAAGGATGTTCCTTCATGCCAGAGATTTGGAACCATTTCGAACACCAAGGCCACCATACCAACAATCACCTGGAAGGGTGGCACAACAAGATAAAGAAACTTGCCAAGAAGTGCCACCCGAACATCTACGAGGTAGTGAAGCTATTTCAGCGAGAGCAGTCACTCAAAGAGGTTGCAGTCCTGAGACTCTCTCACCAGTGGTCAGAACCTTCATGAAGAAAGAAGTACAAGGCAATCGATGCACGTATTGCGTCCCTCAAGATCCAGCTCCTGAACCAACACCTGAGTGAGATGGAATATGCTGACCACGTGGGCGACCTCCTTCATCTGCAGTAATGACATTAAATCCATTATGATATTCATATGCTATTCATATACATCAATGTAAAGTTTTGATGAATATGTTATCCTTGTTGAATAAAAAATGAGAAAACAAGACTTGTTTTGTTATATACGGTAACCTGTTAGAATCACAAAGCATGTTTTGACAGCATAGCCGCGAGAGCCACATTATACAATCACGCAACCATAACCATTGCCGCGAGAGCCACATCAATTTGGGCTATCTATTTTCGAAATGTGGCTTTGCCGGCCTGTAACCGTTCTTTTGGTCCCGGTCCTTTGCTGTATATTTTATCATGTAAAGTTGATGGGTATAACGCTCATAACAAAATAACGGACATAGTGAACTCACCTTGTGGTCCCGGGTGTATACTCTGTCAATGATAATGTTGAAGTGTATAAGGAACTGTTAATCCCTGAGCTGAACTCCTCATGTGTCACCAGTCTACCTATCAAAACAACCGCGGCCAAGCACTGCTTTTCAAAGCGTCAATAAACAATTGAAGGCAATTGATTTACTCTTAAAGTACTGACACCTTGCCCTCAAATTACACCCTCAATTAACAATAGTAACACAGTGATTGAAGTGGATATATTCTGTACATGTACACTGCACACTTTTGTTATACCCCCGACAAAATGTTGGGGGTATATAGTTATACCAATGTTCCATCCGTCCGTATTCGAAAACTTTATCCGCGCGATTTGTCTTAAACTATTCAGTGGATTCATCTCAAACTTAGTACATATAATCTGTGGCATATGAAGGGGTGCAGTCAAACGAAAAAATTTTTTTTAATAATTTTCCATTTTTTTAATGAATTTTTCAAACCCTAACGTCTGTCCGAAAACTTTGTCCGCGTGATTTCTCTTAAACTATTCAGTGGATTCCTCTCAAACTTAGTACATATAATCTGTGTCATATGGAGGGGTGCAGTCAAAAGAAAAAATTTGTTTTGATTAATTTTCCATTTTTTTAATGAATTTTTCAAACCCTAACCCTATCCTTGCTATTTAATTTGAAACTACTGACACTCTAGGCGGGTCGGGGGTATTAGTGAGCCACGCTCACATTTTTTCTTGTTATTTATCGAGTAACAGGATGCCACTGACTTGATAAAAGATGTCTGACGGTCGAATAGCGCATAACGAAAGATGGATATAACAAATTAAACTTAGTGGTCCCTTTGAGTTTGTTTTAACCATAGTTTACTGTACATCATAATGAATATTTGTTTCACGTCAGATACCCTTAAGTTTTTAGGTTTTGATAATTTCACATAGCATCAAAGTTTTAAAGATTTGTTTTTCTTTTTGCAGGTTTTTTGAACGGAGCACAGGACCATGAAAAACTTGTAAACACAATACAGGAAGATATCAACGTGTTCCTAAACAAATCCCAAAGCTGATGTAGACAGCTATGTGATAAGCTTAGGGTCTTGGAAGAAGACTATAACATCTTTGTGTATTTTATGCAAGACAGAGAAGAAGAATTGTATTTACATGGATTTTAGTTTCAGAGGAATATAACCATGTCTCAGGTATTTGTTCTACATTGAGTATATTTGTCAGTAGGCTTGACTTCTGTATCTACCATTCCACTGATAACAAACTTTGCTGACTAATCCGGAAAGAGGGGAAAAAATTCCTTTAACCTCCAAGAAGAACAAGATGCAATGTGATATTAATTATAGGTGTGGTTAAGTCTCATGTAAATGCAATAGACATGTTAGAAGCAACTGTATCTTTATTCATACTTGTCTAGGACTCGGAAATTCGCTAAGCGTTGTTGGTATAAAAAGTACCTCACTTGCTAACTCTATTCCTATTTTATGCTCGTTCTATAGACCCAACTTGGTAAGTGGCAGATGTCAAGTCATCCTGATTCATAGATGTATTATCAAAAGATAAGACGTTGGGTATATCAAGATTGGTTCCTGAACCCATCTATGTTTTAGTGGGAAATTTGACCAATATCGGCGTTGGTTTATATTTTTTAAACATTTACTCATTTATCACAAAAGTTTTCAGTATGTTGACTATATGCCACTAATTCAGGTGTCAGTATGTAACTATTCTATCAATTGTAACATGTATTTTTTGGTTGAAAAATGTGTTGCACCTTTTAGAGGGATGAAATATGTGTAAGCGTAAATTCCTGTTCACACAACACTGCTGCACTGGACATGTACTAAGCGTAATATGTTTATGATTCACGGTCATGATATGTACAAACATGTGATTTTCAAGTTTTCCTGTTGAAATTCAAAATCTCTTCCAACCTTGTCCAATACATTTTCCAGGGTTAAGGGAGTTACCTGTCCTGGAAGGTGTGTGCGATAATGCTTTTTACTGATATTCATGTCATGATATTAGTGAAACCAAGACCAACTGTATGTTATATTTCAAATTCATATCACCATCGTCATTTGACGGGGGAAAGGGAGAGAGGGTAGTAATGTTTCTGTTGTTCGAGGGACTATGCTCTGTCGTGTTGGGCCTACTTATAGGCTGTATTCTGTAATTAGGTTTTAATTACTAATGTATTTGTGGCTTGTTACTTTGTTACACAACAACATTAACTGAGGACACATATTATAGTATGTGGGTTTGCAATATTAACAGAACAAAATGTATCTGTACAAACAACCTACATTCCTAACACATGGTTCTTAGACCTATGAAGATCCGGGGTAGAATAGGTCTTCAGCAACCCATGCTTGCCGTAAGAGGCGACTATGCTTGCTATAAGAGGCGACTATGCTTGCTATAAGAGGCGACTACGCTTGTCGTAAGAGGCAACTAACGGGATCGGGTGGTCAGGCTCGCTGACTTGGTTGATGCATGTCATCGTATCTCATTTGTGTGGATCGATGCTCATGATGTAAATCACTGGATTGTTTGGGCCAGACTTGATTATTTACAGACCGCCGTCATATAGCTGGAATATTGCTGAGGCCGGCGTAAAACAACACACAAACTCTTTCAGTGTCAACAAAAACATTCTCCAGTCTTCATTAGGAATAAATTAGAAGTATCTAATATGTACATTTGATGATTATCCTTTTGATATAAATATATTAAAGAGAGAGGTGTAAACAGGGAATTCATTGTGTTAGAGCTTGAAAAGATGAGTTTTAAGAGCCAAGGTTATATCAATATGTTTGTTTGTTGTTTATGCCACACTCAGCAATTTGCCAGTTATAGGACGGCAGGCAGTCTGTAAATAATTGAGTCTGGATCAGACAATCTATTAATTGACATCATGAGCATCAATCCACGCAATTGGGATACAATATTAATCATCAACCAAGTCAGCGAGCCTGACCACCCGATCCTGTTAGTCGCCTCTTACGACAAGCATGTATTGTTGAAGAACTATTCTACCCCAGATCTTCAAGGGTCTGTATCAATATGTATCCTCTTAGACAAAATATATTGCAATGAACCAGTGTTCCTCTTGCAGGTACCCATCAGAATGGCTGTGTGTGTCACTGCGTGCATCAATGATTACATATCAGTTTATACTTGTCCTATTAATACACTTTGTGATACCACTGCATATTTGAATGTCGATTCTCAATAAAACCATACCATCATCCTACATTGTTGTTGATCATAATGTGTCCTGATGCATGCTGATGGCTTGCGGGGTGAGAGTATTATTAGTTGTAGCGGGTTCACAGGGGGTACATGGGGTTTTATGTGCCCCGCGTTAGGTTTTATACAGAGTCTGTGAGTAATGTTCAAAATGGTTGTCAGCATGAGCAATGAAGCACCCGGGTTGGGTTTGACGACCCCATCAGCTAGGCCTCCTGTAACAATCTGATCTTATTGGTCAGCCCATAGCAGGAGGTCTGGGAGTCCCCACAGGGAGGTTTTCAGGGTCTGTTCTGGTTGGGATGAGCATTTCCCCGATACTTTGACTGAGGTATTATAATTTGTTGTTACAAGATGAGTGGTCATGTCTTGTAAGTTTGAAATCGGATGGTTGAAATCATGACAGATGGATACTGAGATATGATTCCAGATAAGACATGTCTCACTACTGTCAACAGCATTTGAAATGTTGTGAAATAACACTCTGGTTTACAAGATATCCACAAAATAACAACATGAATCAGGATTGTTAAAAAAAGTTTATACAACAGCAAACATTTACAAATCTATCAAACGTACAAAACAATTACTTGCATTAAATAGTGCCTGAGAGAATCTCATTAAAATACGATTTTAGTTCTCACTGGCGGTAGCGAGAACAAAGATATGATTTAATGAGATTGTGACTGCAATGAAGTACACCCTAACTCAATCAACATTAAACTTACTCCTTCAATGTGCTCCTGCCTCATGTACTTCATGATACGCAAGTACCAACACATTGTTGCAGCAATAATCCAGGAGGCACAAATAAAGGGTTAAATTAAAAATTGTTTTCTGAAATGGACACCACGTGTTTGTACAACTCATAAAAAGGGTTACAATGAAACTTATCAGTTGAATTCTGAAAATGCAAAAATGAATATGAAATGTAAGTCCTTTATGGAGGCTTTTCATGAAAGTAATATACAGGGTACATTTTCCGCCACTCAACAAAAGTCAATTCATGCCAGAAGGAATATGAATATGATATAAGTAAATGTGTCATTTTCTGTTGTGATTATGGTCTAAGACAATCGTAAGAAACTCACACTGGCTGCCCAAACAGCTCGATGACTGATGATAGCATTGAGTTTTCTGGAGAAATGTACATTCTCAGCAAAATAAGAAATCATGTATTTTTAAAAAATATCCAATAAATCCTGTTCACAGACTTTTTCTTATCACTAAAATACCCTAACAACTACAGTAGTACCCTGAAATAATGCTTTTTACACGGATATTGGTGGGAATGTTAAATAGAGCTATGGGCAGTAACCATGGCAACTCAGGAACTGAATCTTTTGATCCGCTAAAAGAATGAATGAATAAATACTGCTTTACACCGCATCAGCAATATTACGGCTATTCACGGCCCTCCTACTGACAAGGTACATCAAGTCCATGAGTAGGAATAATAAATGTCAATTGTGATTCAGCTTTCAAAAGTGCTTCCAGCGTTTGAGTGGACAGAGGCCAGTAACCAATCCTGTCTCCCCTCCCGCTCAATGTCACACACATCAACATGCTGATAGGTCATAAAGGAACCGATTTCAGCCAATTGATTTTTAATTTACTTGGTTTTCAAATTCTTCCTTTAATAGTGGTATGGTCAGTGAACAAAACAAAAAGAAAATCTAAAAATAATCCGAGAAACAACTTTTTGTAAACAAACTTATTAAAACATTTCTGAGGGTATAACATTATTAGAAAACAAAAAATATCTTACTTTCTTATATTGACCTACCTAATGTACTCTAAACAGTACTTTCATCATTGTTTATCTTTTTCATCATAAAAAAACAAACACCCAAAGCAGCATTCAATATTTTTGTAGAAAGCTTTTTCAATCTCACAGAAAGATTTAACTTAACCTCTAGTGTGACCTTACCTCAATATTGAGTTGTGATTTTCACCAACCATATCTAATATTTTTTTCAACAAAAACCTCACCTCTTTCCACTGAACAATACATGGTAAGGGACAACTCAACAAGTTATTTATAGTTTCGGAATACTAGCTGGTGTAGGTCTTAAAGTTTCCTTCTTCATGCTAATGCAACATGGAGAATCAGTGAGCAGGTTGGGTTAAATGCTGCTGTGAACAGTATTTTACCTCCATCATAGCTTAATGTGGGAAGATAGCCCAAGGTGACACTGGTCTTCGATGTTTACCACTCTGGTGAAACGCCCAAACAGGTTCATGGTGCTGACAACCCAAGGACCATAACCTGGGAAAATCTGGAATTCCAACCCATGGTCAGCAGATCCTGGCACATGTAAGGGGTACGATTCTGCACATTAAAATCTGGTACCTTAGGCCACTGGGCACCCATGCCCTTGGGAGCATCAGAGCAATTTATTCACTCCAGAATCACATCAGGTACCAGACTGTTTTTGTTCTGTAGGTTTCCTGATTAACAATGAGCAAAAGTGTCATCACGGAAACAGCTGTTTCCCTGGAACTGTTCAACTATGAAAGACAGGCCATTATAGCATCCACATCAAAACGAAAGTTGAGCCATGTTTTTGAGTAAAGTTCTCCTTTTCCGAGGTCACGCTTCTTCTGTAGTTTCTCCGACTGAGTGGAACGTCCTGAAATGTTTGATGCATTGTCATTCCCAAGACCCAGAGATATGCTAAACCCTGTGGACGAGGATAGCTGCATGTACACAGATAAAGTCTTCCAATATACAGTATGAGACCCAGAGATATGCTAAACCCTATGGACGAGGATAGCTGCATGTACACAGATAAAGTCTTCCAATATACAGTATGAGGCCATCTTATTTCAGGGATAAATCTTTTATTTCAAATGAAAATATGTTGAGTTCTCTCATGCAGGGCTCGACGTAAGGAACTTGATCTAATCTTCACAAGGACAAATAACCTGCATCATAGCCATTGCTATTCCAATATACAGCATAAGGACATAAATATAAATATGTGGCTTAAAAAAAAGGAATGAGTTCTCAGGCGATGGTTTTTGAAAATATTGTGGTGGGCAGTGTTTTTTTTCTGTTTTTTTTTCTGGTTGTTCAAACTATTGTGTAACCAAATAAACAGCTGTGTACAATCAACCTGGGAAAGGGCCTCCATACATAAATGTATTCCTTGATGAGTAAAATACTATACAGTACTTTGTATTGTAACATTACACTGCCGAGGTTGTGTGTTCAAAACACAGAATATTTAAAGTATTTTTTTTTAAACGGAAACAAAAACAAAACATGCGGCTGACTTAATGATGATGTGGGCGGTGCCTGAGAACCAAGACTATTATATTTTTAGCCTAAATATAAGGGGATAAATCTTTTATTCCAAATGAAAATATGTTTAGAGTTATCTCATGTAATTTTTGTTGGCTTACTTTGGGTAATATGAAATGAGTCCCACCCAGACTAAGACAGTACTCGGCATGTTGAGTGTGCTTACCTTGTTGTTTGTCAAACTGAGTGGCAAGATTCCTCCTTGTCTGCCCCGTCACAGCACCATCACGAGCCTGGCAAACAGAACAGCACATTCTAGTCATAGACATTTGACACAGATGCTGAGGTATAAAATATAGTTAAAAAAACTCACACAACTTACAAAAATGTGCACTAATGATTATTTAAACTTAAAATCCAACAAGAAATAGTATTTGTAAGACAACACCTCAAAGCAGTCGATAACATGGAGCTTGGACACTCGGCAGCTAGCTACTGCTTGAAGCTCTGCACGCTAACGTCGAACCCATGCACTTCCCGTGCATCTGATGTCAAACCAATTCGACAGGCGAATAGCATAACAACACCCCAAAATAAAACTCGCCATATCTATTTACCAAGAAGGCTAAATGAGCTTGCTCAATATTAAAACTTTCAGTGGTTTATTTACTTCAAAAAGAAAATATCACAAGTTAAAAAAGTTTCGGCCAAACTTCTCGGCACACAACTACCAGAAACGGCCATTGTTGACTTTTGGCACTTCACGTTAAGCGTCATGCAGTCCGACATTTTCTTTACAATTTTATCATTTTTCTAAAAATTAGCAACTTTCGGTGTAACTAATTGTAAACAAAAACACTCTGAATCATAACATCATCAATTGTATGGAACTTGCACGATCATGGCAACGGCGGTAAACAAACAACTCCATATGCATCGTGATCCCGTAGTACTATTATAACCATTCAGTTACATTCAGAAACTTAAGTTTCTATAATTAGTAACATGGATGTATATATCTTTGTACAAAAAATCTCATTTTTATCGAGTTTGCAAATTATTTCGTTTGATAAACTTTCTGACATTGACCTGTTGTTGACATGCCGACCAACGTAAGAAATATGTTTTGGGCGTGGCCTAACTCGCGATTTGTGGTGGGTGGTGGTGAGGGAATGCGGAGCGGAGGGGATCAGACAGTGTTGGAGTATAGATACTTTCTCATCATAGAGCCTCACCAGAATCTGGTACTGCTGTTTGTTCTGTTGGTGTGGAGACTGCATCACCTGCTGACGCTGCTGGCTTCCTGTCGCCTTGACAACATTGCCACGCCCTTTCCCCGGGGACTCTGCTCGATGCTTATTTTCCTTCACAGCCTGCTTGGCAGACTCCTTCAGCTGGATGTACTCCTGGTAGTCACTCTGAAGCTGCTGACCAAATACCAACGTCTGCCGCTGCTTCTGCCGCGTCCCAGACTGTCTCCCCTCACTGGCTTCACGATTCTTGGATGCCTTTTGCTGGTTGGTTGTATTCTTGAACTCTCCATCCGACTGAGACTGAGTTTGAGACTCTGAATTGAAGCCTAACCATTTGCGTAGCTGTCTGAAGTGAAAATAAACTACATAGAGAAGCAGACCTTTCACAGAGGGTTTCAAACTTGTGTGAGGATGTGCTGGTTGGTTGGTTTCTCTTAAAGATATCATCTTATATTATCCAGTGTATTATATCTCCATGCTGTTTTGATAAATGCCCTGGGGCCCGTTCCACAAAGCGATCTTAGCGCTAAGATGATCATAACTCCCATACTTTAACACAGGCTCACAGCAGCCATAGCACTAAGATCGCTTTGTGGAACAGGCCCCTGGACCCATTCAGCGTTGTGCCATTTGAATGGGAGATTTGGAAGAGAACATGTCCAGGGTGTTTAACATAATAGAAGGGAGTTAGATATTACAATACACTGGATAATCGAGGTTGATATTTCTGTGTGCTCAGATTGCGACTCCAAAAGTTCTACATCTTGAATGCTTTAATGTTTATTTGTTGTTTAACACTGCACTCAGCAATATTCCAGCTATATGACTGCAGTCTGTAAATAATAGAATCTGGACCAGACAATCCAGTGATTGACATCATGAGCATCAATCTACACGATTGGGATACGATGACATGCATCAAGCAATTCAGCAAGCCTAACCACCTGATCCCGTTAGTCGCCTCTTACAACAAGCATGAGCTGCTGAAGACCAATTCTAACCCGGATCTTCAATGATTGTAATGTCAACTTAGTTGCAGAAACACAGACACACTCACTTCACAAAGGGGATAACCATGAAGAAATTATTTGGGTTCATCCCCAGCTTCGTCTTGCACCCGATGTCCTTCTTGTGACACGGGAGGGAGTCAATGGGAAACCACTGCAGGCTCTGAAACAAACATCTGCATACATGTAATACTATTACCATGATTACAGGTTCTATTCTGGCCAGACCCATGTCTACAAAACCACAGATTTATCTAGAATTCCAAACTAAGTGCAATTGGCAGGCAAATCACTATTTTGTTTAAAGTTGTGATTTTTTCAAAGTTCTTATTTGCCTAAATTGAGAGGTTTTCACATTGCATTCAATGCAATATAGAGGAAGAGGCATCAATGCTCATTTTAACACTAGTGAAACTAAAGATTTAAGCTTCTTCCTCTGTATTGGTTCTGTTATTAGTGAAAACAAGTCCCTTCTCCAAAGTCATAACATTTAATAGCGTTAACTGTAACAGCATGAACTAGGAAATGTTTCATTCCAATTAATCAAATTTTGCTGACATTTGCTCCAGACTTGGAGCTGAATTTGGCCTCTGAGCAGGTCTAGATAAATCCCCTTGATGTTGAACACTACACTCAGCAAAATTCCAACAAGTCTGGGCCAGACAATCCAGTGATGACATTTTAAGCATCGATCTAAACAATTGGGATATGATGAAATGTATCACCCGAGTCAGCCAGACTTACGACCTGATCCTGTTAGTTGTCTCTTACGACAAACATGGGTTGCTGAGGACCAATTCTAACCTGGATCTTCATTTTGTAAACTTTCTTGCGACAGAGATAGCTAAAATGCTTAATCTATGACAAAGCAGTTGAGTTCCTGGGTTTCATACTTAATCACAGCTGACAATAACATGGTTAATACAGACTCAGTACTAGACACTAACACTGATCCACTGTTCCTAGTTAGTAGATTTTCTTAAGGACAAGTACAATTAATGACACGCTGGTCCGGTGATCGAGTGTTATTTTGTAATTTAAAGTTGTACGAGTTTTGAAATCAGTGATAGATCAGGTCTAAACTCTGTTGTTTTCATATGCCCAAGGAATAACACTTCATGATAATTACCAAAGGACAACAGAATAGTAAGACACCAAACCTTTATCTCCTTGCGTGTCTTGGGCTGAAAATGTGTATTGAGTGGCACCCCTGGGACGATGTACAGACGGGTCAGCTGATCGTTCATCTGGTTCTCCAAGTAGTCTGTTTTTCGGATAAGTGCTGATATGTCCAATCCTGTCTCCTCCATCACCTGACAACAGATCAAAATGTAAATTTGTACTTTATCAATAGGTGAGGTGAAGTGAAGTGAAATGTTTAACGTCGCGTCCAAGATTACTGCACTTATATAGCGACTGCATGTACGTGTGTGTGTGTGTGTCTGCTTGTACTAGTCCGGACTGATGCCCTTTTATAGTGCTAGCTCACTGAGATACTATGCCGCAGTTTAACATGAATACCCCACTCAGACACAGTATACTGACTCCGAGCCGACCAGTCCTTGTTTTAGCCCCTTAATGCCAGCGCCAGACAGGGTAACAACAAGTACCATCTTTTAACGTCTTTTGGTATGACACGTCCGAGGATCGAACACAGGACCTTCCCCTCTCCGGTCAGACGCTCTACCACTAGACCATGGAGGCGGTCTCTTTATCAATAAACATATAAAGGTCACTCTCACTGTACAATACACATCATTAAAGTTGTCATGATAGCAAATCAAAGTAAACAAATTAAAGAAACACTTGCCATCATTAATTTTAAAGGGGGAACTATCCTCAGGCCAATTTACAATCCCTGCAAGTTTCATTTTGTTCACAAACTTATTTGTCCGTCTGCTTACTCAAATTTCATGATGTATACTACTAAAAAGATTGAAAGAACACCCAATTTTTTTTAATGACTTTAGTTACTCTGTTATGGCAATCAAACAGTTGGTCATTAATTACCTTGTTAAATAGAGACATAATCTCTGTTGACACAAGACACTCTCTACAATGTCAAGACCATTACCGAAAATGGCTACGATACATCATGTAAAAAATGGACCTAGGACACAAGTATCGCATAATGGCACAAAGTATCATATTGTACTAGCACTATGTTGAATCATCACAGTCCTTTTTTAAGAAGGACTTTACTATTCCGCCTATTGTTCATTTTCCGTATAGGTTTCGACAATGAAATTACTAATAAGTGCATCATGTGAAACTGAGGCTATGTTTATTTGATTGGGGTAATTGTTATCATTAGCATTGATATACATAATAAATCTGAGTTGGCAGATGTGGAATGTTGTGTTTGAAAGACATGAATCAAACTAACTACACTCCCAAATTTTAAAGTTCCACCCTTTCTCATATTGTGGTTTGATCCGAATCAGAATTAGAGAATAACCAGCGAGCTAAGAGGAATGTATTATCTATCCCAAGAGAGTGAATGGCTTCAAACCCAAGCCTTTGGCAAGGGACTTACAGCATTCATTCACGAGGGACTGATAATCCGTGATTCCAAGTTTCAAGTAGTTATTCTATATATTACTCATTGAAAATTTGAGAGAGAAAATCAAGAAAAAACATAAGAAATGTCAACCTGCATAGAAATTTCAAAGATGGTAGAATATTTTTCAGATGACGTAATGTAATCAATGTGTGACGTCATGAATGGTGGATGACGTCATATCACATTTTTCTCAACAATGAAGCACTGTGACATCCTGTGGATTCAATTGACCAATCAGCAACGAGCATGTTGAGAATCACTAAAATTCACGTACAAATATCACAAAGCTATTTCACATGATCCTTCTACCCTATGGGTTATACTACATGGATATCTACTTTTGAAATCATGCTACATGAATACAAGTGAGTGAGTGAATATTGCTTAACGCCGCATCAGCAATTTTGCAGCTATTCGCGGCGTCATGAGTACAAGAATGGTACAGCTTGCTACTTCAGGTTCTCTTGTCATAAAAGCATGTGTAGCCAAGTAAGGATTAGAATTTATGGATGAACAACTTCTTTATTACAATTAAGAGCGACGTTTCGGTGTAGGTTCTAACACTGTTATTAAGCAAGTGATATACAGAGTGTGGTTGGCAAGTATGCCTATGAAAGAAGTAATGTGTAGCAAATCTTATTGCTGGACTTACCTCTCTGACAGCACAGTTGAGGGCACTCTCCTCTGCGTTGACCTTGCCCTTAGGGAACCCCCAGCTTGACTTGGTCCAAAACCCCTGCACCAGGAGACACTGCAAGCGGCCACATACATTTTCTACATCGCCTTATCTTCCTCATAGTTACATTACTTATTACAAATAAATTGTTATGAACTATGCAAGATGTGAAAATGTCACTTAAAATATAGAAACAGTAGAAGTAATTATTTTTTTAATCCCTGGAAGTTCATTCAGCATGTTGATCGCAAGTGATTGTGAGTGAGTGATTTTAACACCGCTTTGAAAATAGTTAGGCATATATCACTGCATGTCAGCTTAATGTGGGAAGAAAGCCTGAAGTGATGTGGGTCTTGTACGTTTTCCACTTTGGTGAAACCCACGAACATGAGTTTCGTGTTGACAAACCTAGAAACATAATCAGAGCAAATCTAGGATTCAAATCATAGCTTCCTGACATGCCTAAGGGATGTTACTCTCTACAGCAAATTCTGGCTCCTCAGATGACTTGGCCCATATTTTTGTACAGGGTCACATAGACATGATAGACTTAACTAACAAAGTACCCAAGTTGATGAGATGTAACTCATCATATGTGACCAGCACACACTAACATCACGAATGCTAATTGAACATACATATTTTTTGTCAGGATCAAGGATGATAGCTCCATAGGTTGGGACGCTCATTTTGTAGGCTCTCCATTCTTCGAGCCGCTTGTCCACATGCTCTGCATGGATGGACAAAAATGGACAGTGGCGGAAAACTGATATGGTTAAGAAAATATAATTAATTTACTATCACGATTAGGCAGTGAAAAGAAACATTTCTCATCAAAAACTCATTTTCAAAAATTAACCAGTTCACTAGGCTTTTAACCTTACCAGAAAAAAAAACTAATTTAGCATGTTGGCACAGTTTAAGAAAGGAATAATAACCCTTACATTAGACGTTGGGCAATATTGACATGCATGAACTAACATTACCATTTTGCCAGACAAAACCAAACAATGTCATGAATACTGATTTCTCATCAAAAACATTTGTCACATATACATTTTCAAACTTCCTGTATAATGATTTCAAACCCTTTTTTAACTTTTCATGGCCTTACAGAAATAAGTTTAGATGTTTATGTACCATCAAAATAAGATCTTTACAATGCTATAAGGTACATGTTACAGCAAGGATACTGTGGGAAGAGAATTCCTTGATTCCACATGTCTTCAGTTCTGGGTTTTCAGCACAGTAGAAGTCAAGATAGAACCAATGTGCTAGCTCTACTTGGAAGAAGATGCGGATCAAGTCCTGACGCTCCTCCTCAGGGATATTGATGATGAATCGACTAAAAAATAACATGAAACTACATTGAGTGGTCTATAGGCCATGATAGGTGTCTGTTTATGTGAACCAACCAATCAGATTCAAGTAGTCCAAATTTGGTTCGGGCGACAGATCAGAAAGTCAAACCCATCAATAATATTTATGTGGAATTCATAAACATCCTGTAACTGGTATTATTATGAAGTTATCTCTTGTTACCATGGTTACTTATATGTTTGTTGAATGGTACATACATAGTGAGTGAGTTCGATTTAAAGGGGCACTGATCTAACGCAATTCCCCGGACTGGTTGTTGCCTTTGTTATTGTTTTTTCCCCCGTGAGTACCCGGATGATACCCAACGCAACTCAGCGTGACCAGAGACTGGGCTACCGTCTGCAAGGACAGCTAAATAAACTTGGAGGCTGGAGGCAATATTTGTTTTACGCATTTTTGCATAAACACTGATTGGTTAACTGTGATCTGTAAAGATTTCGACAAAGGGCGCATGTTAATTAATTTCTTCAGCCTAAACAAGCAGACAAAAAGAACAGCGGAGCTCATCGGATGTCGTCATTTGGAAATACCCCAGATGGTTATAGTTTTATACTAAAAAAAGGATCCATGCAGTGAAAGCATTTTCGGATTTCGGCTTGCGTCGATAATACGATTACTACTCCCTTGTTGTCATCCACGTTTTCTCGTATAACCCTTCACTTGTGTATTTGTCGTCATTCACTTGATGCTCAGTTAATGAATTTATTACAGGTACAATTAGTGGTAGCACCACTTAGATTACCTGACAAAGGTTCCCATTTGGCATTTATTGTGTCTGGGGTAATTATTCAATCTAAATCCAGGGTTGAAGTGAGGTGAAATGTGTGTTATGTAATATGCACGTGGCAGCCCAGCAAGAGATGAATGATAAGTTGATTTATTTTTTTGTAAATCAACGGAACGTTCCTAGTCATCAAAGGATTAACAGAAAATACGTTGATTGATTAATCACTGTTATCTTGCACAGTGGATATGTCAAGAGTGAGTGTTTACATGTCTAGGTTTACTAAAACAAAGGGGATACACTCATACCATGGCGTGAAGTGCCGATGTCAAAACAACATACTTTGTTCAAAGGGTTAACTTATAATACGTTGATTGATTGATCATTGTTATCTATCACTCAATGGATTTTTTAGGAACCGTGAACGTTATGAAAATAGTTGTCACGTGGGCTTTCTCAGCCGACCATTGAGACTTGACACCTATGTAAAACACCTGAAACAATCCAAGTGATCAGTTGAGAAATGAACACGGGTTATAATATCCCGAAACGATATATATCTTTTAAAAGATTTGATTGTTACTGAGACACGTGACATCGAATAAGTTTCTTTGTACAGCTGCAGACGAGTGGGATATTGTTCCTTTGTGTGGATATTCACGGATACATTCCTCGAACAAGGAAGCTGCCTAAAATTTATACACATAAATTTGGTAGGTTGTAATTATGATATTTGCATTTTGTTTTCCTTCATTTGAACCGATTCGTTCTTGTTTCTCTACGTCTTGGTTGGGATATTCTTCAATGCGCGATAGACTTTTCTTTTCCTTTGTAAGCGTGTATATATTACCGTCAATTTGTAAAATGTGATTCTCTCAGGCAATTTATAAAATGTGTAAATATTTCAGTCATTTTGACTAAAAAATCTGTCCAGATTGATTAAGACGATCAAAAGGGCCTACAAACATCACAACAGATTATTATGTAGGATTAGGATTAGAAGCCAAACAACATAGAAATGTACATTTCTCAACGTAACATTTTCAGGCTCTTGGTGATGACATTAAACATCAAAATGTTTGGAATTCGTTATCATAATAATACAGATGGAAATGTTTTCAGTCGCTTTGTAAAATAACTGAATATTTAGACGTTTAATAAATTTGTAACACATTTGACAGTAAAAAAAATACACACTATAAAAAAAGCAATGCTCAGGTGAAACATTTACTTTGTGTTGCAAGTCAAAATAGTGTAAAAGAAAATCGCAAAATTACCAAGCAAGTGACTTATCAAAACTTCGTCACCATTACCGATGCTACCCACAAAGATACCTACATTTCCTTATTATCTCGAAAACTGTATTTCATTTTGTTGATCAATGTGACCATACGCCCTTATTACTACCCATAAAAGCGACTAATGCGCTTACGAATGGCGCAGCAGAGGTCGCGAACTAGTCTAGATTTCTGCTATACATCCGGGTACTCACTGGAAAAAAACAATAACAAAGGCAACAACCAGTCCCGGGGAATTGCGTTAGATCAGTGCCCCTTTAAAGTCACGTCGGCAGTATTTCAGCCATAATGGGATGGCACATACATCATTGTACATAATTGTTATGCTAAGCTGTAAGTTGCTTCCAGCATTTCTTTCCTAATTTAGGAACATCTATTCGGGTTATAGCGAAAACGGCACCTCAGCAAAACGTCACCGGGCGAAAACGGCACCGATTGGTGAAAACGGCACCTCGACTCGAGCGAAAACGGCACCTTATTTTTTTGTTTTACCTTGGTCAAATAAATGATATTAAACTTACATTGTAACTTGCAAGTACCAATAATTGTGAGATGTTAAAACAAGTTTACATTAGAAATTTGCCTCTACTCAAACTATAATCCAACTTAGCTTATACGCAACTCAACTTATTGAGAAAACATAACATGCTTTGAAGAAAAATATTAGAAATTAAACTCACATCGTCTCTTACAAACACAACTAATTGTGAAATAACACAAATAAGAAATTAGCCCCCTACTCCAATTTACTCACCGACTCCGATTGGGAGGCGTAGTTAACTTATTGTGAAATCACTATACGCATTGAAGTTTTAAGTACCTTTACTCAATTTAAGCTGAAACTGTATTTAAGAGGCCAAACATGATGCTGTCAGATCACAATTATTTATATGGCCTTTCGATGTGTAGCATGCGAGAAGAATGTCAGAAGAAATCAACATGCTGTATCATGTGATAACTGTGACAGTGGACCCAGTGGACCCTATATATTACTACAAAATCGTTCGTATCGTTATTAAAAATAGAGGTGCCGTTTTCGCCCGACACATAGTTGCCGTTTTCGCCAAATGCGGTGCCGTTTTCGCCAGAGAAATCGGTGACGTTTTGCTGAGGTGCCGTTTTAGCCTGCACCCCATCTATTCCACTATGCACACTCACACCACCCCGCTGGCCATAATCAAAACCGTTGATGACCAGTTGAACTTGGCTGCAATGGCAATTAATGTGTGTTTGTCAGTTTAGCATGTTTAGAGTTGTTTGTTGGTTTATCACATCCCTGTGCAGCAATTCAGTGTAAACTTAATTAGATGTAGAGTTCATATATATGTGCTGCTTAAAATAAAACATTTTTTTTATCATTTTAATGGCTGTGAGCATTTTGCAGGAGTTATCAGGTCCAAACACAACACTAGATTCCAAGTTGTACGCAAATTTCAATACTGCAATCTGATTCCTGGGTGTTTGAGGTGTTTTTGACATTGGTGAAAAGAACAGTAACTCTTCCTTAAGGAGACGAAAGTCTTAGGCCTACCTTTAGAATTCAGCAACACAAAGTTTACAAACAAAACGGTATGGCGTTATTTGTGACATAATGTTGCCCTATACACCAGTGAAACAATGCCCTGTGACGTCAGCCTTGCAACAGGTTCCCTCCCACTCTTTTCTGTCACAAAAATCACCCAATGAATATAAAAATACTGATATTCTTGTGAATTCAACATCTGTTGCCTGTAGCTGTTTTCAGTTTGTGCCATAACGGATTATTCCTAACCACTCTGTTTCTTGTAGGTAATAGAACCTGATGAGTGTGCAAAATGGCATCGGGATCAATCGTCAGTGTCTGTCACAAGACACCATGCCTACCCATAATCTTCGGTAAGTGTCCATCATCTATTCAACCATTTCCGTAACATCTCAAGCATGACTAGGTAAAATCAGTTTAACCGTGTGGATGTAGCTCAGTCAGTTAGCTGTCAGACTAACAATCCGCATGTCATGAGTTTCTTACAAAAAAAGTTTGCTTGTCTTAGTGACACGCAGACCACAACAAAACGCTGCATCATTTACTGTGTCAGGGTCCATTGAAAATATGCCAGGTTGTTATCATTATGATGCAAATTTAATAGGTATTACGTCTTTGTTTGTAATTTGTGTGGCAGATTAGCTAATTAGTGCTGCATTAGTTACACTCATCTTCTCTTGAACTTTAAATGTACGACAACCGGGGTTATAGCGAAAACGTCACCTCAGCAAAACGTCATCGGGCGAAAACGGCACCGATTGGCGAAAACGGCACCTCGACTCAAGCGAAAACGGCACCTCGACTCGAGCGAAAACGGCACCTTATTTTTTTTTTTACCTTGGTCAAATAAATGATATTAAACTTACATTGTAACTTGCAAAGGCCAATAATTGTGAGATTCACTATACGCTTTGAAGTTTTAAGTACCTTTACTCAATTTAAGCTGAAACTGATTTAAGAGACCTTCACATTACGGCTTCAGATGTACTCAATACATCAAATACCATGTAAATAAACCATACATATTACTACAAAAATCGTTGTTATCGTTATTAAAAATAGAGGTGCCGTTTTCGCCCGACACATAGTAGCCGTTTTCGCCAAATGCGGTGCCGTTTTCGCCAGAGAAATCGGTGACGTTTTGCTGAGGTCCCGTTTTAGCCTGCACCCCGACAACCGTCCTGGTTCACTTGTGAGGTAATGTTTTGATTGGGTTATCTGGATCCGCTGATCATGCTGATGCCACATCGCAATGAAATGTAAACTAAACTTGCTGTAAACTGAACTTATGTTGTAGATATACAAGGTGTTTGTTACATGATGATTATATTCCAAGCCTATGAAAATCGTTATGACACAAGAGATTAGTGGTCAATATGATCGGTATTGATAATCACATTTCAACATGAACTTTTTAATTCGAGCTTTTAATTCAAGAAAATGACATGGACTGGTGACATGCAATTTCGTATTCAGATAGACTTCTACAACAGCTGCATTTCGCGGAAAAAGAGTGTCCGGTGCTAAGACAAAGCAAGATCACCAGCCTTGACGATTCAATAATTCTTTAACAAACCTGCACAGGTCGTCCAACACGTATCCAGGGATTGGGAATGCTAGGGTTGAAGATTGGTTAGTTGAAGTGGGCGGTGCTTGAGTTTCCATTTTTCATACGAAATCAGAAAGCTATGTAGGAAAACAATTTGGTAATTTCATACGAAAGAAAATCTCCGCCATTGGTTACCGGAAGCGGAAACGGAGTAAGACTAACTAGTATTTTCCGACAGAGAACAATAATACGTTTATGTACCCTAGGCGAACAGTCATACATCGTTTTCGTACGTTTGAACTTGAGAAAGGAAAATAAAATACATATTCCACATAGAAAGCAAACACTATTTCATTGATGTTTTCAGCTTACTCTGTGTATAATCCGATGATGGTCTAACTATATTTACATGTCATGTCTAAAATGTTAGTATTTTATTAAGCGTTTCCCAAACTATTCAGTCATGTTAATCAGGAGACAGACATACTATGTTTTCAATGTAAAGCTAGGTTACCTGTAGATTCCATCGCGCTAAATTGAATTTAGAACCGTACGCGCCAAAATACATTTTCGAGGTTGTTTTTTGGTTTGTTTTTTTCTTTTTCTTTTTTTTGTTTCTTTGGGGGGTGGGGTGGTGGTGGGATATTTTCCAAATTCAGGGCAGAATGTACACTTATCAAAGTGACTTCCACAGGAGATATCGCTTGAGTGACATCAGGGCAAAACTATACTTTATCACACAACACATGGGGGTAGAGCAGACATTTCTAAGATGCCCAAGTTAAGACGGTGTCCTCCCATTAGTTAGACGTCCCAATAGTTAGACAGCTTATAACAACACTTTAAACGGTTGAGTGCACACTAATCCTTATGCTTGTTACCTCAGACTTTAAAATGGAATAGTCCAGATAAGATATGACAAACAAAGCAAAGCAGCTAAATAGATACTTTAATATTATACTTAACATTTAATGACACTTTACATTTGGTAAATTTTATACAGTTTTTAACAACACTTTGTGACAGTTTTTGGTAATGTACACTTTACATTTAATAACTTTTACAGTTTATTTATCCCAGACGAAGCAAGTGTGCTAGGTGACAGAGGTCTGTTGAGTCGCTCTTGAACTTCTGTCTTCAGTTGTCGAAAAAGCCGGCCATAGGTTGTTGCTTGGCGATCTGGCAAAAGGGCGAACACTAGAGGGAAGGTGATGGGACAAACTCTGGCATGAATGATGTATACTTGATCCCATAAACCTGGACATGCTGTGAAGGTACCATCCATGTAAAGGGTGTCAGCTTCATGGAGGGCTTGTATCTGTTCTGCAGTGGAGAAAGCCAGGATCTTGTCATCGTCACCGTCGCTGAACAGTAGAAAGGGACGTCCATCTGTTGTCTCTGACCATTTGTCTTCAATGTCTACTGCTGACCGCGACCTGGGTAACGCTGGAATGTAACGCCTGAACAAGAGCAAAGGAACAGTTACACATGTGTTACATGAAATATTGATAATGATTTCATTAACTTGACATGTTTAAGAGCGAAACAAGTTATGTGGGACCTAAAAAAAAGAAGTAAATTCTAACCAAGTCAAAAATACGGGATGATATTTACCTGTAAAGTGCACTTTTCACGCTCTGAAATGATGGCATCGCTGGCATGTTGGCTTCATCTACTTGAGTGACTTGCTCCTCGTACAATGCCTGCATCTGTGTGGTTTCTTCTCGAGCTCTTTTACGAAGATTGCTGACAAAGTTCACTCTGGTTTCATCTTCAGGCGGATGGTTATGTTCCGACTGATTGCAAAGAAAGTCACCGACAGTCGTACATTTCCCATTGCACGTCTTGACGACACATCTCCAATGTGTGCAGGTTTGCCTCTCGCGGTTTCTGTTGTAAATATATCCATCTAATATCAACTGCTCACTTCCACGCCGAGAGGTGAGGTACTCTACTTTCCTTAAACCAGCCATATCGATACTGATAATGATACGTACCCCAAGATCATTTTTATTTGTTTGATGAGTAGATAATCTAAACTCAAATCCTTCAACTGATCATACAGTAAGACAATTAAGCTACTCCATAGTTTACATAGTTAATCTCATGCCTATTGAACCTGTGCTGAGAGTAAGGTAATTTAGGTTAATTAAACGAAATTATAACATATATACTCCCTAAACTGTGAGTCCCCTTTCCCTACCCAGTACTTTAATCTAATTGGGACTGATCCATTACACCTGTAGGTAGATTCCCTCTTTGCCTAAATAAACATGTCTAACAATTGGGACGTCTAACTAATGGGATGTCTAACTAATGGGATATAACCGTTAAGACTAATCTTGCGTTAAATAGAGCTGACACAAAAGGCTAAACCAACACTGTAATGACCTGTGACATAAATTGAAAATCCTCGAACCGGGCAAATTGACGGGCTCTTTCCCCTAATTGCCTGCACCCTTACGTTGAGAGACATGTTTACGTTTCAAACATATTAATACAACATCACTTAAATGGGTACTTTATTTTTTAAATAGGTCATATATTTCATTATCCTTTCAGCGTGTTGTTATCCATATAATTCTCATTTTTCTGTCGTACATGTTGCAACTTTCCACCACTGACGTTAGCATACTGCAGCAGCCGCAAGCCATAACATTGTGTGTTTACCGATCTGGTTGCTTTGTTTGTTTGTTTGTTTAATTGTTGTTTAACACCGCATCCGGCACTATTCCAGCTTTATTGCGGCGGTCTGTATTTAATCGAGTCTGTACAAGACAATCCTGTGATTGACATCATGAGCATCTATCCACGCAATTGGAATACGGTGACATGCATCAACAAAATCACCGAGTCTGGACTAGACAATCCAGTGACTTACATCATGAGCATCGATCCACGCAACTGGGATACTATGACATGCATCAACCAAGGCAGCGAGACTGACCACCCGATCCGGTTAGTCGCCTCTTACGACACGCATAATCGCCTTTTACGGCAAGCATGGGTTGCTGAAGACCTATTCCACCCCGAATCCTCACGGGTCGATATAATAACAATCAACATTGTCTCTATGCAAATTATCAGTTATATAAATAAACACCTTCATGGTTAACTTTAAAGGTTTTTTAATCATGTCTTCAGGCCGTTTAAAGTTATGTGGAGTTACATCCCTTTACTCGTGGCACAAATATATGCATAGGTCAGTATCCACTGGGGAGGACGCTCAGTTGGGGTAAGCTATTAAGCTGGTGCATCCGGTCATTTATGAGAACACCAAGACAGAGGTTGGCAAAAAGCGGCACATTTCATGGGATAACGAGGGGTCATGATATATACAAAGTAAATCGTATTCCAAGAAGTTTATTCACCGCATTATTTAAACAATGATAAATCATTATCACAGGTCATTGCAGCGTACACAACACATTTTAGTCCGGACAAGCTCTTCACAAATCTTTAAACTTTATAACAAATGTTGGGTAGATATTCATCAGTTATGATAATACATTTGTCAGCTTCCCGGCGGGCAGATTAAACATGCATTGCTGAACTGATCAGGTCAATCAGTTTTTCCCTTGAGGACATTTTGTCTTCTCTGACTGAGTGCTGTTTGAGGTGGCGTTTCAGCGAGCGCCACAACAGTCTCGCTCATCTGTCTAGCATTTACAACTTCATTCTCTAACAACCGTAATTTGTACAACTTCTTTACATATGCCTGCTTTTTCACACCAGTAAGCCTTTTGAATTTTGACTTCACTTTTGAAATTGTTACGCGTATGCGTTTTTCTACCCTAACAGATTGCTGTAATTGTATTACAAGTAAATTGGCATTTAGAATGTCCACGAAAGTAAAATCCGGATGTGTTGTTGAGTAACTGTCTAGTTCTCTCAAACATTTATGAGATATTTCTAAAAAGAGATAATTTTCGGCTGATCGTGGAGTTGGTGATGCACTGAAAAATGATATGTTTATTCTACCGCTTAAAGAGCTGTTTGCCATGGCTAAATACGTGTACCTTATCATGCACGCATCCAGAATCCCGAAAATGACCCAAGTTATACCAGAGACCATATAATAGATATGGTCTCTGGTTATACTAAGAGTTTATTACCGAGAGTCCAGTGTCCCCAAACTGCCGATTTACTGGTGACAAACATAACAATCTACTCCACCGGTACATTCCGCAATGTCAAAACTCCTCCAGTCGCCGTCCACGTCTTATTCATAAAAAGCTTTGGTGAGACTCTCACAGGAAAGTTAAAAATCTGAAGACATTCGCCATGTTGGTAAGATTATACCACCAGTATTCTTAAGAAGGATCTCATAGCGGGTCAGGTGACCAACTGTGTGTCTGTATGTGTACTGATAGTTGACCACCTGGCGACTTGACAGCTGTCTTTAGTGACCTCTCGACAGGACCTGAAGCGAGCCCCAGGCGCTCCCCGGACCCGGGAGGGCAGTTGTAGTCCTCCAGGGGATGGGCAGGGATGTGGCAGGAAGACTCCCAAGGTTGCGTCTTCAAGGGGGTAGTCCGTCCACTCCACTAGATAAATAGACCCTGCAATAAGTAATTAAAAATATAATTTCGGTTCATATCACCTCCCTCGGGAATAAGCTAAGTATTGGTACACTCTACACATGCACGTGATAAAATGAATGGAGTGAGAAGACATCGCATGTCATTAGTTTGATATTCCATACGTCGGATGTTTTCCGCTGATAGAGCAGGAGGATATAAATGAAGTCAGTTGCCATTAAATATAATCAGATAAATGAAGTTCATTTATATAATATTATATATAATTATACTAGCTCTATGGGCTTGTTGGGTTGTTTTTAGTTGATTTCCATCTGGTTATTATTTTATGTGTGATACCTATTCATCTTGTAAAATCATATATAATAAATAATGTTGGAAAATGAGTGAGTGAGTTGGGTTTAACGCCGCTTTGAAAGTATTTTAGTTACATCACGGTGTGTCAGCTTAATGTGGGAGGAAAGCCCGAAGTGATGCAGGTGAGAATCGGAGAGAACCGGAATACGAACCCACAATCATATGTTTCTGATGTGCCCAAGTGTCGGCACAGCTAATTGCGGCGACTTAGACGACTGGGACACCCCTGTCCCCACAATGTTACGAAAACAGGTAATTGAAACATAACGTTTTGAAAACATTTTACGTAATATGTATAATAATCGTTAATATTAATTAAAACCGATCATACATGAACAAATAATGCAGTATATATAAATATAGCTATGAATATTTATTTTCTTCGTCAGCATATTTCCATCTTCCCGAAGCAAGAGAGTTGACTGACTTTAAAAGTCAAACTGGACTTTTATAGTCAGTTAACTCACTTGCCTCGGGAAGATGGCATATTTCTGATATTAACATAT